CACCCCTGACTCAGACGCATCAACCTCCACAATGAATTGCTTGGAGGTGTCAGGCTGGGTCAGGATAGGGGCCACAGAGAACCGTCTTTTGAGCTCGGCAAAGGCCATGTCGGCAGCAGTGTCCCAGACAAAACGTACCTTAGCCGAGGTGAGTCTGTGGAGGGGTGCAGCCACGCCACTGAAACCTCTGATGAAGCGCCTGTAGAAGTTGGCGAACCCCAGGAAGCGTTGAAGCTGCTTCCGACCAGTAGGTACAGGCCACTCGAGAACCGCTTTGACCTTGTCACAGTCCATCTGTACCTCTCCAGGCGTGATTACATGCCCCAAGAACTTAGTCTTGGTGGTGTGAAACTCACACTTTTCAGCCTTACAGAAGAGCTGGTTCTCAAGTAGGCGCTGCAGAACGGCCCTGACGTGCTGCACATGTGTTTTACGGTCTGGGGAGAAAATTAAAATGTCATCCAGATAGACGTACACAAATCTGTTAATCATGTCCTTCAACACATCATTAATAAAACACTGAAACACAGCTGGTGCGTTTGTCAGTCCAAAAGGCATCACCAGGTATTCAAAATGGCCGCACGGAGTGTTGAAGGCAGTTTTCCACTCATCCCCCTCCCGTATGCGCACCAGATGATAAGCGTTCCGTAGATCCAGCTTAGTGAACACCCGAGCCCCTCTAATCTGGTCAAAGGCAGACTGCAAGAGAGGCAGGGGGTAAGTGTTACGAACCGTGACGCTATTCAGACCCCTGTAGTCAATACACGGCCGTAAACCCCCATCCTTCTTGCCCACAAAGAAAAACCCTGCCCCTGCAGGTGATGAGGATGGCCGAATAATGCCTGCCTGTAAGCCCTCCTGAATGTATTCCTCCATGGCTGTTGTCTCAGGGATGGACAGAGGATAGAGACGGCCTTTAGGAGGTTGAGCACCAGGAAGGAGGTCCACAGCACAGTCTAAGGACGGTGAGGGGGCAGGTTCTTAGCACGAACCTTACTGAACACCGCAGCCAAGTCTGTATATTCGGGGGGAACATTACTGATGTCAGGTGGTTCCAAGGGAAGCTGGCTAGAAACAGGGCGAACAGGAGCAGCAGACAAACAGTTCAATAAACAAAAAGGACTCCACGTCAACACGCGGCCAGAAACCCAGTCAATATGGGGACAGTGTTTGCTTAGCCAGGGGTAACCCAGGATCACAGGAGGCACTAAAGAGTCAACCACAAAAAAACACATCCGCTCTGTGTGGTTCCCAGAGACCGTCACAGTGACAGGAACAGTGCGTGCAGTCACCTTGTGGATAAGGGAACCATTTACAGCATGGATGGACAATGCAGGAAACACCTCCTCGACTGGAATCAGAAGTTCGCTTACCACTGCCTGGGACATCAGATCCCCATCAGAGCCGGAGTCAATAAGGGTGTCATATTCACCGTGTTTTGTCCCATATGTCAACCGCACACTTGTGGGCGGTCGTGAGGGCGGAGAAAAGGATGACACCCGACCCGCTAGCTGCATGGGCTCCGAGGGCGGGGCGTCGCTGCCCAGGTGAGAAACACTCACAGAAATCGGGTGAGGACGAGGTGAAGAAGTCAGTGGGCGGAGCTCATCATGAAGGCGCTCCATCCTCCGCCGATCGATGCGTACAGCCAGATCGATAAGATCCTCCAGCTCCTCAGGAACCTCCCTCGCGGCTAGCTCGTCCTTGAGCTCGCTGGAGAGCCCCTGAAGGAAGACGTCGACCAGTGCATCATCAGGCCAGCGGGAGCTTGCCGCCAGCGTCCGGAACTGCACTGCATAGGACGCCACGCTGTCATCTCCTTGTTTGAGCCGGAGCAGCTCAGAAGCAGCCGCGCGGTGCGGTGTTGAGGGATCAAACACCACGAGGAGTTGAGTGGAAAAGGCCCGGAAGGAACGAACCACCTCCGCTCCACGATCCCACTCAGCCAGCCCCCACCTCTTGGCTCTGCCCGTCAGGAAACTCAAGGCAAAAGCCACCTTGCTCTGCTCCGAGGGGAATTCGCTTGGATTAAAATCAAAATGGAGCCGGCAGGAGGTGAGGAATGGTCGACAATCCTCTGCGGTACCAGAAAAAGTTTCAGGACGACCCAAACGAACCTGTCGAGGGGGAGCAGGCGCTTGCTCCAGTCTGGCTACACGTCCATGCAACTGCTGCAACCCTGACATGCAGCTGCGGAGCTCCTGGGTCAGAACAGGAAGGCTGGCTTCTCCTGCAGCACCCTCACCAGAGGCAGGTAAGGAAGGGTCTTGTCTCTGGGTTCTTCCTGCTGGGTCAGACATCTTGGTGGAGTTGTAATGTCACGGTGTGCCTCTGCAGTAACCCATTTGCAGGAATAAAGATCCTTTATCCAGATTTCAAAAAAGATTTAATAAACAAACTTCCTCCACTGACTGTGGGAACCAAAAACCAAAACCAAACTCAATCCATACAAGTACAACTCAGCAAAGACAACTCCACACTGATGACTGGCAGCAGTGGCCTGAAATAGGGTGAGGGCAATCAAGATGATGTGGTTCAGCTGCAGCACTCCAGGAGGTTCACAGGGAAGGGGAGGATTCCTGAGAGGAGCTGCAGCTGACCTGAACAAAAACAACAGAGAAAAAGTTAAACACAAACACAAAAAGGGGCGAATCATAACACGCTCAGGCCGCACAGGTTAAACATTCCTACTTTAAGAAAACCGTTAAATTGCATTGTTTATGTGCTACCTGGGCACTCTAAATATTTATTTAAAATTAAGTCAAAGGAAATTGTAATGGTATCGAATGTTTATTAATTACTATTTAAAAAATGAAAGTGATGGGGTAAAAGGTCGATCATATTTTTTTTTACCCTGGCTGTTTAGCTTGACGTCTGATATACATATATATATATATATATATATATATATATATATATATGTGTGTGTATAAAACAATGTGTAAAACAACAATGTTTACTAATGGGAAAGTTTTGTAACCATATGTTTCAAATCAGTAAATGCATTTTGTCCTCACAAGCTTCCGTAGAAGGAAACATGGCATCCAATATGGCGTTGCCCATGCAGACAAAGCACAAACTCAATGTCAAGGTGCCTGGCCTTGCGAGGCCATGTCTTGCGAGGCCAGGCGCCTTGCTTACGAGGCCACTGTCCTTCCTTGGTCAAAGAAAACAGTTAAATGGAACGGACTTGGATCACGTGACCACGGCTTCCACGGCGCTCACGTAACGTCACGTGACACGGGAGATAACATTATATTTTATACGCATTAGTTTCAATATAAATATATAACGAGACATTTACTTTTTAAATTGTGTATATATTTGTTAAATTAAATATGTAAGTGAGTTACTACCTGCTAGAGACCAAAGCTGCAACTACTAAGCAACTAACCAACCATCGATAACTTCTTTGGATTTTAGTTGACTTACTTTCAAACTTCAAATTTGCCCCCGAAGTAACTGCCGGCTTCTGATCCGCCATCCTTTTGAAAATACCATGGTGTAGGCTACCAGACCCCTCCCGTGTATCCTTGCTCAGCTAGCTAAACAGCTAACAAACGGAGAACACACGCCTCGGTAGAACATAAACATTGGAACACGTCTTGGTGGCTCCCAATGACGTATCTCCTAGGCAACCGGGGCGGGACCAAGGCATCAAGGCGAGCTTCCTTGGCATTGAGAATCACTGTTAGAATGGCTCCCATGTATTTTAGAACAGATTTTTATGGTTATGTTATAAAACCACCAATATTTTTGATCAACTGGGCATCTTTTAATTCATTTACAACATTTTGATGGATATTTCCAGAGAGTAATGATTAAAAACTACACATTGTCACTTTAATTCAAAAATATGAATGTTAACTTAGATATTTTAGACTTATGTGACATATTGAAAGTATTTGATGATATAATGTTTACTTTTTAAAATCCAAAGTAAATTCTTGTTGCAAACACGTGACACATACATCTGTGTTTTCATCTTAAAACACGCTTACAGAGAAGAAAATCTGTCTTCCTGCTAAATGGATTCCAGCGCTGCCTGTGGAAGATCAGCAGTGGATTTGCAAAGCGCTCTTCTAGTGGTCCAGTCCAGAATTGGACAACCAGAACTTAGGCCTAGTCCACACGTAGCCAGGGTTTTTTTAAAACGAATATCCGCCCCTCCAAAAACTTGCATCCACACCAACTCGTTTTAAATAAATCTCTGTCCACACGTACCCGGATAAATACATTGTTAAGGACATGCCAGACCTGTAGGTGGTAGTACTTCCCCGTTCTTAACCTCGTCCTTCATCTGTGGTCTTCCGCAAGGAGCAGTAATTCCGCTTGCAAAAACAAACAAGCAAAAAGCGCTTGGACAATTGATAAAGCGAGCGCAGCTCTGAGGGCATCCATGCTGTCGGCTAGTGTAAACACAGGTCGCACACGTGATGTCAGCATTTTTTTGTCGCGGAAAGTGACGTTGCGGACCTTAAAACTCCGGTTTTGTCTGTCCACACGCAGACACCCAAAACGGAGAAAACGCAGATCTTCACTTTGGCCGGAGTTTTTAAAAAGATCCGTTTTCGTGTGAAAAAACTCCGTTTTCGTGTGGATGACAGGCCAAAACGTAGAAAAATATCTACGTTTTGGCAGATCCCCGGCTACGTGTGGACAGGGCCTCAGTCTCCTGAAGCTGGAGAAACTGAGGTGGCACCCTCCTGACCCCACTTGTTCCCCACAGACCGCCAGTGACAGAGGTACTTCTGCCACTTCCTGTTTCTTTGGAAAACTTTGGGTTAGTGTTGCAACTAATCAATAATCTTTTTAAACAGCAAACGAAAGGGTTCACACACACACACACACACACACACACACACACACACACACAATATATGTGAGACGTCAACCCTATATTAATGTCGATGTGTCAACCCCGTCCACCCCTCCAAAACTACGCCCATGGACCGAATGAGATCTCAGAAGAACCTGTGCAACACAGTTTTCCGAGCGTCTGTGAACGTCACACGCGCGTCCCTGTCTCTTTAATAAAAGTTCGGTCTGAGAAAGTGTGCGAAGCTCCAAAATGGATGTGAGATCTCTGGCTGCGAGCGCGTTGGCACAGAATAAGAAAGCGATCGTCCTGCTCGGCGCAGCCGGAGCCGCTCTTCTGGGATTCGGGCTCGGTTATAAATACATGCGAAAGCCAGAAAAAGCGCTGCGCGTGGGCGTAGTGTCTCAGCTCCTGATTCACCCGCTCAAGTCCGGCAGAGCCGTGTCTGTGACTAAAGCGGAGTGCCAGAAACTGGGCCTGAAGTCTGGAGAGCTGGAGGATAGGTGAGTCCGGACCACCACGCAGGTTTGATCTGGTCCAGATCAGAGCCGAGTCCCTGTCACTCCTACACAGCTGCTTTGGTTCTGGACCTCTCACCTCTGGGGTCCAAACATGATAACATGCAGGACAAAGTCCTCACAGGCCACAAAAGACGGACGATTTAAAATCTGAAAAGATTGTAATGTGTGTGTGTGTTTTTACCTGCTAATAATAAAATTAAAACCGTATTTCTTATGAAATCACTGTCCAAAGTCCGCTTCCTGCAGAAAAAGGCCACGGGCCATATTTGGACCCCACAGTGTTGTCCATTCCTGTACATTAATGTTTCTGAGCTACAACACACCTGTTGTAAGATTTCTGTAGAGCTTGAGCGGGAACATCTAAAGCATGCAGGATGAGATGCATATCTTTTTGTTTGCACAAAGAAAAGCGGCTCCTAACAGCTGCTGGAGGAGCCGCCTGGTTTCAGGATTCAGGAAGCAGATGTTTATAATTCCAAGAGATCAGAGGTCTGGTGGTGGAATTCCACCAGGTGTGTGACATGGTGCAGCAGGGGAAAGCCCACGTGTGTGTGTGTGTGTGTGTGTGTGTGTGTGTGTGTGTGTGTGTGTGTGTGTGTGTGTGTGTTTCAGGCACTGGCTGCTGGTGAATGATGAAGGTAACATGGTGACGGCCCGACAGGAGCCTCGACTGGTGTTGGTGTCTCTGACCTTTGTGGGAGGTCAGGCGTGTCTGAACGGACCAGACATGGAGGAGCTGAGGTTCTCCATCAAACAGCCCAACAACCCCATCTTCAACTGCAGGTTCCTCTACTTCTTCTCTTCACCCCTGGTGTCTGAAGACTCCTGAAGTTCCCCAGATGCTGCTCACATTTTTATTAATTCACTTCAACACTAGTTTTGATTGTTCTTCTCATCAGAGTGTTTGGTGCTGACATTCAAGGCAGAGACTGCGGTGATCAAGTGTCCGACTGGTTCACCAGATATTTTGGAGCAGAGAAAGCCCTCCGCTTGGTGCACTTTGAGCCTCAGATGAAAACCAGGAGATCGGCAGAGATGGATCTTCTCTTCCCGAAGGATCAGGTGTCTGATCTGTGCTGCAGCTGTTCTGTGTGGAGTCCTGATTGGTCTTGATGGTGGTTGAACCCTTCCTCCAGGAGGTAGCATATCCAGATGCAGCCCCTGTGATGCTGCTGTCTGAAGCTTCAGTAAAGGATCTGAGCAGCAGGCTTGAGCAGGATGTCACCGTGGAGCGTTTCCGGCCCAGCATCGTGATAAGTGACTGTGAGGCCTACGACGAGGTGCGTTCCCCTCATCTTTGAATGAAGAAGTATCATTTTCTACTTCTGACTAAATTGGTCTCCAACTGCTTTGATTTATGTTTTGTTGTTCAGGATTCTTGGGCGGAGATCCAGATTGGCAGTGTGAGGCTACAACGTGTGATGTCATGTGGAAGGTAACACGGCATCTAGAGCCCACCTCTCTGGGAATCGTCACATTGAACCGTGTCAACGTGAAACAAACTTATCTGTGATTTCTGTTGTTGCCAGATGTGTTCTGACCACAGTTGACCCGGAGACTGGTGTGATGAGCAGAAAAGAGCCTCTGGAAACTCTGAAAAAGTGAGGATTTCCCTACAGAGAGGATTAGTTTAAATGTTATCTGGAAATGGTCGGCTGGTGTTGGCGGTCATTCAATCCACTTCTACGAGATAATCAAACAATTGAGCTCAAACTGTTTAAGGGTTGTGTCTCATTAATGATCCTTGCCATATTTAAAGGAGCAATATGTAAGAATTCTACTGTGAAGCAATCACAAAACAGTCTAATGTCTCAATCATGCTGGAGGAAGGTCACATTGAAGCAGATTTCTTTCCCAGCTGGCTGGGGGGTTGTCAGTTTACATCCTTTCAAAAAACAACAAAAGGAAGCTTGTTGCTGTTTATAATCTGTGAGGTTGCTGAGTCTGTGCAGAGCTAACGCTGCAGCACCGGCATTTGTAATTCAGCACGCCCTGCAAAACACTCCAGCTTCATTTAAAGAATTAACGCCAGTTAATAGGAGCGAATCAAAAGTTATTTCTTGTACCCCTAAGAAGCCATGGCATCCATTTGTATTAAGCCTGATTCATGCTTCTCCGTCTGCGTCAGTGCGGAGACACACAACGTCCTTGCGGGCCTGCCGGAGAGCTCCGCAAGGACAGACGGAGCCGAGCTCTCTTTTCTAAACATCCGTCAGTCGAGACGGATAACGCAAGCTTGTGATTGGTCAGGACGCCGCTGTTGTCTACACCACCGCCATTGCGCCCTCAAAAACATAAAGAGAGCTGAGGATAATTAGCGGCAGACATGGAGAAGCTTGAAGAACACCTCGCGAAAAAACTCTTAAAAACATGAACGTTTAATTCTCCCGTGACTGGAGGAGTGAAAAGATGCGCAGCAAGCGTTTTATTTGTGGACGGAAATGACAGGAAACGTGGGTTTAGAGGTGGCGAGTGCATGAAGAGGTGGAGGAGAATGAGAGACAAATTTGTCCGTGTTAAAAGTCTCTTATATACAAAAAAACACAATATAAACACACTATCTTGGACCGATACATGACAGGATGCCGCAGAACAGCTCTACGCCCTCTGTTGTCCTGCCGGGCAATTGCTTTGCAACACTCTCCAGGAGACGGAGAAGTATGAAAGCAAAACGCTTCCGTCAATCCGTGCGTGTCTGTCCCTTGCGGAGCTGACGGAGAAGCATAAATCAGGCTTTACTCATTGAGTGAGGGAGGCTAGAGGCTAATGTTGAACTAACAATGCTTACAGTGAATTAGAAGCAGCCAGTTCTAAAAACTATCTCAAGCTACTTTTTCCATTACCAACAACTGGATATTACAGTGAAATGTATGTGTGAAGTGAATGAGTCAATTGTGGCATTTTACTTACTTTAAAGAGTCGTTCAGAACAATGACAGCAAGGAGACCAAAAACCACACTTCCTCCAATGTTGGAGGTATACTACCGTAATAAGTGTAGTAAGTGCTCCCTACACCCAAGAGTGCCAATACCAGGTATGAGAATGTGTTCATCTTCTCATCATTTACTGTGTATGACTCGTCTTTGCTTGTCATCTAGAATCTTTTGGTGCGTATCTGTAACCGGCAACAGCCATGAAATTCATGGAAATGACTTTTTGCTTAGAAAATGGCCTGCAGTACCCAGATTTGACCACAAGACGTCATTCTTACTCCATTCTTTTTGCACATTTAAGGTTTATCAGCTCACCTTCTCATTTAAACCTGCTGGGAGTCAGACGGCTCTGAATAGTTTCATTAAGTCAGTTAATCAATAGAATTTAATAAAGATGTACCTGCTTTAGCATTCAGATGTTCGACATGTTCACTTATGATTGAGTCTCACAGACTCTAGATGTGGGTTTTATTTGACCTGATTCCGTCCAGTTCCCCACACACTATAGAGCTCCGGACGTCACGTGACTCTCAGAGAGTAGACGCCATGTTGGCAGGCAACAAAGTTAAACAAATTGAACGGGATCGGCTTGGAGTTTACTCCGTCGGAGTTTACTTCACACTATAAAACCGAAGAAATCATTTTATATAGTCAGAAATTAAATAGACTGAACATCTCCGACCCTTACCGTGCTCCTGGGATACTTTTTAAAAACGCCAGAAGCTGTCGGAGCGGACTTCTTACCGGACCTGGCCAAGGAGCGCCTTGGGATTTCCCTGGAGGAGCTGGCCTAAGTGGCTGGGGAGGGCTACTGCCCCCGCGACTAGACTCCGGATAAGCTGAAGAAAATGGATGGATGGATGGACAAATAACAGATTTACTTGTAAGTAGTTTAAATAGAGCGCTGTGCTGTTTGAATGTATAAACTGAACGCCAAGAGAAATCCCTAGTCTGATTTTTTTCCGTGAATAAAATAAAAATGTCAGGCAGGAGCGTCTCAGGATCTGTCTGAGATCCATCTCGGTGAGACAGATAATAGCAATCCAAAGTGCTTTTTATGTGTGATCTGACAATTGATCAACCATTGCTTAAAATTAAATACAGCTTAGCCGGTTAATAGCTGTGATCATAAAACACGTAAACGGCAGCACGAGGAACTCACGAGGCAACGTTTTACGTGATGTTTACTTGTTGCTATGAGTAATAAGACAGAAAAAGCCACGCCAAAATAAGTTTAGGAAGCCCACTAAGAATCGTAATAAAAGCATTTAAAATAAATACCACACACAGTTGAGGAAACGTTGGTTTAAGTACCTGATATGAAGTGGTCGCTGCATAAGAGAAAACCTTTACTCTCGGGATCCCACAGCTTCATTTTAGCCCGGTCACTAGTGCGTTTTATTACAATGATCCAACATTTGCGGCGCTCCGGATCTTGGGGAATCCTGTAGATGGCTCATCCCTTATGTCGTCCGCGTCTGTTCTGCATCCTGGGGCACAACAGGAATCTACCATATTTCCCGTTTGAGTTTTCTGACAATAACAAATAGCCCAGCTGGGGGCTTCTGCCTGCCAAGATGGCGCCGTTTCGATTTGAACTGTTGCATGCCGGGAGAAGTGACGTCAACTCCCGGAGCTCTGTAGTCCACTGGATCGCAGTACAGGCTCTGGTACCTCTCCTCTTTTCTGATGAACACAGGAACCAGACCCTCCAGGTGCCGTTGGGTTCTGCTGCTTATAGGGTGCCAAGTTCAAACCAGCTTGTGTGTTTGAACACGAACACCATGTTTTTAAGGTGGACTTAGGTGTGACCCTTTCAGCCTCCGCTGATGAAGTTTTTCTCCACAGCTATCGCATGTGTGAGCCATCCGAGAAGCACATCTATAAAACCTCCCCGTTGTTCGGACAGCTGCACAGCGTGAAGAGGACCGGGGACCTCCAGGTTGGAGATGTAGTTTATAAGATCACCCGGTCATGAGGAGGACTGGGGGGTTGTTAATAAATCACACACAAAGATCTAAAGCTAAAACCCTGACATGTTAATCATTGATTATGTATTTTTGTACTTAAACATTTTTTAATTCTCATCATTACTAACAGAATAACAATTAAAGACCTTCAAGCATCACAGAGTGTTTGCTAGCCCACCTTTATGTTTACCTGTTCTACAGGACGTCTGGGTCCTCTGCTACCTGCTTGTTTATCTGTCCCTATGCTCCAGAAAGCTGCAGATGAATGACCCTTCTGGGCTCTGTTCCTCTGTTGTTTCAGCTTTAATTACTGAGGGAACATTAGAAAAATTATATATTCTTCTGTTATTTATAGAAGGACTAAGTATAGGAATTAAAATCAAGGACTGGAGAGCAGACACGTTTCATTCCTCCTAGAACATCTTCAGTGAAAACTAACTGAAACTCCTTTACCAGCATAAAACACTGTGAGTTTAGTAGATAATCTGTGATAATCTATGAGTTATTAACAAGGGCGTCAGTTTGTTTCCAGAATTGCTGGGGACAATAACCATACACTTGAGTGGGGTTTAAAAATTGCTGGGGACAATAAAGTAGGCTAGCACAGGGGTCGGCGGCTCTGGAGCCGCATGCGGCTCTTCCATCCATCTGATGCGGCTCTGTGTTTGTAAAATAATGAATGGATATTTAAATAAAATGCTTTATATTTTACTGCATTAATTTTACATCTGTATACCAATTCTAAATGTAAAGATTGTCTGCGTAAACCTGAACAGGTCCAACCTGGTCTTACTGTGAGACCGGGTTGACGCGTCACGCTTGTGCGTAATCATATGCGCTTTATTAGCTGAAGACGATGTGAGATTCTGGGATTCTCCTCAGACGGCTCCTGGATGTGTCGCCACATTGGAGACGGGAACAAGCGCTATTCAGCCAAAGTTTCATCATCAGGGAACATTTTCTAAGTGACAAGTCTCTCTGAGAGACCGGGTTTGGAAAACACTCGCTTCAGTGGGAGGAACCTTCCCACATGCGCTCTGGGTGGCTCTGGGGTTAATCAAGTTTAATTGTTTCTCTTTGCAACAATCTTCACAAGAAGGCAAAACAGTTAAACGGCAGGTTACATATATTTCCATTTGACTGTTTATTTTGACAGATGAACTCAAGGATGTTGCTTGGTTTGAAAGAATTACCCCCACGCACACTTATGCACATGGATGAGCTGACATTTTAATCGTTAACGCACATCGCGGAGGTAAAAGATTCCCATCAGAACATCAGAGCTTTATACTGGACACTGTGTTCAGCGCGGCTCGGAGCGCCCACGGTGGACAGTGAGCTGAAGATCTGAGGGGTTCGCAGCGCAGCGCAGAACCATGGTGCATGCAATGATTTCCTCCCACTGAAGCGGTCTGGAAACCCGGTCTCTCTGAGGGATGTGTCACTTGGAAAAATGTTCTTTTTATGAAATTATGAAACTGGCTAAACAGCGCTTGTTCCCGTCTCTAATATGGAGACGCATGATGCGTAGAGACATTTGATCACGCAAAGTTCGTGTGGAGCAGAAGCGGTCGGGCCACGGCAGGTGAAATGTTCCTAGCCTACATGAAGGGAAACTGTTTAATTGTAACATTAATACGTTACTGGACACGCTGGTCTGGTTGGTTAGACCAGTGTTTGAAGTGGAAAACACACACACACACACACACACCAATTAAAATATATGCTGATAGCATGGACTAGAAGACAGGTGATGGTTTACGTATTCAAATGATGATCAGGCTGCTGTAAAATGTAATCTCCATCCACATCCAGACAGAATCATCCTCTATTCTGTCTCTATTTGCTCTGCTCTTGTCTGGGCTGATCAGCTGATGGTGCGCCTAACTAGCGGCTGATGCACATTTTACGCATTTGGAGAGGTGGGCTGGATGCTGTGCGTTTACTGGAAGATGGTTAACGCACGGGTGTAGACTACATATTAATGACAAATGAATGAAAATTAAATTGTGAGTTTTTACTTCATATTTTATAAATAAAAATGACGGGGGAAAACATTTATGACGTCTTTTTAAACTAAATTTTCTAGCACGACCTGCCTGCTTCACTTAAGTCACTGCTTATTAAGGTCCGTCCAGAATTACTGTGGGAAACGGGTAATAATGGCTCTTTGATGGGAATAGGTTGCCGACCCCTGGATAAGATCTGAGCTGGTAAAACAAAAATCCTCATCAGCAGGCGTTTTTGAAAGTGGGGGGGACACAGCTGCCAATCACAAATTTTGCCGGGGACATGTCCCCGGCGTCCCCGGTTAAAATGACGCCTATGGTTATTAACTTCAACATTACATTTAATTAGATTTAATTGCCTAAATTGTCCAGTAGGGTGCAATATGACCTTCCTGTAAAAAGATGTATTGTGTCAAATAAAATCTTCTGGTTCCATAACTGTGTTTTTTGTATTCAGTAATGAGACATTAAAGCCATCTAATGAGCTAATTCTACCAAATTAGTTTAAATAATCTCAGATTTTTTTCTCTCAATCTGAGTCAAAGAAAAAGTACACTAGGTCAGTCATCCTTCTGTGTTAGGGCAGCTCAGGAATAGAACAACATCCCAGATCTGTACATACACCTTATGCCGCACCCTTTTGAAAAACTGGCTCATCAATAATAAAACCTGTCAACACTGACCTGCACTGCCATCCTGTGTGCTCAGGCTATATTGTCCTTTGACTCAACTAATTATTGCATGTTGTACACTTTTACTAATAATATTAATACTGCCCTAATTTATTGTATGTTTATGCTTTTAAGAATAATGTAAATCAGACCTTTTATAAGTTGCATCTTAACAGCCGGTTGTTGCAGCATGTTGCCCCTTTATTTTATTTTATTTTTTAATCTCCGTGTGTACTCGAACCTTTTTTGCATTCGCTACTTAGGCATATCACCCTGTTCATTTTGTTACTAACATTTATTTAGTACTGCTTTCATGCTACTTTTTTTCTACATTGGACTAATGTGATGTTCAATTTTGTACAGGACTAATGTAGCTTTTATATAACAATCTTCATATAATTTACTTATGATTGTATAAGTGTTTCATAATGTCCTCCCTAGGATGCAGACTGTACAACTGGCACAGGACTACAGATGTACACTAGCCTATGGCTAACTCTGGCATGTTTCAGCGTGACTGATGTTAACATGCACTGTCCTGATTATTAAATAAATAAATTGAAAGTTGAGTCCAGATGATCACAGAAACTCAAAGGCTCGGAGTCACTTAGCTTCATAGTCGTAGTTCTTCGTTGCTCCTTGAGGAACTGTTGTGTTGGTGTTACATTTCTCACAAAGATGACAAAGATTTTCTAGTTGTTGTGTTTAAAACAATATCTCTCTGGAACCAGATTACAGATTATCCAACAGGTCAGAGATGAGCTGGAATCCGGATGTAAGGATCTGTGATCTGTAATCCATCAACACCTTTCTTTTTATGAATTTACTGGATTAGAGACAAACCACATCGGATGATGTGATCAAAGAACATTTTACATCAGCAGCAAAGCTATACATTTATTCCATTTTCAAATATATATTAAAATATTTATACAAGTTTTTTCATAAATCCTTGTTTTGTAAAATAATCCTTTATTTCTGTCGGCTCCAAGAGAAGAAGACAAAATCTAAATGAGTTAAGCTGTTTGTATAAAACCTGTGGAGACCCATAAAGGATGATTTGGTTAGGAGCCTCACAACCAACAGGCCTATTGAATATGGGCACACATCAGAGCTATCCCAGCATGCAACACTGTGGGATCTCATATTCACCCTATTGCTCAGAGGCACTCCAGCCTTGTGGACATAACAGCATCAGATTCCCGTGTTTATTTAATTTCTCTGCCTCCTGATTAAGTTTTCACCTGTAAACAAAGAAAAGCTGTGGAGAATCCGGTAAAGAGGAATAAATGTGGACGAGCAGGTTAAAGACCTTTAAAGATGCTCCTAGCTGTAGCTTTACTGACTTTTTAGTTTGTGACTTTAACCCTAACTGGAACCCCACCCCGACACAGCTGCAGGCTGGAAGCTAACAGCAGCAGCTGCAGAGTCCCGTCCATCTCATTAAACTGGAGCTTTGGAAGAACTTCTGTTCTGAACCAACATTTGTGAAGATTCTTGTTGGTTTTCAAGCTCCTGCCTGCAGTAGACTAATCTCTGAAACAGAACCCTCCTCCATGGATGGTTGGAATTTACCATCCAGCTGTTTGGAACGCTAAAGAAAGGGAATTATTCCTACTGCGTGGACTCATGAAGGATGATGTCCATTATCATCCTGTCTCATCAGGACATTTGTGGTCAACCCAACTTTTCTCATCTACAATGTTCTTTCCTTTTTTATGGAATGATGATGGCATGTGGCAACATCCCTGTGTAAGTTCTACTGATTTTTCCCAACCCAACACCAATAAGTCAGTAAAACGTTTCTTGAATAGAGGAAGGAGCTAGTCTCAGCTTTAAAAGGGGCATGACTATTTTATTAAGTTTTAATAATTCTGTGGTAGATACCTAACATGTTTATGAAATCCCTTGCACAAAATCTATCTCACATAAAGTGATTTCAGCAGTTTTATTCCTTTGTGTTTTCAGTACCTTCCAGAGTGAGTCGTTTCAGGGCTCTGTCACTTTAAGCAAACAAGCTGGAGCTGGCCACGCCCACCCATCTCCTGATTTTTCTCATGTTTGAAGTGTTTATAGAGGCATTGGAGGCCCACGTGACAGCACAACAGGATACAAAAGGTTAGTTTTACATAATACGTCCCCTTTAAGACAATAAATTTGTAAATGTATCTGTGTGTTTTATCTCAACTGGGTTTTAACTCATTTACTTTCAATTCATTTTAAATCCAACTGTTCACTGCCATTAACGACTAAAGTCGTCATTTGCATTTTTTTGCCGTGTGGGCATCGGAACAAGCTCCCGCACCGTGAGAACAAACATCCCAGCTCTAAAGCCGATCTTCATCCGCATACGTCACACGTCACGTGATCAGGAAGCCGAAAATCCATGTGTTAGGAGATCGTTTTGGCCGCTACTGTAAAAAAAAGTGAGGCACGAACCGGAAAAGCTTCTGCCGATCACAATTCGACAACGGATTATGAAAGAATGGATAACGCTCGAAACGCGCAGATTCTTCCTGGTGTAAGAGGTGAGTCTACTCTTTGTTTGGGTAGTTTTGGTGTTGACATCATCCTAGCGCACAACGTTCTGTGACTTTAAAAAAAAACTGTAAAAACACTGAAAAACGCTGGCAGCGAAGGGCTTTTCTGATCAGGAGACGGCTGGCAGTGAATGAGTTAATGAATGAACCCAAAGTGAACAAAGTTCTGTTCTGCATCAGGAGCATCTGGGACCAACAGGAGACGTAGTAGAAGCCATTGGGATTTTTATTTTATTTTACAGAGACTCTTTGAGCTGTGACGGACAGATAAGTGACATAATAAGTCCATCTGACCAGGGAGGCAGATTTATGTGTGTCAGCGCCTCTCTCCTCTAATGTGGCCATGTGAACATCCCTAACAGAACGGCTGTGGTGGTTTAGCATGAACATTATGTACAGGATCTGTGTTTCATGTAAAGAGTCTTTATAATAATGATTTACATTTATTCTTACTCATCCAGTAAAGCTCTGGTATAATTGAAGGGAATGGAAGTCTGAGATTATCGGCTCCAGGTGCTGCTGGTTAACAGGAAAGCATTTCCTGTTGGCCTCGCCACATATTTATTATATAGTTTTTGCATGTTTGTTTGCCTTATTTGGTGTCATTTCCTGACCAATCAGAATGTAATCCTGAACCCAGTCGTTGAACTGGTTTGGTCCCAGTGGGATGCTTTTGGGATTGTGGGATAAATCCAGGATGCTTCCAGAAACATTTGCATAATAAAAAAGCAAAGCTACCTGCTCCGGAAGGAGAGATGCAGGTAAGATGAGTGTCCAGGTTATGTGGGCGGAGCCACAGAGAGCCGGGGGCCAATCAGCATCCTTCACTGGCCTCTCTAACAGAACATGAAGATAAAAAAAGTAATTCCTGTCTCATTCCAGAAGTTTAAACTCCACAACAGGCGGTCTGGGAGTTATTTAACCTCAGCGGTAGTGCTGCACGTGGGGGTTAGAGCGGCTTGTCATTTGCTGCGGTTGTTATGGAAACCACAGTCGCAGTGGTTTGTGTTTTGATCAGTGCTGTGGGGTTTAATTACAGGGAGCCTGTTGCAACACAGACACTTTGGATGTTTATATTTAACCCTGTAGCAGTTTAAATATGCTGAACTAACTGAAGCTTTTCTGAATTTGATGCTTATTTAGACTTGAAACCTGTTTGATTTGTTCCTAATTCAGAGCCGGCAAAAACCAACAGCTTTACAATGGCTAAGAATAAAACAGAAGTCAAGATGTGGAAAACAAATCTATGTTTCGAGCTCATCGCGTGTTCTAGTTTGAGATGTTTAAGTTTAAATCTGCTGGTTTACCTAAAGGTTAACGGGGTTGTGGCCATGGCGGGTTGATCCGCAGTGTGGAGGTGTTTGGTTGTTTTCTTCACACTTGGGTTGGTTTTTGCTGTTTAGTGTTTTTTATCTTCAGGTTGGTCTTGGTTTGGTTTGAGACGGTGGGATGAGTCTTCTCAGATGTTTGTGGTGTTGCTGCTGCTTCCTTCTGCTGCTTGTTCCTCTGTGAGTTGATCCTATTTATCAGACTGTTGGATGATTGTTTCGTATTTAAATTCTCAGAAACTCTTTGGTTTGTTCTTGGCTTCGCTTTGCCTCTGACAGCTTTCACCCCAGCTGCCTTCTGTGACGCTTCCTTGGTTTTCTTACTCACAGTTTTCTTGTTTATTTGTGCATCTTTATCGTTTTTCTGTATTTTGGTTTTCTTCCAGGATGTTGGCTTGTTTCTCCCTATTGGTTTTGTTGGAGGCGGTTTTCCTTTTGGTTTTGCAGTGGCAGCCATTGTTGTCACGCTGGCTGCTGTCGTGGTCGGCCTGCGCTGGCTGCCGCTCACCGGTGGTTTGGGGCTGGGTTTGTATTTTCTCGGCGGTGGTCTTGTTGGTTTTTCGTTTGTGTCCAGCACAGTCCCTGAAACGACCAAGATTAGCACCCATTAACCAACTTGTTCAACTCTGCAGCCGTATTTGCTGCATCTTGTAAAACTAGATTGGACATTTCTTTAAATGTCTGAAATATTTGTCTTTTTATACTTTATGCATGACCCCAGAGTCAGTTATACAATACAGATTTATAAAGACACAAGAAACAAAACAAAAAGTATTTGTAGGACAAAAGAGAAAACAATACCTAAACAGTCTCTGCTCTGATTCGTCTCTAACAATTATTGATGATGTTGACCAGTGTGTATATTTCCTGAGGTTAAAATTCCAAGCTGCTTAAAGAAACTATGACTTCCTAAAGACTGCTAGAATAAAACAGGAATTTAAAAGAAAAATGTAAATAATGGTGACATACGTTCCCTGGGGATGAATGGAAACTTTTTCCCCCTGACTTTGACAGGGAGAGGTTTCTGCCTGCACTTCCCTGGAGGAGCTCGCCTGCAAACGTTGACAAGTTTCATAACTTCAGTTTGGTTATTGGATACAAATACAGCAGAAGTTTACATGCATTCTTAATGAGCATGAATCTCTTGTTTAGTTTTAGGGATTCATTTGAAGTCGTTTTAAGGTGGAAGGATTCTAGAGGAAGATCTGGGTTCATGAGTTCAATTTTATAGAGGATTTCCTCTCTCGGGGTCAGAATTAGTAAATAAAATCCAGGCACAGACGTAAACACACAAACTGTCAATGAGTGGTGCTGAAAGTTCTTGGAGGTCTTTTAATTTGATATAGTTCAATTTGATATAGGCAGAAACTAACAGAACAGTTTGGTCTAAATCAGAGGTGCCCAATCCTGGTCCTCGATGGCCGGTATCCAGCTTGTTTTAGTTTTAATTCTGCTTCAACACACCTGATTTCAATCAGCAGGTGATTAACAGGCTTCTGCAGAGCCTGATGAGATGCTGCACAGGTGATTCAACCAGTTAATCAAATGTGTTGGAGCAGAAAAACCACAAAACCTGCTGGATACCGGCCCTCCAGGACCAGGATTGGGCCCCCCTGGTCTAAATTATTATCAGTAGTTGTTATCAAGGTACATTCAGTCCTAAACAATTTATTTAATATACTAATGAGATTTGTTGAAGGTCTAAAATCCCACAATTACTTTTGTTTGCCGATAATTTAAAAAAATTATTCTGGAAATTATCTAAAAATGTCTAAACCTAAGAAGCGGTTTAATGAAAACAATTATTAATGAATTGGAACACATAAAATTTTATTTTTAGGTCACAGTAAAAATTCTTATTTTATTTACAATACTAGTTTTACTGTTTTATTAAGTTAAACTTTGAGAGATAAATTTAGATTATGAAGTTGGAAACAAGAACTAAAATGTTTACTACATTATAGCAGTTTTTAAACAAGGAGACAGATTATTTAGACTCGTCAACAGACGATGTTTCTGTATTACTGACTTATTTAAGTCAGTAATACAGAAACATGGTGTGTATCTACATAAAATACATTTACATGAATGTTTTATTATAAAACATCCTGGCGTGTATGGATGCTACATAGATGTGTTTGAAACTTCACCTTGAAGGGTCCATGAATTTAAAGACCGTCCCAGAAGGAGATGTGGCGCTGGGGTACGAAGTGGCCAGAAAATACAGCTCCCCTGAAGAGCACAGGAAGGCCAGTCATTAAACATCAACAGTCAGCACAGACCTGAGCTAACTGAGCTACTGCTACCTGCTTCATCCTCAGCAAAGGAGATGATGAACTTGTGGTGATGGTTGATGAGTCCAGGAAACGAGCAGGTCGTCGCGTCCCCCATACACACACTCCGCTCCTTCCAGATTCCCGATGACTTATCTTCCTCTAGCGCCATGAGTCGGCTGGATGGAGAAAAGACCAAGAACCCAAATAACAATCTAAATCTGAACAGCAGATGAACAATCCTCCATTTCCTTTCCTGCTCACAGAAGTACTTTTTATTTTTATCTGGCACACAACAACACATCTTACCCACTCATGAAGTCTCCAAAAATGTACAGGCCATTCAGATTTGGTGATTCACATCCTCTGTACACATATCCCCCTGTGACAGACTTCCCAACATGATGGCTATATGCAAAGATGGGGAGGATGTCATCTGTTGTGACAGAGAGAAACACACTTGGTTTAACTCATCTCAAGTGGAGGAAACTGCCAGAAACAGCAGGTGGCTAAAGTATCAGAAAATAGATCTGGATCCAAATCAGGAGGAACTAAATCACTCACTCAGAGACGAGTTGTGGCACAGTTTGATGTCATAGCACTCGAAGCCCTCTTTCGCCCTCCACCCGTAGTTTCCTCCCTTCTCAATGATGTCAATTTCCTCGTAACGATTTTGACCAACATCTCCGCAGAATATCCGGCCCTTGCCGTATCGGCTCACCTGGTCTCCGCGGTCCACTGAGCACCGCCACATGTTCCGGACCCCGTATGCAAAGACTTCTGGGTAAGCATCCGGGTCATCGAGGAATGGATTATCAGGAGGGATCCTGTACTGTTTCCCTCCATGGCCGCTTCCATCCACATCAATACGGAGAACTTTCCCCAACATAGAACTCCTGAGTAGGCAGACAAAATAAAACACACGTATTTGGATGGAACAGAAAAGGAGACGAACTGGGTGTGACATTGAGCTAGATGGTTCCTCACATCAACTCTACTCTGAACTGTGATGGTTATCTGTTCATGTGGTTCTGGGGGAAGTAAAGTCATGGCTCTTGATAGGACCAGACCTTAAATAAGATCTGAAAATCAGTCCAGTATAATCAGGAAACCAGTGGAGTGAAGCTCTTGGTTTTGGAGCTCTGTTTTCTGGTTCTTGTTAGGAGACGAGATAAAACATTTGGCTCCTCCTGTAGACGATGGCGAGAGGACCGTAGGTGGCTAAAACAGGAGGACCTGAAAGAACCAGGATGCCCGATGTGGCAGGTGCTTACTGTACAGGAACAGGTAAGCTGACTACTGATGGGAGGCAGGTGTGAGGGACGAACCTAACTCACTAAAACAAAAGAACAGAACACGATGATCAGTTTGTCGGATATGAATAGAATCGCTGTGGACATCCACACTGTCCCGCTGAGACAAAACGATTCTGTCTTCTACAGTAAAATTCAGTTCCTGAAGGATCAAAGCTGCAGAAATCCCCGAGTCAGCAGTTAGGAGACCATCAACAAACCCTAAAAAGTTTTTTTTTCCAGCAATATGCTCATGGTGAGACTCTCTCCTTTAAACTGTGAGAGAAACATTTTCTCCAACATAAGAGGAGAGACAGAACAGTGTTGCTGTCACCCATCTGTGTTTCTAAAACATATTTAAGAATAACCTCATCTAAACAAACACTGGCCAATCTCATGTTAGAAGCTTTTCTTCTCAGACAAAGTTCTAATTTACCCGCCGGCCACGCTGGTTCGTTACCAGGAGAGGCTCTTTACAGATGGTTTATCAGCGTTTCTGTGGATCCAACCATGTGAAGCTTGTCTTCATTACATACAGAAGTTCCTTACTTGTTTTGTGCATTTCCATACTTCCCAAATGGATCCCCAGCTTTCCCACCATCTCCTGTGAAGATGTAGAGGTAACCATCTCGACCAAACAGAAGCTGGCCTCCGTTGTGGTTTGCAGCTGGTTCCTCGATCTCTAAAATGACCCTGACAACAAACACGATGCGGTTCATTACAACATGAAGGTTTGTACTTTCACGTTTTACTCAGACTTTGTCTTTTCTTTTTTTTGTCAGTTTTGTTCTGTTCTATCCGTTGTTTTCCTTCAACATTGAATCAGCTGAGATATTAAAGGCATGTTCCCCTGAAACACTTGATCACTGAACCATCTACAGTCATGTGGTTTAGGTGGAACCTCGATTCATTTGGTTCATACAATGGAAGCACGTTCAGAACTATTTCTTTTGGGTGATTTTAGGTTTTTGACAGCGAAACATGTAACTGGTGTGAAACATCTTCCCTGATGCTCATGGTGCCTTAGATTCCCACAGATTCATCCCACAACTGGATATCTGTGCTTCTAAACTAACCCTGCAGATTTAACTTTGCACATCAGTACAGGTCACTAACCTGACATTTCACACTAGCGCACACCCTGCAGGTGAGCTTTGATTCTTCAGCAGCTTCCCCATCCCGTACGTCTCTTCTGACGCCGTGTGTGATGGCAGAACAAGCCTGGGGCGCTGGAACAATGTTTCTTCAGCTACAACTAAAACCTGAAGCCTGAACCTTAGTGAAAACTCGGATTACGAGACTTAACCTCTTGCTTTTAGACACATTTTTACTGTTTTACACTGTAAAGGTCAGTCTAGCACTCAGCTTCGGTGAACTTCCCCTGTCTCTGACATGATATTAATCTGTAATCCCTGTAGATTTGCAGGTTGGCTAAATAAAAGATTTAAACACATTTAACAGAGATGTTGTCACTGTTACCTTTCTGAGAGCGGATCAGCCACGTTCATGTTGTTTTCAGATACTTTCATCTCACTGATTCGAATCTTCTCCACCTTGCCGTTGATCTGGATGGAGTAGTAGATAAAGAAGCGCCCGTTGTCCCAGTACTTAGGGTGGAAGGCCATACCCAGGAAGCCCCTCTCATCCCCCAGCCAAGGAGTGGTCATTACCTCCCCACTCAGATCCAGGAAGGGCTGTTCCAGCCGGCTGCCGTCACGCAGGTAAACCCAAACAAATCCTAGCTGCTCTGCGATGAACATCCGGTGCGTTTCGTCACCGCTGTGCAGCATCAACACCGGGTTCCTGAGACCGTTGGCCACCTCTGTCAAGCACAGCTGGAGACACCCTTTCGGGTCCTCCACAACTTGTCCCAGGTTGCTGTTCAGGTCAGTGCTCTTCAGGACGTTGGGGTAGCAGTAGTCCTGGTCAGGCAGGTCGGCTATGCTGCAAAACGTGGACACGTCCCGATCAGAGGTGTCCAGCAGCAGCTGGTTCACTGTCAAATACCTCAGCACATGGCGACACTTGGCATGAAAATCAGAGCAGTAGCTATGACAGAGTCCAGGCAGGTCTCTGATTGGTGTGTGGGGATCCTCAGCATCATACAGATGGGCAGCGTATGGAGAGCATTCCTGGGTGGAGACAAAGCAGCAGCTTGGTTCAGATAAAGCAAGGAAACGATTATGCTAGCTTGTTTATTTCTTACTTTTTCATTGATTCTTCATGAGCTTTTAACAGTATTCAACCTTGTCTTTTAGGACACAGATTACAGAGCCACAGAGCTTTTATATCGACTCGTGTCATTAGGGTGTGATTGTCTTACACATAAACAGCTGCCAGAGCAATTACTCTGGACACCATATTACCAAATCTGCAGATGATTCTGTCCTTGTGTCACTTTTAAGTGGGAGAAATACAAAACATGGCCTTATAGGGATAGATACAAAGCTTAGATAGATAGATAGATAGATAGATAGATAGATAGATAGATAGATAGATAGATAGATAGATAGATAGATAGATAGATAGATAGATAGATAGATAGATAGATAGACTTTATTGTCCACCTCAAATTGAGGCAGAAATTCGCTTTTGACATGGCTCACCTTACAATACAATCCATGTCGCATTCACACAAATATATAAAAGACAATTAAAAGGTATTAAAATGTTATCGTAAAAAAAACTTTAAGAGTTGAAAATTGTAATTGTGGTGGGAACAAACGATTTCTTATCGACACCTTTCTTGGCTAGTGGAACTCTGTACCTCCTTCCTGATGGAAGTAGCTGAAAATGTGGGTTCAATGGATGGGTTGAGTCTGCACTGATCAGGGTAGCCTTCCTGTGCACTGCTCGCTCGTGAAGAACAGAAAGTGGGATCTGAGGTGAGCCTGTGATTTTGCTGCCTAATTTAACAATGTGAGAGAGTTGTGTTTTGTTTTTAACTGTAAGAAAGTTATACCAAGCTGTAATATTGAAAGTTAGAATGGATTCAATCAGTGATTTGTATACAATTGTTAGGATGTCCTTGTTCACATTGAGTGCTCTTAGCTTCCTTAGCAGGTGGAGTCTTTGCAGCGCTTTCTTGTAGACACCGTTGCTGTGATTTGCAAAGGACAGGTGGTCATCGATTTCTGTTCCCAGATACCGGAATGACTGAACCTGCTCCGCAGGCTGACCCTGTATGCTGAGGGGTTTGAACAGGGATGGGTCTGCCTCACTGACTGCCCCACAGCACATTTCTTTAGTTTTTGAGATATTCAGCCCCAGGTGAAAGTCTCCAAATGTCTGGACCAGATTGCTGACTGCCTGCTGATATTTAGACAGGTCCTCCGATGTCTTTACTGATGCCACCAGTGCCATGTCGTCTGCATACTTATACGTGGCCATTCTCTCACTAAGGCACCAGATGTTGCTTGTGTAGACTGAGAAAAGGACTGGAGACAAAACACAGCCTTGTGGCAGCTTCCCTTTTAAAGATTTAAGTTGACCCATTTAATCAGTACATTTGCAGTGGTCTCTGGTACAAATGAATGCCTTGAGAGTCAGAGAAAAAGCTCTGGCTTTCCTATTTCAGGAAGTAGAAGTTAGCCGGAGGAGTTGGGAGGAGCAGACAGCATGTGGAGCCTTATTTCCTGATATTTAAACATCTCTCCTCTGATTGGCCAACAGCAACGTTACTCAACCACTGACTCTGTTCACTCTGCAACGTTGATGTTTTGTCTTCACATAAAACAAAATCTTGAAGGAGTTCTGCTGTGTGGTGGAGTTGATAATGCTAACGGCTAGCTTCTACAAGTCGAGACGTTCTCTGCTGTTTCCTGGACCAACGACAGCTTTTCATGTCGTGAGTCAAGATGGGTGGGCCCATTTAAGTGTGGCATATATCTGTCAGGATTTTCTAATCACAGCGTTCCCTGTCCATTTTCAATCAGCATCTAATGCAGGAGATGGGTGTAGAACGCAGGTTTCATGTTCAGCCTGCATGAACTACAACTGATCGTAATTTTTTTTAAAGTAAAGCATTTTCTCTGTGAACTTGGTCTTTAGACATAAAAGTGGAGAGGACAAAATAAATGAGTTAATTTCAGGGAACCCCCTCCTTGATTAGAAAAAACCTAATGATGCCTCAGTTTAAATGGGGTGGGGGGGGGGGACTCACAGGTGATAAATTGAGCTTCATCTCCCAGGTAGAGTCAGTGGTTAAGAAATCACTGCAGCATTAACTTTAAAATGTATGGTTTCATTTAGATCAGCGGGTCCAAACATCCCAAAACAAGACAGAATTTCAAGTTAAAAGTCCTGTTGGGTCACATAAATGTGATGATTTTTTAAAATTTAAAATGCAACAACTATTTTTATGGTGATATCTTTTGTGTGCACTGTTTGAATGTTGTCCTAGAGTGAGATCGTTAGCAAGAGTCTTATCAAAGAAATTGTCAGCAGCGCACTGGAGAGGCAGAAATCCACCATAAATCAGAAGCCACAAACAAGCAGCATCCCTCAGGCTGCACTTAGGATAAACCTGATAGATGAAGATGAAATAAAACTAAACTTTCACACAAGTCTATCATCCTAATTCACCAGCTCATAAATAATTCATTCCCCTTGAATGTCTTATTATGTTGCTCTGTTTCCAGCATTTTCCATCCAACACAATGAAATAAATGAAGCGGCCCTCACCTGACACATGATTTCTTTCAGCATGTCCTCACACAGGTCGTGACCCGCCGTCTCCAGCTGCTCTATTATGTCCCAGTATCTCTCCGCGATCATGTTGTCGGCTTTCTGGTCGCAGCAGCCAAACTCTTCATACTGGGTACAAAACTCCAGGTGCCAATGGGGTTTGAACGGTGGCTCAAAGTCGAGGCACTGGGGGTGAGCTGATGCTTGACTGAACAGCAAAATCAGCGACAAGATCAGGATCAACTCAGGTGGGCTCTTTTCAGGTGGAGTCGGAGCTGCGTTTGTGCGTAAAACCGCGCAGCCTGCATCTTTTGGATGGTGCGCGGAATGTCGCTTACTTGACATTTCTGCCTTCTAACCCCGAGACACTTCCAGCTTTACTCTCCTTTATATAGGCTTGGAGCAGCTGTGTGTGCGCGCGCGGGGATGTACGCGTGCGCAAAACAATGTTAGTGGAGGTGTATCTTTTCTCTCCACATTTTTACGCACCGGGTTACCAACTTTTAACCAATGCAGCCATGCTAATTAGTATCTAATTAACCTTAAACAATCATGAAAGTCAATAAATCAACTTTTTATATTTATAACATTTTTATTCTTTCAGAGCGTTTTCCTCACAAGAATCTAAAAAGACGCACATTGTCTCTCTCTCTCTCTCTCTCTCTCTCTCTCTCTCTCTCTCTCTCTCACACACACACACACACACACACACACACACACACACACACGACAGAGGGATATTTTTGCACACAAAAAGGGTCGCAACAGCGCAAACTGTAATTATGTCGCACTTCCATGTAAAAGCGCCTCGGGCCGGAGCTGTCTCAGCAGCACATGGCTGTCTGCAGCTCCGTGGTACATAAACTGTTCCAACCTGTCAGAACTTAGAACTTAGAGTCTCCTTTCAGAATTGGTGCCAAAGAAAACAGCCATTTGTTCTGTTTGTGAGTGAAGAACACGAATCAGCAGATTTCATTGAGATTAATTTGCACACCAAGTGAGATCACATCACTGGGTTTGGATTCGAAGGAAAGCGCCTCTGCATGATCATGTGTAGGCCCTACTGCTTATTAATTATATTTAGATTAATACAAAACAACAAATGTCAAATCCACACTTCAGAGATGAAAATCCAACGTGGTCACTTCCAAACTTCCAACTGTTGGACATTGACTAAATCTAATTTTGGTTCAAGTCCATGACACTTCCATTGCTCTACTCTGCTATTCCATCCAACCCCTCTGGTTTTAGTAATAATAGGCTCGACCCTCACTAAACGTTTGACAGTTTAGGAGGCACCTGCTGAAATCGTTTTATGTAAGGAATTTAATCCAAATCGGCCATAGAACTATAGGGAAACAATCATAACACATCTGCGTTGACAGGAAATGGAAGTGGGTGCACTCTGGCAATGGATGGTAAAATCCCGTTTAAGCTGTATTTTTGATGTGCGGAGTAAAATGGAGCTCGGTGCCCAGAGGAGTTGAGAGCTTTTGTTTAGTCTTTATTATTATTATTATTATGGTTTATTTTTTAGTTTTGCTTACACACAAGCTATGTTATTTTTCTGGTGTTGTCAGATACAAGCTGTAAATGTTTTGATCTGAGTCATAACGATTTAAAACGCAAAACACCAAAAAAAAATTAAAAAGCAAGATGAAAGAAGGGCACATTTTACATAAAGAAATTGTAAACAATAAAAATACAAAGGTGGAGTGAGAAACACAATACAAAAATAAAAACAACACCACCTATAGTCATCCATATTTAAAACATACATTTGGGTGGGACATGAAAAATAACTGAATAAAAAATACATCAAATGAATGTCTACTTCAGCAGGAGAACAGGGGTGTGGAAACGTATCTATTTGTATAAATTTTGAAAAACCACACACCTTTTCACGTGTCTGAGCAGAACCTCCCTGAACCGTCGGTGGTTCAGAATGCCTGTGCTCGGCTTCTGACCAAGTCCTCCAAACACACCCACATCACCCCGCTTCTCCTCCAGCTTCACTGGCTGCCAGTCAACTTCAGGGTTCATTTCAAGATCCTGGTTCTGGTCTATAGGGCCTTACATGGACAAGCACCATCTTACATTGGTGATCTTCTTAGTCCCTACACCCCCAGCAGGTCCCTGAGGTCCAGTGACCAAAGCCTACTGGTTGTGCAGCACCAGGCTAAAGGTCAAAGGTGACAGATCATTTGCTGCTGTGACCCCCAGACTCTGGAACTCTCTCCCCCCGAGCCTGAGATCAGTGGACTCAGCGGTCTCCTTTAAAAAGCAGCTGAAGACTCACTTGTTCACGCTGGCTTTTGTATGACCTTCTTCACCACTCTCTCTTTATTCTGCTCTCCCCACCTATTCCACCTTCCTCAGGATCCACTGATTTCCCTCTTTCCTGTTCACTCTCTCTCTCTTTCTTAACATTTTTATCACAATTGTCTATTTTTGCTCATTTTAAATATATTTTTTTCTAAATGCTTTTTTATACTTTTACATTTTTGTTTTTGTGAAGCGCCTCGTGATTTTTATCTTGAGAGGCGCTATAGACAAGATATTTTCTTCTTCTTCTTCTTCTTCTTCTTCTTCTGCTACCTAAAACTTGTACCTCGTTGTTTTGGACATTTATGCTTTTGAGTAATATTTTATCTTTACAGTAAAATACCACTGTTCATTCTTTGGGTCTATTCATTTTTTACCCAAACAACAAAAAATGCATATTTCGTATTTTTCCAGCAGGTGGAAGCAATGAGCCAGAAAACGCTAAATGGAACGGAAGTGGAACTTCTTCCTCAGTTTCATGAAAACAAAATAGATGTAATTTGTTAAAAGTGCATTTAAAACACCATTTAGACGTTTAGTGTTTAATTAAACAGTTTGTTTACTTTTATAAAGTGGGGGATTATTTTTAATTTGGCGCCAATCCTTTGTATTTTATGTTAAACTGATTAATATCACGCCCTTATTTTGAAGGTTGACTTGCTGCTTTCCGGTCATGTCTTAGCTAGTTGTTTTGTCTGGGGCGGTGATGAGAAAGAACTGGCTAATTTGGCTACGAAACTGTTTTGTTTATCGTACCCACGCAAAGGCAGCGCTCCGGCATGGCACTGTAAAGGTGAGCGGGAGGGAGTCCGTGTTCGCTCCGCGGTTGACAGGAGCCCGCCTACTTCTCCCCGCCGAGCCGAGGCGCTGCTCTCCAGATCATTTACGGCGGTGTGGAAGCTGAAGTCTCCACAATGAGCTCGGAGCGCCAGAGCGACAGCGAGGACGCCGACGAGTCTCGGGACAGGCCCAATACCGGTAGCGTGCCCGACCAGAACCAAGACCCTGCTGTCGAAGAGTCGGACAAGGAGGATGACACCGCTCCAGTGGTTTCTTCTTCGCCGCCGGCGAGCAGCGAGGAGCGGCCGGGGCGCAATGCGAGGTCTCCCGTGCCAGCAGAAGGAGAAGCTCGCAGCCCGTCGCCAGCCACTGCGCCGCAGACCGGGAGCGGAGGGAGCAGCGGGAAGGGTCTGTTTTCCTGGCTGCAACATAGGACTACCAGGCGGGGACTGTTTGTAGACCCAGCTAGGGACAACTTTAGGACAATGACAAGTCTGTACTGCTCCATGAACCCTGCTGTGGAATCGGTCAACCTGAGCACCCAGACCCACGGAGCGGTGTTCAACCTGGAGTACTCCCCGGACGGGTAAGCGGAACCAGTAGCGGTCTGGATGTAGGGCCTTTTAGACTGAGACCTACACAGCTGCTTCGCCCTTTTGGACTCAAAGGTCACGATACATACATAAAGGTCATTATTGTTATTATTATTAATCATAGAAACTCAAAACACACACACACACACACACACACAGCTGTTGTAGGGAATTAGTGCAGCCTGCCAGGGTTCAGCCTCCGTGACTAGACAGCAGATGTAGGAAGTAAATCCTGCAGCCAAACCGGGTCAAGGTGTCTGGTGTGGATCACGTTGGTTTATGTGTTGCTGTGAGAGCCTCGTGTCCCTGAACCTAACCCTGAGCATGCAGGTGGAGGTCTGCTCCCGTCTCTGAGCATGTGTAGTCATGCCATCAGCTGCTCACAGAACTGATTTTGTAGCAATTTGCTAATGTTGTGATTTCTCGCACATATGGCAATAAAACCCTTTTGGTTCTGGTGGAAATGTAAATGACACCGAGGCTCTTCTGTAGAATTACAGAACACTCTGTGGGAAATGAGAACCTTGAAGTAAAACGGTTTCCTGAGCTTTGTCCCAGTCTCAAACGTGTGTTTACTCTGACCAGGTCTGTGCTAACTGTGGCTTGTGAGCAGACCGAAGTCCTCCTGTTTGATCCCGTCTCGTCCAGGCACATCAAAACCCTAACGGAGGCGCACGAGGACTGTGTCAACAACATCAGGTAGATGTCTTTCTCTCACAGGCTTCATAAAGCTGATACACCCATGTTGTGGTTCAGGATGACTCTTCGTTTCATCAGAACAAGAGAATCTATCAAAATCCACCTGCTGAGTTCCGCTGTTCAGCTTCATATCTACTGAGACTGATGATTCCCACCTTGCTTCTGTAGGTTTTTGGACAATCGTTTGTTTGCCACCTGCTCTGATGACACCACTATTGCATTATGGGACCTGCGTAAGCTGAGCTCAAAGGTCTGCTCACTGCACGGCCACGCCAGCTGGGTGAAGAACATCGAGTACGACACCAACACTCGGCTCCTGGTCACGTCTGGCTTTGATGGCAACGTCATCACGTGGGACACAAACAGGTCGGTTACCATTACAACCGGTAGAACCTTTAGCTTAAAGCAAATGTGTGTAAGTGATTTCATAATAAATATCTGGAGATGACGTTGTTGGGTGGTGGAAGGAACAGTTTGAGGATCTCCTTAAGGTGGCCACCATGTCTTCCACTGAGGAGGAAGGGTTTGAGGACTTGTCAGGTCCATCAGTCTCACAGAGGATCTAAACCTTCCGCTTTGACCAACATCTTTAATGGACTCTCTTCCTTCCTTCCTGAAGGTTCACAGAGGATGGCTGCCCTCACAAAAAGTTCTTCCACACTCGCTACCTGATGAGGATGCGTCTGACGCCTGACTGTTCCAAGATGCTCATCTCTACATCTTCAGGGTACCTGCTCATCCTTCATGACCTAGACCTCACCCAATCCCTGGAGGTGGGCAGCTACCGCATGCTTCGGGCACGGCGGACTCCCCTCAGCTCAGGTTAGAACGCCCACGTGTTTCTGAAGGTGGATGAACAAAGATCACGTATCAGGTCCAAATGTGGGTTTAAACGCGTGTAGGGCTGTGTTGAAAAAATCGATTCTCATAAATATTCACGAGGATCAATTTGTGCGTCTAAAGATCGATTTAACCCTTTAAGCGCCAAAGTCGCAAAATTGCAAGCGTCTTTGCTGACGAGCCACAGCTGCAAATATGCTCCCTCATGAAGATAGTGGAGATGTCTATCTTTAGTAGCCTGGACAACACTTGTGTTTATATTGAAGGTTTCTGAGTTTTTAGAGCTAGAAAACGGCCTCCCGCTGGGAGTCTCCCGGTTATGGGAGAGGACAAGAGGAGCAAACGTAGGGCGAATATTATAAGGAAAACTTTAAAATGCTGACAGGTCTGGTCATTGTTGACTCTCTTTGTCGGGTAATGACTGACTCTGATTCAGAAGAAGAATATTGTCTCTCTGGTGAAGATATCTAGTCAGACACAGTGACGCTGCTGCGCGGAGCAACAGAGTCAGTGCTGCACGTGAAGAAAGTAAAGCTAAAGCCGGGCGTACACTGTGCGACTTTTTCACTCGTAGCACTCAGCTTCAGCTCAAACTGTACGACTTCCTCGCAGAGCAGATCTCACGAGTCCTGTGCTCACACTGTACGACCCAGTTCTCGGATGCGACCTGACTGCTCACACTGTACGTCTGGTAGCAACATGTCGACCCTAAAAATATGCTAAAAATAGCAGTTTTTACTCAACATGTTAGACTTTTTTGTGTTGTTTTGCCTGTTGTTCTTCAGGAGTGCTGCAGGAGGACACACAGGGATTTATGGGGGTTGGATGAGGAAAACGAAATAAAGAAAGTAAATCTGTGTTTTGTGATCAGTTTAATTTGACATGAACACGACAAACACGCTTTCTTGACAATCTTTGTGAGTAAAAAAACATGTAGAAATTAAAACATGTGTTATTAGGGAAATAGCGGGGAGCGGTGTTGATGCAGGATTGCGCATGCGCCAGGAGCGGTTCTGATGCATTTTGGGTTGCAGCTGCTCGCAGCACCGCTTCAACAGTGCGATACCCTCACGAGGGACGAGCGAAATATTAAACATGCCAGAAGTCCGTGCGAGCTCACAATTGCTGATCGGTAGCTGGTCACGTGGTGTTAATCGCCTCTCGTGACCCCCTGTATACTACACGACGCTCAGCGCAAAACTCGCCCCGATCTCGTGGATTCTCGCACAACTGGAAAATCGGCTCAAAAAAGTGAAAAAGTCGCACAGTGTACGCCCGGCTTAATGGAGCTAAAATGTTCCACACGCAGATTCTGAAGCTTTCTCACCGTGTTCAGGACATGGTGGATTTAGAAAGGAGAGTAAAAACACAGCTAATGATGACAGACGTAGTGGGAATGTAATAAAAAAGCCATAAAAAACGTCAGACGCGTTAAATATGGAAGTCAAAGTGTGCCACATAATCTAATGAATATTCTACTTATCCCAGTAGGGATGTTCCGACCGATCGGCCGCCGATCAAAATCAGCCGATTTCTGATCTACTCCTTTTAGAGCCGATCACACGTCACTGCAGCCGACAGAACCTGTGTGTAGCTGCAGCATCGCGTCTCCCACACGCATGCGCGCAGCGGCAAGTGTTCCTTTTTCTCTGTCTGTGAGAGTGATGTAAACACGCGGGGGAAGCGCCTTAAAATGTGTCAACACAGTGGATTTAAAAGGAGTATGAAAGAAACTGCTGGGAGAGAGGAGTGTTTTTGTTACTAACCCGCAGAAGTCAAAGAAATACAGTCGGAGCGGTCAACAGTTAGACGCAGCTACGCTAACAAACGTTCATCTGCATGAGCGTGGCCGTCAGAAACCAGAGCAACTCATCTGAAAAGTAACTAAAGTCATCATGCTGGATGCCTTACAGTGGTGGACGGCACCGTGTTCAGCCCGCTAGCATCTGCCACTCTGACTATCTCCGGTCTTTTATTCAGACTACTGTCAGCAGTAACCCACGCCTTACAACTTCTCAATTTATCCACAGAATAGTTCAGAACAGAGCAGCTTTCCTTAGCACAACAGCCGCTGACCGGAACCGGAAACGGCCCTTTCCACCCTCTGAGCTGCCCTTCAAAATAAAACTCTAACACATAACATTACTCTCATGTCCATAACTCTTAAAACTGTTACAATAAAAATAACATTAATAATAATAATGTTAATCTCAATTCGAACTTTATTTATATAGCACCTTACATGCCACCAAAGTGCTTCACAGACACAGATAAAAACATAACACATAAAATCCACTAAAAATGAATAAAACACAACCAAATAAAAACATTTAAAAATAGACAGTCAATCACTCAAGACAGTTATTTAAAATGAGTCTTCAGCTCGGATTTGAAAACCGGTACAGAAGAGGACTGCCAAATGTGTAATGGAAGCTCATTCCATAGTTTTGGAGCTGCAACTGAAAAGGCTCTGTCAACCCGCATCTTCAGCCGTGATCGAGGGACCACAAGCAAGGGCAAGTCCTCTGAATGGATTGTCCAGGAGGGAACATACGAATGCAGTCTGTCTGCCAGATATGCTGGAGAAGAACTTTAAAGAAACTTTAAACCAAATCCTAAAAGAAACAGGTAGCCAACGTAGAGCTGCCAATATGGATATAGCATGGTCAAACTTTTGTTTAACCTCCAAAAATCTCCCAGCAGCATTTTGGGCAAGTTCTAAACGGGCTAAGGCACCATGGCTCACTCCGAAGGCACCATGGCTCACTCCGAAGGCACCATGGCTCACTCCGAAGGCACCATGGCTCACTCCGAAGGCACCATGGCTCACTCCGAAGGCACCATGGCTCACTCCGAAGGCACCATGGCTCACTCCGAAGGCACCATGGCTCACTCCGAAGGCACCATGGCTCACTCCGAAGGCACCATGGCTCACTCCGAAGGCACCATGGCTCACTCCGAAGGCACCATGGCTCACTCCGAAGGCACCATGGCTCACTCCGAAGGCACCATGGCTCACTCCGAAGGCACCATGGCTCACTCCGAAGGCACCATGGCTCACTCCGAAGGCACCATGGCTCACTCCGAAGGCACCATGGCTCACTCCGAAGGCACCATGGCTCACTCCGAAGGCACCATGGCTCACTCCGAAGGCACCATGGCTCACTCCGAAGGCACCATGGCTCACTCCGAAGGCACCATGGCTCACTCCGAAGGCACCATGGCTCACTCCGAAGGCACCATGGCTCACTCTGAAGGCACCATGGCTCACTCTGAAGGCACCATGGCTCACTCCGAAGGCACCATGGCTCACTCTGAAGGCACCATGGCTCACTCTGAAGGCACCATGGCTCACTCCGAAGGCACCATGGCTCACTCCGAAGGCACCATGGCTCACTCCGAAGGCACCATGGCTCACTCCGAAGGCACCATGGCTCACTCCGAAGGCACCATGGCTCACTCCGAAGGCACCATGGCTCACTCCAAACTGGATGGAGTTGCAATGGTCCTGACGTGAAGTTAATGAATGCATGCACAACAGTTTCAAGATTGCATCTGGACAAAAAAGGTTTAACCTTGGCCAAGCATAAATGGTAAAAGGAGGAAGCTACCACCCCATTTATGTGACCCCTAAAACAGAAGTCTTTGTTTATCTTCACTCCCAAATTAACAACATAGTCCTGTAAGTGGGGGGTTAATTCACCACAGTCCACCATGATGGAGTTATCAGTGTGGCGGCTGGGACTCAAGAGCACTGCTTCTGTCTTCCCCTCATTGAGGCACAGGAAACGTTCTGCCATCTACGCTTTGACCTCACACAGACGATCTAAAACCTTCAAGATTGGTCGACCATCAGCCTCATCCAAAGGCAAGTACAGTTGCCAGTCATCAGGATACAGGTGAAAACCAATACAGTGTTTCTGTAGGATATCACCCAAAGGCAGAATATACACACAAAACAGCAGGTGGCCCAGTATTGAACCCTGCATAACACCCCAGGGGAGATGGGAGAATTCATACAAAAATCACCCATCTCGACATGCACCAACAGGCCAGTAATTCCCACGTAGTGCTCAAGACGATGCAACAACACCTGGTGGTCCACTGTATCAAAGGCTGCTGTCAAATCCAACTGAACAAGTAACACAGACCTTCTGCCATCAGTTGCAAGAATATTGTCGTTCAGAACCTTCAGCAAAGCTGTCTCGGTACTATGTAATTGTTTAAAACCAGATTAAAAGTTTTCTAAATAATTCTTTTCACTTAAGAAGTCCAGCAACTGGCCATAGACACTCATTTCCATCACCTCACTTAAAAGGGGGATCTTAGAGATTCGCCTATAATTAGATGGCACAGATGCATCTAGCCCAGATTTCTTTAACAGTGGAAGAATGACCACTCTTTTAAAATCATTAGGCACAACTAGTGTTGTCAAAAAAATCGATACCTAGATATAAATCGATACTAAAAGTGGTATCTAAATTAGATATCGATATTATGGACTATTATACACAGCCTTCTTCAAGTACACGACACGCACGACAGCCAGATGCCGTAAAGCAGCCTCCGCCTCCCAGACAAACAGAAGAAGAAGACGCTGAATGGCTACATTGCAATTTCCCACGTGAGTTGTCTCCGATCCAAGTTTTGTCTGCCAAATAAATAAACAAAAACATAAACAGCGAATTTGGGAGGCGCTTCACAGCCCACCTTAATTAGCATACCAAGTCCGACACGTAGTTGTATATTCACGCTTATGTGCTTAAAGGACACTCCCGTTTATCGCAACCCGGACTTCATTTCTAGCATGCAGTACGTTTGTTTACTCACGCTGACAACTTTGGTGCTACTTAGATTCCCCGGGGTATTTAGATCCATCGGCGAATCGCCATCAGTGTATATCCATATAACGGGTGCGGACGGGCACCCATGGTGCAGCCTCGAAATAAGACATTATCTGCACCAAAACATCTCAATGTCGAAAGGTTTTGTTAGGAATCATTAACATGATTCCCCTGTTCGTTTGGAGTGAGTCTGGGATTTCTAGGCGTAAACAGACTAGCTGTGGCTAATATTACCGGCGCTTTTAATGACGTCAATGCCGTGCGCCAATCTGTTTTTATTAAGATTACCGGTAGATGTACCTTTGTCCTACTGTGGAGAAATTCGTTTTCTCCCTTTATTGACCAACAGAGTTGTTCAAAAGTACAGAACAAACATATGGCATTACAGCTTATGACAAAAATGCACCTTAAGCAGAGTTTAAGCAGCAAAACATCACTCTGCAAATAGTGTAAATATAGTGAGACAATTCATGATTTAAAGTGTTAACTTTCACCAGTTTTTGTATGCACGTTTTAAAAAATGCTGATACTTGAAAGGTTTAAGCACTTTACACACCTTAATTCTTAACATTTAATTTTTGCAATATAAATTGAGGAATGTTATTTTTTGAATAAACTTGTTCAATAAATTGGTGTTTTTAAATTGTATCGAAATCGAGTATCGAGGTTTTCCCCCCAGTATCGAATCGAGTTTGAAATTTTAGTATCGTGACAACCCTAGGCACAACACCAGAGACCAGACTGGTGGTGATTATAGCCAATATGACTGGTGCCACTGTTAAAAACACTTCCTTAAAAAGGTCGGATGTAAAATATCTTCCGGAGATCCACTGGGCTTAGCCTCTGCCATTATTTTAGCTAGATCAGCTTATGTTATTGGCTGGAAAACAAGCAATTGCTCAGGAACAGACATCAAAGGGCTCTATAGAGGAGCTACAGACAGCCAATCTCAAGGTTGCAACCTTATCCATAAAAAATCTAAGGAACTCCTTACATACTGTAGTTGACGCCTGAGCTGGAAAATAATCTTGAACTTTTAAAAGAGTCGATAGCACCATACAACACCCGAGGGTTATGAGAGGTGACAGACACAAGGTTGGAGTCATATGCAGTTTTTGCAGATTTTACAGCATCCTGATAGGCCTTCCAACTCTCCCTTAAGGCAATTAAGAACACATGCAGCTCGCTCTTTTTCCGCTACCTTTCACATCTCCTACATTCCCTTCTTGCAGCTCAAGTGAGGTCCTTTGACCACCAACTAGCTGCTGGGCTTTTCCTCCTTGGAAGCAGTGATGCAATAATGTCAAGAATGATAATAAATCCCACAATACACAAAGTTGTGAGATTTTTTTTTTTTTTGCTTTCCTGCACTATTTAGAGTGTTTAGAGCTTTTAATGTTTTGTCTGTTAAATGTAGCTGCTGTCTGTAACAATCTGTTTCATTTTTTTTTAATTGAATTGTTGTGACGCTTCGTGCTTCAGCATGTAGGTGTAGATTCTCAGTCATCCTGGACATGATCATCTTAAGAGATTAAACTGAAAACATCTGAAATTTTCTGGTTATTACCTTTCATCTAGGGCTGGGCGATATGGCCTAAAATCAATATCACGATATATTGAGGATTTCACCTCGATAACGGTAAATGGACGATAACTACAGGTATGCACTAGATGGAGGTGTTACATGTATTACATTGGTGGTACAGCTTCTTAATGGGACATGAATGTTGCCAACCCACACACATCTTTTAATTTTTTATTATCAGATTTATTGACGAATAAAAAAAAAGATCTTAAAAAATGTCAGAAATTTCGATAACGATGCATTTTCGATTTATTGCCCAGCCCTACTCTCATCCAAAAGACATTTTCAGCTCCAAACCTTGGGTTGGGAGCTGGAGGCTTAGAAGTTGTAGTCGAAAACAAACTCACTGATTGTGCTCTAAGTCTTTTTTTTTTTCCTCTCTCTTTAAAAAATAAATGTTTTACCTAAATTAATACAGGCCATTTAAGGTGGTGTTATTGTTCCTTTATTCCCAGATCATAGCCTGTATCACTCACTATAACCTCATAGAAAATTTATGGCCAATTCATGTGATCGGTATCGGTGATCGGCAGCAAAAAGCCTGATCGGAGCATCCCTATATTCCAGCCGTCTGTGGTCCAGACGGGGACTTTTTCCTGGAGCAAATGATCATTACATTCAAGGGAAGGTCAACCCCGAGGATGTTCAAGCCTAAAAAATCTGCTTGAATATCGCTGAATATTATTGAATATAAAATAAAACATTGCTTGAGTCTTGAGAAGGATTGGGCCATTCATCCATTTTAAATAGCCAATATTTCAATAATTTGTTGTTGAATGTTAATAGTGTTAATAAACTACACAACTACATAGTCGTGTAATAACAGCAAAAAAAGAAGAGTTTGCTGGTCCGATATATCGGATCGAATCGAATAAAATCTTGATATTCGATTCTAATTCTTGAGAATCGTAATCGAATTGATTCTTAAAATTTGAATCGATTCCCAGCTCTAAATGTGTGAGTGGTTATGTTTGGCACATCTTTAGGATTCACTTTTATTTCTCAGATCCTTTAAAGCAGATGAACTTTATGTGAAATTTATCTAGAAACGCTCTGATGTATCATGTTTTCATTTAAACAGAGAGTTGTTTTAATTATCCGACTGATGGTTTTGAATCAAATCTCAGCCCTTAAAGCTGTTTGTGGTTGTGTAGACGGAGGCTCTTCAGCATCCAGGTCGGCTGCTGCTCCTCGCCACGGAAACGACTCCAGCAAGATTCACCCTCACAGAGAAGGTGCAACACCTACTCCTTAGATCTCCAACCTCCAGGTGTTCCCTATCCTGACTCAACTGTCTTTATCTTTCCTCCACAGGCCTTTCTCCAAGGAACAGCCTGGAGGTTTTAACTCCTGAAATCCCTGGAGAGAAGGACCGAGGGAACTGCATCACGTCTCTGCAGCTCCACCCGAAAGGCTGGGCCACGCTCATCCGCTGCTCCAGCAACATGGACGACCAGGAGGTGAGAAACGCGTAGTTGATGGATGGAGGAGCTCTAGGTTTGCTCCTCTCTAGCTGAGGAGTTGTTGGCTAATAGAATAATCATAAGGGATTATTCCTGAGATTAGGATTTTATCTCTGGAGTTGCCTCTTAACACAGTAAGGAACCAGGCAATAAACCAGTCATTCAGACCCCTTCCACCCCCCCACCCCACCCCCACCCCCCCCCCCCCTTCTCCTTTTCCAGTGGACCTGTGTGTATGAGTTCCAGGAGGGGGCACCCACACGGCCGCTCGTCTCCCCCCGCTGCTCCCTGCGCCTTACCCACTACATCGAGGAAGCTAACGTGGGCCGTGGCTACATCAAGGAGCTGTGCTTCAGCCCGGACGGCCGGCTCATCTGCTCCCCCTACGGCTACGGCGTCCGCCTGCTGGCTTTCAACGAGCGCTGCGGGGAACTCGCTGACTGCCTGCCGGTCCAGACCAGCTGCCTCCGGGAGATCCGCTCCATCTACTCGCACAGCGACGTGGTGCTGACCACCAAGTTCTCCCCGACACACTGCCAGCTGGCCTCGGGCTGCCTCAGCGGGCGCGTGGCTCTCTACCAGCCCAAGTTCTAGCATCTGGAGCTGGTGAAGAGCTGAGCTCTGCAGACCTGGGTGGACTAGTACCAACTGTCACAGAGCATAAACGTTTTACATTAAACACCTTTGAATATTAACCAGACATCTGAGAGATCCAGCAGCTTGAGTCGTATCCAAACCTTCCTCCCGTGGTGGAACCGGGCTTTAGTCCTCTGTGCTCAGGACCAGATGTGATGTAGGTAATAAACTTAATAATGCTTGAGATGCTCTCTGTGTCTTGTGGGTGCAGGGAGGCCCAGGTCTGCAGCTGTCTGCATGTGTTTAGGTGCTAGCTGTCGCTGACAGCCACTGACTCAGAAGAGTTACAGACTCCAGTTTTGTGCTACTTCCCAGGATGCATCAGTGGACGGACGCCTGCAGCTCCTTTGCTCCTTAACAGCAAACCCTTAACAGAGGAGCAGTTGGACTGGAGGAGTCCAGACTGAACCTGTTGTTGCAGTTTTTTATACTCCAGGCTGTTTCTGGCCTCCACAGCTGTAGAAAACCTGGATTTTATTCCTGAGGCTCAGCTCATCCAGATGTTGCTGAGTCAGGAGGACAACACTAACAATGCAAGTGGACGATTGTGTCTGGATCCTGGTGTCGCCCTCTGCTGCTTCGCTCATGCCTTCGCCACAGATGCTGCTTCTCTGCTTATACAATCTGAACTTCAAGGACCTCATTTTTCTCTCCTGTTTCCTCTCTCTCTCCACCCCCACCCCCCTCCCGTGGGTTCAGTATATTTAGTGGTTTTATTGGTGTAATGACACTGGCACTAATTGTAGCACAGTGTTTGACTGGTAGTCACTTTTTGAGGCACACTTGGTGATTCCCCACAGATTAGATTTTTTAAATCTTAGTCGTCTGACCCGGCAGTCTGATCTCTTCCAGAGCGTCAGTTTATAATCTGAATCTATCCTTAAATCACAGATTTCTTCCCTAAAACACAAAGTTCTGATACACCCAAACTCGTTTATATGTTTTCTAACCAACCAGCTGGTTTTAACTTTCAGCCAGTAGGTCTCTCCTGATGCTTCCCCTTCAGAATAAAAGTCCTGACTCACAGCTGAATACTCTTAGAAAATAAACACTCATCATGCATTTGTCTGATTCATACATAATCTAGAGCCATCGATGCCAAAACAGGATCTTCTCCAGATGTGTTTGTAGTCGGCGCAACATCTGCATGGTGAGGTTAAACTTATGTGGCTGCAGCTTCATGCTGCGTCTCACACACACACCCAGAGCGTGGAGAGGTGGGGGAGAAAACGCAGAGATTTTGGTGTTTCCGGCTCGTTCCGTACCTCGGCTCACTGCTCCATGCTTGTTTTTCCTGTTTCACTCCCAGTCTGGCAGTTTCAGGGACTTTTATTTAAAAACCTTAAGTCACTTCACTTCTCAGACATTTAAATTAAGACTTGTGTATTTGTTAATTGAAATTGACTGAGCTGAATGTGATCACTGCTGCTTTTATTTAACCACACACACAAACACACACACACACACACACTGTCTGAAGTGTCTTATCAGCCAGTTTCACTCCATGTAACTAAGAAGCTGTTTATTTGATCATGTTGTGTCTGTCTTCAGCTGTAGGTGAGACGGATGTTCAGGGTTCGGTTTTATGAGCACCAGCTGAGCGGAGTGCTCCCCCTGCTGGTTCATACGTGTTTGTGCACAGGAGTCTGATTATCACACTAATAAAGTATCAACTTCTTTTGCAGTGCTGCCTTTTTATTGCACTAAGAAATGGGCTGTTTTTATCTGAAACTAAAAAGCTGATGTAAAAAAACTGTTTTTTTATCTTTTAAATGTTAGAAAACAGGTTTCAGAATCAGATGAGGACAACCTGAGTGATTGTTAGATGTAGTTGTCAGATATTAAAGGAACAGAGTTTTAAATTAGACTTGAAAATTTAGAACATGGTGGAAAAGCTCATTTATGTCAGTAATTCAACCTAGAGGTGAAACGAATACGAGCCAGACTCATTCCATGCAGCGGCTGATGTTTCAGACTTCATATATAATAACTGATGATTCTGGCTTACAGCTGAGGAAATCCCCACATTCAAAATCTCAGACAAGTAGAATATTGTGAAAAGGTTTGATATTCTAGACTCAGTGTCTCACACTAGTCAGCTAATGAATTCAGAACACCAGCAAAGGATTCCTGAGCCTTTAAATGGTCTCTCAGTCTAAGCTGAATAACTGACAAATGAACTTTTGCATCATGTTCTAGTTTTTCCAGTTTGATCTGGATGGTAACCAACCTGCTGTGTGGAAAACCCGTGATCAGCTCATGAAAAACCAATTCGCACCCAGACCTGGTAGATAACAGACCTGCAGAATTAAGATCTCGGTAGGTTAAATGATCTGAAAAAGCAACACGCCAGGTTCTAGGAGGGCTGGTGTCCCATGAAAGAGATCTCACTTTGACCAAAAACACCTCTACATCCAAGAGACGACTGGACTGATGAGACGGAAGCAGAGCTTTCTGGAAGGTGTGTGTCCCATTTCATCTGGAAAACTGTCGTATGGAGTACAATCAGACTTTAATGTATGGAATTAAGTCTGGATTATGTCTCTCATTATGTTAAATCAATTCTAGGCTTCCCAAGGTGTATCCGTGTGTGTGTGTCCCAACAGCCTTGTCTCTTATCACCCCTGAAGTCGTAAATTGCTAGTTGCCTTTACCGAGCTGTTTCGGTCTCACGGTTCTGTGGTAACCTTTTTGAACTCCGGAGAAGTGGAGGAGGTAAGGAGGCTCATTCTGGAGAAAGTCCAGGTGCACCGGCTAATGGTTTATCCAAACAAGACATAGACTTTTAGAATCGATAAAATTGTTCCCCGACAAGCAAGAAGGTGGGGCAACATTGGGCTAATGTCAACAGTATGCAGAGAAGAGGAAAGCCTGCAAGAGGCGCTGAGAAGAAACAAGTGAACGGATGAAGACCGGGAGAAGAAAAGGTGACATCATGACATCCAAGATTTATGGTCTCTTTGGGGCCGTTGGAGAAGTAGCAAGAAGAAGAGGAACACGTGACCAGGAAGTCTGAGGTCTGAAGCAGCAAAGAATTGACTGTGAAGGAGGGGACAGAGTAAATAAAAAGGAGCTACTGGGTCTGGAGGATGGCCTTTGATGGGAAGAGTGTGTGAGGTACAGAGATGGAAAGAAGGAAGCTTTTGCTTTGAGCTTTTTGTCTGTGATAATCTGACCTAGTGTCATTTTTGGAGAGCTTATTCAGCTCAAAGGTCTGATTCACAGAAGTCTCAGAACCTTCCCACAAGGTTCTGTGCTGGGGCCTCTGCTCTTCCTCCTCTATCTGCTTCCTCTTCAGCACATCCTGAGCTCCTTCAAAGGAATCTCCTACCATCTTTATGCAGATGACATCCAACTGTACATCTCCTTTAAGCCCCATGAGATGTCTAAGCTGCAGCTGTTACACACCTGCTTAGACTCTATCAAACCCTGGATGGCTGGGAGCTTTCTACAGCTGAATGAAGATAAGACTGAGATCCTCATCTGTGCCCCAGACAAGCTGGTTCCCAAAGTCAGAGACTCTCGGTCAGCTTGCTTCCCACACCAAACCTTCCGTCAGGAATCTTGGCGTGACCTTTGACCCAGCTCTCACCCTGGATTCTCATGTCAGTTCTCTTGTTCGCTCTTCCTTCTTCCATCTCAGGAACGTTGCTAAGCTGAGTCCCATTCTGTCCCGCTCTGAACTTGAGACAGTTCTCCACACCTTCATCTCCTCACGCTTAGACTACCGTAACTCTTTTCACGTGTCTGAGCAGAACCTCCCTGAACCGTCTACAGGTGGTTCAGAATGCCTTTGCTCGGCTTCTGACCAAGTCCTCCAAACACACCCACATCACCCCGGTTCTCCTGCAGCTTCACTGGCTGCCAGTCAACTTCAGGGTTCATTTCAAGATCCTGGTTCTGGTTCTATAGGGCCTTACATGGACAAGCACCATCTTACATTGGTGATCTTCTTAGTCCCTACACCCCCAGCAGGTCCCTGAGGTCCAGTGATCAAAGTCTACTGGTTGTGCAGCACCAGGCTAAAGACCAAAGGTGACAGATCATTTGCTGCTGTGGCCCCCAGACTCTGGAACTCTCTCCCCCTGAGGCTGAGATCAGTGGACTCAGTGAACTCCTTTAAAAAACAGCTGAAGACTCACTTGTTCAAGCTGGATTTTGTATGACCTTCTTCACCACTCTCTCTTTATTCTGCTCTCCCCACCTATTCCACCTTCCTCAGGATCCACTGATTTCCCTCTTTCCTATTCACTCTCTCTCTCTTTCTTAACATTTTTTAATCACAATTGTCTATTGATGCTAATTTTAATATATTTTTAAACATTTTCTAAATGCTTTTTTATATTTTTACATTTTTTGTTTTTGTGAAGCGCCTCGTGATTTTTATCTTGAGAGGCGCTATAGAAATGATACTTTCTTCTTCTTCTTCTTCAACTTTGCTATAACTCGGTTTATTGGCAAAGAGTTGTTTAACTTTTTAACCCGCTTTGTCAGGGTTTCGTTTGGATTATTATTCTTTTTTCATCTGCGTGAAATAAAACCTAGTTCCTCGAATTCGTGGAACGAAAAAAAGATTTACGAGTGGGGTCTCCTGTCAGTAACCAAGCAAAGGTGAGATGCTGGTTGTAAATGCCATCCCGAGGTATTGATATAAGTGTTTCCTCCATCCTAGGCTATAGGTAAAGTCAGTTGTCTCCTCAGCATAAAAGGAACAGCTGGAAAGGGTCTTAACCTGAAGTGTACATAAGCTTCATGGACTGGGGGGGGGGGGGGGGGGGGGGTAGGTGTGTTTGCGCCTCTTCTTTGTCTGCTTGAACTATTTTTGGTCAGAATTAGAAGCTCTGGGTTTGTGGTGATTTCAGATCAACTCCTACAGAGTAAGAGTGTTTGTTGGCAGCTGGCATTGTCACGTCCACTACATCGATTACAAGCCAAACCCTGAGATATTTGTAAAATCTAGAAGAGCGGAGCTAGCCCGGTAAATTGGCTTGTGACTACAGTTGAATTGTGGTGGTAGTGTGATGGTCTGGGGCTGCTCTGCTGCTTCAGAATATGGACCACTTGCTGATGGAACCATGAATTCTGTTCTCTAGCAGAACACCTTAAAGGAGAACATCTGACCTTTGACCTGAAACAAGCAGTTCCTGCTGGAAGACCCTCATGAACTTCACCATACTTCTGATTTATTTCAGAGCTTGTGTTTTCAATAAAGGGAAGAACCAGAGCAGATGTGACCCGTCAGACCAGCTGACAGAGAAATGATCAACTGAAGAAACAAAACAAACCTCTTGTGCCAGTCTGTGTTGGTGGAACAGATGTTCCTGCTATGGTGTATGTGCGTGAGTCACTAAAGTGTCAGTACAAAAATAAACCAATAACACCTCAACATCTCCACTTCGCTGTCAGTAGAAGACTTTAAATCACACGAACCCCAACGTAAACCGTCGTGGTCGTTGGCTCAGATGATGGTTTCATAGATCAGACTTTTTAAGCCCAGGTTCCAGATTATTCCTGGGGCTTTCCCAGCCCTTTGTCCTGTCTCTTCTGGTTGTGTCCAGGCTCATGAGGACTGGCCTCTCCTCCTCTGGTTAATGGCTTTGGTGCTGGCTCTCAGCTTACGGAGTCTCAGAGCACGGAGCCGCAGCTGCAGGTCCTGTGGGACCTTTCCTCCTTTGGCCCGGATCTCCTTCAGCCTTTGGATGGGTGTTTTGGTGAGGGTGAAGTCACAGATTGTGGGACGTGGCTCCATCCCGACGTGGCAGCGACGTATAGATGGGAAGTAACCCACGGCCCAAACCGCTATCCTGTATTCACCAGGGTTCAGCAGACGCCAGTAGTCTCCATCAGCAGCTGTAGGAGAGCAGACCAAACAAAAACAAATAAGAACGTATCCCAGAATGCATCTGTGAGCCTGATGCCATTTCCTCCTGTGACGTCTCAGCAGTTTCACCTCCTTTGCTCACATCTGTCAGATAGCTGGAGCAGAAGGGGGTGAGGAGGAGAACCAGAGAAGGAAGAGTTGAAGTATTTATCATAATGAGGCTACATGTTTGTTAACTAAGACCGTGACGTTCAATTATTTAGGCAAAAAAAATCCATAGATGCCCCCCCCCTCATCCAAGCTGAGGAGATCCCCGATCTAAGTGGGGTAACCAGTGACCAGTGTTTCTGTATGGGTTGTCACCGCTCACAGAGGAATGGTTTCACATCATCAGTCAATGAATTCCCAGGTGAGACCCTCACCTGATCGGATGTCGTGGTCGTGGTCCTCCACCCTGATCACTGCATCTGCTATCCCCCGTTTGGCTTTGTCCCTGATGACTCCTTTAACTCCTCTGTGAACCTGAGAGAGGAGATGTTAGCTGCTGAGCAGGACCATCAGATCAGGTTATTTCCTGGTTGAGGATCCAGACCGACCTGCTCCATATAAACCAGCAGAGATTCTTTGTTGTTCTCCCACTCAGAGGGAAGCTCGCTGACATGAGGGAACTTATCGCACGACAACTCCACCGTCACTTCAAAACAGTTGGTGTGCAGGTAGCTGAAGTCATTCATACCTATAGAAAACACACACACATTTATGCTTGGAAGCTCTGTCTGCAGGAAATACCAATGGTCATGAAAATGAGTTTTAAATTTCTTTCTCCAATAAAAGATCTAAACCAGTGAGGATGCTTCATCTCTGTAGACAAACTAACCTTTAAACTGTGTCTAAAATTGTAATAGAATAATCATCAGAGAAGGTGATGATTGTTTTCCCTCTGATCATAAACTAAAAGGAGATCACACACACACACACACACACACACACACCCACGCACGCACGCACGCACGCACGCACGCACGCACACACACACACACACACACACACACACACACTCAGGATGCCTCCCAGACGTCTCAGGCAGACGACTCACTGCCAGGAACCGTGTGCCAGGCGCCGCCGTTGATGATGTTGTTGTGCTGCTGGAAGTCCTCGTAGTGGCAGATACGCCGGTCGGGGTTGGCCATCACCAGGTTGGTGGAGACGTAGACGGAGGCCAGCCAGCGGAAAAAGGCGTTGTCGGCGGTGGGGGTGTCCTCCTGGGGGGCCCAGTCTCGGGTGCAGTCATAGGGATACGTAACAACCAGCTCTCCACCGTGGAGGTTGGCACCGAGCACAAAGGGGATGTCCTGCATCCAGCTGATGACGGCTCGAGTCTCTGGAGCAACCTGAGCATGCAGAGGGACTCGAATAAAAACAAGCTTCAGTCACTGATAATCTAGAACCTTCTGGTGAAACAACGGTGATGACCCAGGACTTCAGAAGGATTCCTGCCCCTGTAGTTACATCCACCTGGGGAGCATCCTCTCTCCTCCTTTAGGTTAAACATGAAGGGACCATGGAGGTGGTCTCAGACCTTTAGTTCTGCCTGGTTTTGTTTTCTAAAGATGGATCTGAACCCCTCATGTGTTGGTTAAAAATCATTCATCAAGCGATAAAGACCCAAACAAATCACCAAATCCAAGATCAGAGCTGAAGAATCCTTTTGGATGACAGTGGATACTAAGAGGTTCACTTGGGTTGTGACTGAGAATCTGCCACAGCTCTAATCCAAAGATGAAGCTGCTGATTCAGACCTTAAAACTCAATTAAAGACAAATGATTAACAGCTCTAATTTCTGTTCTGACAAACAAACGCTGGTTTTCAGATTCATGCAGGAATGTAATGATTTGTTTCATGCTCTGGGCTACACAACGATAAAAGGATGGGTGGTGAATTTATGTTGTTTTAAGACTACTTTTAAGACTAGGCTTAAAACATTTTTATTTGATAGGGCCTATGGTTAAAACCTGATGTTAGCCCAGATCTGGACAAGTGGGGGAGTAGAGGGAGGTGGAGTGTACAGTCGGTAAAGACGGCTCTCCCTTGCCCTGCCTCCAACATGCCTCCATCTAAAAGGCTAGGTTATCCAGAGTTATCTCTGTAGTTATGCTGCTATACACTTAGTGTCAGAGTCCAAGCCCCCAGGCCGGGCTCTCCCAGCTGACCGGCTTCCCTCTTGGACCACATTACCCAGCATGCCCCTCGCGGGGATTCCCTCCACGTTGCACCTGCGCCAATCCGTGTCTATATATGGAAGACGCCACACCGGCTCTTCCCTCAGTCATCGTTCCACCGTGATCCATGATCAGAGTATTCTGAAGCTAATACAGCTGAACCTCCACCTTTCTTACTCAGACCTCATCCAACCGTCAGCCTTTTCAGCACCGCTTTCAGCCAGCAGTCTGAAATAAAGCTCTTACTCCCGAACCCAGTCTTCGAGTCTGACAGGATGACTGAGTCAATTAATCCAGCGGAGTTCAAGCAGATGAAGAGAAAGATGGAGCAACTGGCGAACGAGAACGTTCAGCTCCACGCCCAGGGCGACCGGCTTAACACCAGGCTGAACTCCCAGACCGATCTCTCCATGCAGTTGTCTGCTGCCGTCACGGCACTCCAGCAGCAGGTTCATGCTCTCCAGTTGCAAGCCACACTTCAGTCTCCCGGAGAAGTGGAATGGAGAGATGGGGAGTCCAGACGGTCTGCTCGCTACCCTCGACATGCAGTTTGAGTGCCACCCAGGACACTTCCCCACTGCGCGCTTTCGGGTGGCACAGCTCACCTCCCTGCTCACCGGACGCGCGGCAGAGTGGGCCGCTGCGCTCTACAATTCCAAATCACCGGAGTGCAATGACTATGCTGCATTTGTGGCCGCCCTCAGAAAGACGTTTGTTCCACCCAGCAGCGAAATGGGGGCAGAGGCACGACTCCTAAAATTCCGCCAGAGGGAGCGCTCTGTGTGCACATATGCGTCGGAGTTCCGCACCATCTCCGCCAAGCTGCGGTGGGATGACTCTGCCATTCGAGCCGTCTTATTGGAGGGACTGGCAACCTACATCCGGGATGAGATGGCGGGAAAGGAGCTGCCCCAGACCCTGGATGAAGTGGTGGATCTGGCGTTGCGCATAGATCAGCGGGTTTTGGTTCGGCCCAAGCCCCTCATTCGCCCATCCAGGGCGCCTGGACCTTTTCCTCGTCCCCCCACGCCTGCTCCCGGACCCGTTGCTACTGAGGAGCCCATGCAACTGGGCCACCTTCCTCCAGAGGAGAGACAGCGACAGTGGCGCAAGGGTCTCTGTGCCTATTGTGGCTCCCCCGACCACAGACGCATGAACTGCCCACCCCGTTCGGGAAACGAAGGAACCCACTGAGTCTCGGGGTCGCTCAGCCTGGGTTGCCTCCAGCCCCTGCCCTTTCCAATCGGCTCCTTCTGCACGTCACCCTCCTATACGGCGAGACCTCGCTCCAGATGCACGCGCCGGTGGACTCGGGTGCCGCTGACAATTTTATGAATGTGGACCTGGCTAAACGCCTACAGATCCCCACTACCCCCTTGGAGAGGGTTGTACCAGTGACCACGGTGGACGGCAGGCGCCTCCAGCCTTACCCTGTCCAAAACCGAATGCAGTCTCTCCAGATGACAGTCCAGGGCCACCGGGAAACCCTCTATTTCCTGATCATCCATGCTCCCTCCTCTCCTCTGATCCTGGGGTTTCCCTGGCTCCGCTTCCACGACCCGCAGATCTCCTGGTCCCAAGCTCGCCTTCTGGAATGGGGGGCCCAGTGCCGGACCCACCTCTGTCCTCCTCCTCCACCCCTACCTGACTGCCCAGAGGGTGGCTCCGGTTCCGCACCACCCAATCTGCCACTGCCCTATCGGGACCTGGCCGCGATGTTCGATAAGCAGCGAGCCACCGCGCTGCCGCCTCACCGTCCATACGACATGGAAATCAAGCTCCAGCCAGGAACCAGTCCACCCCGGGGGGGCGCCTTTTTTCTCTCTCTCCCACCAAGTCCAGAGCTATGGAGGACTATATCGACCAGGCCCTCCAGCAGGGTTTCATCCGACCCTCGTCGTCCCCAGGTGCTGCAGGCTTCTTCTTTGTGAGGAAAAAGGAGGGTGATCTCCACCCCTGTATTGACTACAGAGGACTGAACAAGATCACAGTCAGAGATCGCCATCCTCTGCCGCTCCTCACGTCCTGGCCCTGGATGCCATCTCCCAGGCGCGGATTTTCACCAAGCTGGACCTCCGGAGCGCCTACAACCTGGTCCGTATCAAAGCTGGAGATGAGTGGAAGACGGCGTTCATCACCCCCACCGGTCACTGGGAGTACCAGGTCATGCCCTTCGGACTGTGCAATAACCCCGCCGTTTTCCAACGCTTCATCAATGATGTCCTCCGTGACATGTTGGGACAGTGGGTGTTTGCCTACCTGGATGACATCCTGATCTACTCCAAGTCAGAGGCCGAACACCACCATGTTCTCGCTGTCCTGACCCGGCTCCTGGACAACAACCTGTTCTGTAAGCCCGAGAAGTGCTCCTTCCACCAGCGGTCCGTTTCATTCCTGGGCTACCTGATTTCAGATCAAGGTCTAACTATAGACCCTCAGAAAGTCCAGGCGGTGAAGGACTGGCCCCTACCAACCAGCCTGAAGCAACTGCAGAGTTTTCTGGGTTTCTGCAACTTTTACCGTCGATTTATCAAAGACTTTAGCACCATTGTAGCACCCCTCACCTCTCTCACCCGACCGAGCCCTCCTGGTCAACCGTTCCGGCTCACCCCAGATGCCGTTCGGGCCTTCCACTACCTAGTCGCTCGTTTCACATCGGCTCCTATCCTGCGCCATCCGGATCAGGCAGTCCCTTTTGTGGTCGAGGTTGACGCCTCGAATGTCGGCGCTGGCGCCATCCTGTCCCAAGGCGGCCCCGACGACAGGCTACATCCCTGCACCTACTTCTCCAGGAAGTTTTCCACCACCCAGCAGAAGTACGGCGTAGGGGATCGCGAGCTGCTGGCCATAAAATGGGCGTTGGAGGAATGGAGACAGTGGCTTCTGGGCACCACTCAGCCGTTCACCATCTGGACTGACCACCAGAACCTAACTCATATACGGTCCGCCAAGCAGCTAAATCCTCGCCAGGCTCGCTGGGCCCTCTTCTACGAACCCTACGAGTTTCATCTCGCCTATCGCCCCGGGACAAAAAACCAGAAGGCGGACGCCCTCTCCCGCCAGTTCACACATTCAGCGCCCACGTCCGAGCCGGCGCCCATCCTCCCGGAGCACCGTTTCGTGGCCCACCTTGGGTGGCCGTTGGAGGAGGCCATCCCAAACGCCCTCCGGGGTGACCCAGCGTCACCAGAGACCCCCGCCGGTCAGCTCTACGTCCCCACGGCCTGTCGCAGTGAGGCGTTGTCCTGGGCCCACTCATCATGCCTGTCTGGTCACGCGGGCTTCTCTCGGACTCTCAGGTTCCTTAAACGGGCTCTCTGGTGGCCACGTATGGAGAGGGACGTTAAGGAATTCACGAGCGCCTGTGACGTCTGCACCCGCTCTAAGGCATCCACCCAGGCTCCGGTTGGCACCCTCAGACCTCTTCCGGTGCCCAGCCGCCCCTGGTCCCATGTGCGGCTGGACTTCGTCACAGGTCCCCCGGCGGTCAACGACCTCGAAACCATCCTGATGGTCACTGACCGGTTTTCCAAAGCTGTTCACTTCATCACCCTCCCGGGCCTCCCCTTGGCCTGACGCACTGCAGAACTGTTTCTGGAGAACGTGGTGCGTCTCCACGGGTTCCCGGTCGACGTGGTCTCAGATCGTGGTCCCCAGTTCACGGCCCGTTTCTTGAAAGCCTTCTGCCATCTAGTGGGAGCTTCTGTCAGCCTGTCTTCGGGCTACCACCCACAGACCAACGGTCAATCGGAGTGGGCGAACCAACAGTTGGGCCGGTACCTCCGCTGCTTTGTCTCGGCTCAGCCCTCGCAGTGGCCTAAGTACCTCCTCTGGGCGGAGCTGTCTCATAATCTCCACACCTCCTCGGCCACTCAGATGTCCACTTTCGAGGTCTGCTATGGCTACCAGCCCCCAGTCTTTGCCCACCAAGAACCCGAAGTCGCGGTGCCGGCCGCTCAATCCCTGGTGAGGCGCTGGAAGAACGCATGGATCAAGACGCGGGCCTCCATTACCCGGGCCAACGCACGTTACTCACACCAACATCTCCACAGGCACCGCCCGGGTCCCTCCTATGCTTCAGGGGACAAGGTCTGGGTGTCCACGGCAGGCCTCCGGGTCCGCGTCGGTTCCAGGAAGCTCGCTCCCCGGTTCCTCGGGCCCTACCCCGTGCAGAAGGTCATCAACCCGGTCACGTACCGGCTGCGGCTGCCTACAAGCCTTCGCGTCCATCCCACCTTCCACTCCTCCCGGCTCAAGCCTTACGTGGAATCCTCCCTCCTGCCGCCTCGGGCTCCAGCGCCTCCGCCGGCCCGCTTCCTCGACGGTGAGCCCATCTACACCGTCCGGCGCATTCTGGACACTCGCCGCCGGGGTCGGGGCTAGCAGTACCTCATAGATTGGGCGGACTACGGCCCCGAGGAACGCTCCTGGGAGCCGGCCCGCTCCATCTTGGACCCTGCCCTCATCTCGGACTTCTGGGCCCACCGAGGTGGCCTGGGGACTTCTGGAGCCGTCCCTGGACCGGGGGGTCCTGTCAGAGTCCAAGCCCCCAGGCCGGGCTCTCCCAGCTGACCGGCTTTCGTCTTGGACCACATTACCCAGCATGCCCCTCGCGGGGATTCCCTCCACGTTGCACCTGCGCCAATCCGTGTCTATATATGGAAGACGCCACACCAGCTCTTCACTCAGTCATCGTTCCACCGTGATCCATGATCAGAGTATTCTGAAGCTAATACAGCTGAACCTCCACCTTTCTTACTCAGACCTCATCCAACCGTCAGCCTTTCCAGCACCGCTTTCAGCCAGCAGTCTGAAATAAAGCTCTTACTCCCGAACCCAGTCTTCGAGTCTGACACTTAGACTGCTGAAGGACACACTGACCACTTTTCACACTCGACTACTTTCTTCTACAATCTGCTCTTTAACTGTATTATTTCCTGCTATTTCAGCTGTTAAATTTATTTTTTCTCTAAGTGTTTTTCTCCCCAAAAGAAGCTACAATGGTGTTCTGCTGAGCTGTGGTGCCCCCATGGAGGGGGCCATCGACTAGCACACTGCTGCTAACCACTTAACGTTCTCCCTCTCCTGATAATAACATTTTACTTTCTTTGACATTGGATGTGCTACTACTAGTTTACCCTTTAATTATAGATTCACTAGGATAAATACAATAAAGTTTATCTCTCGCCAGATAGACTATTTACTAAGAAATCGCAATGTAACCATAGAAACACTACTTGGTGTGTGTGTGTGGGTCTGGCCGTGTGTGAAAATATGAATGAGAGCGTGTGTGTGTGTGTGTGTGTGTGTGTGTGTGTGTGTGTGTGTGTGTGTGTGTGTGTGTGTGTGTGTGTGCTCTGTCTTCTCGATCCCCAGTGAGTCATGGTACATAGGGAACTTTTTACTGATTGGCTTAATGAACTGAGCTGTATTGGAATGTTTATTATGTGAAGTACCTTGAGACGACTCTTGTCGTGATTTTGCGCTATATAAACAAACTTGAATTGAATTGAAATGAATTTGAAAAAGTTGGAACATTTTCTCTGTTTGATGGGGAAAAATAACAATTTCAGCTTTTGAGCTTCGGAAGTGATTTATGATCTGAGGCCCGCTGAAACAAACCTGAACCAGAACATTCCTCTGAAATGTTCCAAAGCTCTTCTGACTGAACATCTAATACAGAAAAATGATTACTCTTCACATTTAACGAGCTGTTTCCTCAACGTGTTTTGTGACTTGTTTATGATAAAATCCACTTCCTGAACTGCGCCTACACTAATCACACTTGCTGTTTATAGAGTTTCACTTTCCTGTAGCAGCTTTTATTCTGAAAGGTCTAAAGCTTTGGTCCCTGTCATGATCAATTAAAGCACCAACGTGAGGACTTACTGTGGCGTCTTCTTGAGTGTAGTATTCCGGGATGGGGATGTAGTGATTGGGAACTTTGGATTTATCCGCCGCCTTCTCCTGTGTATCCCACATGATGTTGTTGAGATCTGGGAAGTTGTGATTCAGATCAATCCCCTCAAAGCTGTAGCGTCCTTCGGCCCAGCCGGCCAGTTCTGAGCCCTGCAGAAGACTAGTGGGTCAGGAATACAACCAGCAACCATAAGGGTGTTAAAGCAGAATCCCAGCCCACCTTCTCATAAGCTACTTCATATCCATCTGGGTTCATGGAGGGTAGGAGGTGGATCCGGGTCTCTGTGACCAGGCGAACAACACGCTGGTTACCCTTTTTGTATTCTTTGCACAGATACTGCATGAGGTTCAGGACAAGCTCCCGGCCGAGGGCCTCGTTTCCGTGCATCCCGGCCACGTAGCGAAACTCCGGTTCACCTGCAGAGAGGAAAACGTAGAGGACTGTCGGTCTGAGTCAGCTGTGGAGTAACAAGCCCGATTTGTTGGAGAATGACACCAACATATTTCTTCTCTAGGATTAAGCAACACTTTGGAGCTGGACAACATTCAACAGCAAACATTCCTAAATCAAACTCCAACAACCCAAGATAGTTCTCGATAAGAACTTCCTAGAACTCATAAATCCAAGACCTGCAGCCTTGTCTGTGTCAGACTTGTGAAACCTCTCAAATCAACACCAGCTGTCCGTGAGTAAGAACATTTCCCACCATCTCTCCCTGAGAGTGAGCTGGTCTTAAATCTGTTCGTGTGTCTGAGAGGAAATCAGAACATGCTGATCCACTCTTCCTTTCTGCTTCCCAGCTCGTGTGGGGAACCGTATTCATTTCAAACCTCAAACCTACAAAATCACAAAGAAATCAGTCTGTTTACACAAGACCGGCTGAGTGGTTCTGCAGCAGAAACCGGGTCATGTCAACACTGCAGGATGTAGACCCGGGCCCCAGAAAGGCTAAACTCAGAGTAACCGGAGAGGTGTGGTGAACTGTGGTCCAGAAATGTTTAAACGTGAGGTTCAATCTTTACCAAGTTCATGTTTGCCGGGGTTATCTGATATCTCCATGACATAGAGTTTGAGGCCCGTGTAGCTCTTCCCTATGGTGTAGATGCGGGTGATGTTTGGACATTCCTCCGTCACAGACTTCATGAGCTGCAGAGGGACAAGGAGAAGCTTTAGCAGACCCGAGGACAGGTCCTGGACCAAGGTGTGCTTTCTTTGAACCTTTCTCATCTCTTTGTAATTGTGGTGTCTGAAGTCCAGCTCATCCTTTGATCCCTTTTCTTCCTCGTTGGTATGAAGATCTGTTGGATCTGAGAGAAAACAACAGAGGAGGGTCTCAGCCATGTGACCATCTTCATCTGAATGACAGGAATGTTGGTGTTACCATCCACACGGCAGCCGAGGATCTCAGCACGGAGACAGATGGTCCCGTTGGAGTACCAGGTCTGGGGGCGGATGCGGATAAAACGGCCCACTGTGGGAACTGGAAGCAGTCCAAGAACTGGAGTCTCTGGATTCTGGTTCCCTTTAAGTATCTGTTGAATAAAGGATCATGTGGAACCAGACAGAAGCATCTCCAGGTGTTTGGGGTTCATTGGTGTTTATAATTCTTGTTCTTGGGAGTATTTTTTGTTTCTGCTGAACTGTTTAGTGTCACTATTCTGGCTTTGGTTATTGATGGTTCCAGTCATCCGGTGTTTTGAGTATCCTACAACCACTGCCGATTCTAGGGGTGGGGCCAGAGGAGCACTGGCCCCTGCTGAAATCTGACTGGCCCCTTGAAGTGCCCCTGTCCTGGATTAGCCAAGCAGGAATTTCCAGCATGAATTTTGTGTCTGAATGTTGGACTAATACTTGGCCTCCCTATTAAGACTGTTGATGGCCCCAGACCCCAGAAAATCCTAGATCTGCCACTGCCTCTGATATTTGAACGTCTCTCAATCTGGATTCAGGATTTCATCCTTTCATTAGATCATTTGTTAGATTATTTTAGCTCCAGTTTTCTTTTAAAGTCTTCGTAACCAGTAGGTCATTCACTCACTGGAGTTATTATGGCTCTACTCAATTTAGCTGATAAAAACAGAAATATTCAAATGATAACAAACCAAAACTATTTGGTTCAGAGGTTGTTGTACCGATGAGAGTTTCTGTGATACTTTAGTCTACTGACACTTCACCTTTGACCCCAAACATCTCTGGTTAAACTCTACAAAGAAAACTAAAATTTAACACATCTCTTGTTTGTTTTCAAAAAAAGGGATTAAAATTCCGACCCGGTAGTTAAAAGAATAATCTATTAAATCTGAACCCTTTTACACGGTAAGAAACATAAATAATTTAGTGTTTGTTATTAAAAGATATGTTTCTGTAAAAATGATTTTCTGTTGCACACGTAGGATTGTAAACATAGCATCACAATTCAGTCTGTTCCATTTAAAACACGTTATCAGCTTCAGGGAGGTGACTCACATGCAACTTCCTGTCTGAAACAAGCTGAGTGGAAGCTTGGGCATCTAGCATCTTTAGCGTTCATAATCAACAGGATTTTTGACTCGTCGTACGAGCAGCTGTTTCACTTTTAGCACATTCTTCATGTGAGAGGAGAGAGAAAGCCCTACCGCCTCTTGTGTCCCGTTCATGCATGTCTGCCAGTTCATGGAGTCGTTACTTAGCTGGACTTTGTAGGTTTCCACCCAGTCCCAGCTAGAACAGAGACCAGAGGGCCATGAGGTGAGCAGCCAGGTAGAAACACTCAACACACATCATGCCAGACAGGCTCTTAGCCTCCAGGATGGATCTGGACTACTTGACCTCCAGATGGAGTTTCGACCCTGCAGGATGACCCCAGTAAACAGGGTCAGGTGGAGCGCGTCCACTTCAAACCACTGGTCCTGGTTCTTAGAGTCAGCACACCAAGCTCCATCGTATAGGTCTCCATCCTCGATGCCAGACTGAAAACATCCAGACATGTTTGTTTTTGTAAGTTGTGGAATCCTCAGCCCTGAGCCTCTGACCGAAGCATTGCATAAGTTTGGTGTTGACCCAGTTCTTCAGTAATTACCTTCAGACTGATGAAATTTAAAACTGCAGAACTAGAGAAGTGCAGATTCACCAGATTATTTACGTCATGCGTCACAGAAAGACTACAAAACAGTCAGATCTGATTATAATTTACATGTGAAGAAAAGCAAGTGTCAAAATCAGTGGACTGGTTTAACTGGTGTGTTTAAAGATTAATGGAGTTGTTTGGTTTAAATAGGAGCAGTCCGTTAAAATGACCAGGTTGTATTTTATTTTTCTCCTCTTGTTCCCACAGGCATCTGCAGACTAATTCAGTATTATTTCATTGAGTTAATGTGAAACTTACCTGGTGATGAGACAAGTAGGTTAAATAACTAATAATTAACCCTCTAAACAAGTTATTACTAACACTAAATGAAAGTTTGTATCCTCAGTGCCTGACCTGGATGTTCAGCCTCCCTCTGTGGGGGCCAAGACCGGAGCGCTGCTGGGAGGAGGCTCGGATCTGGCTGTCGTCAACCTGCAGGGACTCCAGACCGAGGGGAGGACAGTCTGCATGTAAAACAAGAGAAGAATTTTCTCTTTACAGACTGATGTTCTGCAGGAACTGCTTCAGATGCACCACAAACATTTGATTGAAGTTTAAGGTTAAGGTGGTTTTTTTTAAGGTGGAATGTCTCAAATGAGCCAGAGTCAGTTCAAACAGACATTTAAGGGGTTTCAGCTCTTCTGCTGCATGTCTCATGGTGCTGCAGACAAGGGGAATCCTACAGGGTGTAATTGAAGTCAGGAGGGTAGAATATGATTCATGGATTTGGAAACAACCAGCAACACTCAAGTCAAAATTAAATATCTGTTCTGGTTTTGGGAGATTTTTCCTGCAAAAACGTCCAACAGAAACAACCAGGAGAGCTTTACACTAGTCTGGATTTACAAAATGCATGTAGAGTGATCTCTGTTAGACAACCGGAACATGGTTTGGACATGCAGACTTAATTAGGTTTGAGTCTATTCTCCTATGGCTGGGAGGAACCTACCGAGTCTTTGTCTCTCATCCTGTTGGTTGTGTTTGTCTCCGTCTTTGTCATTCCTGTTGCTGATTTGCTCTCTGTTTCTGCTGACATCAGAGGAATCTGGCTGCTTTTCTCTCTCTGTGCTGTTGAGCAGCGTTGTCTCTGCTGCTGTTGGAGACACAGACACCACCTCGGTCCTCTCCACTGGTACCCTCTCTTTGTCTCCCAGAACATAAGGTCCCAAAAACAGCACAGCAGACAGCACACACAAAGACTTTCCCATCTTCAGTCCTGTTTTATTGCTGCAGAGCCAAGGGGGAAAGTTTATGTGTGAATGTACCCATCCACGTCCCTCCTCCTCCTCCTCTGGTCCACCTCCTCCTCACCTCACCCTGCCTCCCTCCCAACCAGAATTCCAGCTAAACTCCCAGGAAAAAAGAAAGAAAAATGCATGAAACCATTGATATGTGTGAAGTGATCTGCCTTACAGATATACATCACGCTAAAACACAATTAATCAACCAAATTTGCTTCTCATTAAATTATAACATAAATGTAAAAGTTTTGTCTGATATTTCAGTCATTTTTCACCATATTTCTTTTTTAAACTGCATCATTATCTTTAAATGTTTAAAATCTAAATTCAAATAATAAAGTCAGATTTAATCTAAATATCTAAATATTGAAATCTAAACATTCAATTCAATTCAAGTTTATTTATACAGCGCGAAATCACGACAAGAGTCGTCTCAAGGCGCTTCACATAGTAAATATTCCACACAGGTCAGTTCATTACGCCAATCAGTAAAACGTTTCCTATATGAGGAACCCAGCAGATTGCATCGAGTCACTGACTAGTGTCAGTGTCTTACACCAATCCTCATACTAAGCAAGCATGTAGCGACAGTGGAGAGGAAAACTCCCTTTTGACAGGAAGAAGCCTCCAGAGGATCCTGGCTCAGTATAAGCAGCCATCCTTCACGGCTCACTGGGGATCGAGAAAGCTTGGTTTATGTTTGACGCATTCACTTTCCGCTTGGTGATGCGGCTCGCGGATGGAACGCGCTTCACAACTTGCAGCGTTTATGGTTCATGAGGCTTGTCTCTGCAGTGAGCCAATATTCTCCCAAACTGAACGGGGCAGCATGGAGCTCTACGGAATGCATCCAACACTACACCATAGTAGAAGTAGAAATTACTGTTTACAACATGGCATTTCAGCATTTTTAACAGCGTCCTCGTCTTTTCTGACAGTGCGAGCTATTTCTCTCTAAGAATTATTAAGTACATGTTGATCACGGTGATCTCTGAGAGCTGAATCGTAAAAATGTCTGTATTTACAAACCTCTGCCACACTAGTTCTTGCCGGTCCGCCATGTTTTTCCACATCCGACCGTCCACGTGGTTAGAAAATTTCCTTGGTGCGTGTTGCGGAAATTTTGGGCCGTGCGGAGGCGCGGTGGAGGGGCGTGGTTGTTAAGATGACGCAAAATGACGCAACTTTTCCGAGCGGAGCCGTGCGGACCTCGCGGACGTGTCAAGCATAAACCAACCTGAGCAGAGCAGGCACACACACACACACACACACACACACATACACAACACAGTAGTGTCTCTATGGTTACATTGTGATTTCTTAGTAAATATTCTATTTGGTGAAAGATAAATATTGTATTTATCCTAGTGAATCTATAATTAAAGGGTAAACTTGTATTAGCACATTCAATGTCAAAGAAAGTAAAATGTTATTATCAAGAGATGTGGTTTAAAATAAAATATTTATCAAACATAGTAAAAAGGAAGTTGCTTACAAGATTGTGTGAGTCTATTTAACTATGGATGATGGCTTTGATCTAAATATTTAGGTTTGATTCATTTGTATTAGCATTTGAATGTTAGTGTTGGAAAATACATATTCATCACCTCATAATCTACACTTCATATTCTTCACACACACACACACACACACACACACACACACACACACACACACACACACACACACACACACACACACACACACACACACACACACACACACACACACACACACACACACACACACACACACACACACACACACACGTCAAGCTTCCTGATAATATTTTGTAAAGAGAACATGCACATAAAGAGGAGTCTGAGAACAGAGTACTGTGGAACAGTATTCACTGACACATTTTATACCTGTGCAAACTGACACACAACTGATCCTAAATTAGGCAAAGGAGTTAAGTGTCTGCCTTGTAATCGTAGAGTTGCAGGTTCAAGCTGTGCTTGTCGCAGTTGTCGAGTCCTTGGGCAAGACACTCAAACCACATTGCCTGCTGGTGGTGGTTGGAAGGACTGGCAGCATCTATGTTCAGCTCCCTCACTTCTGCCAGTGTTCCCCAGGGCAGCTGTTGCTACAGTGTAACTCGTCAAGACCAGCAGGTATAAAATGTGTCAGAAAACGATGTTCCACAGGGCTCTGTTCTCACACTCCTCTCAATGTGCATGTTGTCTTTACAAAATAGTATGAAGAAGCTTGATGTGTGTGTGTGTGTGTGTGTGTGTGTGTGTGTGTGTGTGTGTGTGTGTGTGTGTGTGTGTGTGTGTGTGTGTGTGTGTGTGTGTGTGTGTGTGTGTGTGTGTGTGGTGAATGACTGTTTTTGTAAAATGTCTTGGGGGGTTGTAGAAATCTGGAAGGCACATTATTAGGTACAGCCAATTTATCTCTGTTGTGCATCCTTATCGAAAAGGCGCCCAGATTGGATTGGTGCAAATTTCAGTTTCAACCCCTTTTTGTAAATTTACCCAAAATTTGGGATTTTTTCCCAAAACTTTAGGCAAACAACAAGTTAAATTTAAATTTGTTAAACTGAGTTCTTCTGGCAGGTGCATCCTGTATAACAGGAAACTACCACGGCGTGCCAGTATCCGATGGTTTTATGTGATTGTAATTTACCCAGAGGTAAGTGCTTTCAGTTCGATTGTATTTTTCTTTAGAAACTCTTACCATGTCTGCTGATTTCAGGCTGCAGGTCTTCATGTTTGCTGGTTTTAGGTTTTAACTGAGTTATCAGCAGAGTCAGTTTGTCTGAGTATGATGAACCCAGACCCAGTGTGAATGTAAACAAATATAATTTTAATAACTTCAAAGGAAAGCAGCTAAACATCACTTTTATTTTGAAGGTATTTTGCTTTATTTAGCCTGCTTGGATGACCTCACCCTGGAGGCCCCGGATGATTCATTCTTCCAAATATGTGTTTAACTGATATGACCTGAAATATTCTACAAAGTAAATAAATAGATGGCCTTTTCTGTGCCAAACATTTAGAAGTAACTTTTGACATCAACGTGACAAGGAGTGTAAGAAACTGTCACATGACCTGAGATATGAATATAAAGACAAAACTTTGAAGTCAGACAATCAATTTAAGCTCTAGTAGTCAACTCGTTTCTGGGAACATCACCCAAATGTCTGGAATGGTTTTACTAGTGGAAACTTCTTGTCTGGAAATCAAATTTAACAGTTTTGTGCTGAGAAAACCTGAATGGCAAAGACAAATGCAAGAAACGCTTAACTAATGTTAAAGTCCCATTAGTCATCACACACTGGTGAATTCATCTCCTCATCTGACCTAGCCCCATGGGGAGAGGTGAGCTGCAGCTGTGGCTGCACTCAGGAACTATTATTTGGTGTATTTTTTTAATTAATAGTTTGTTACTATTACCACATTAATAAGCAAATAGAAGAGCATTACATAGTTTCAAGTGACATAAAACGATAAATTAATTCTGAATTGATTATCACAGCTAAAACGTGGTCACTACTATGGGCTTGGTCAGGGATTTTATTTTGAAATCTAAAGAGTCTGCACGCGATTGGCTCACTTTAACGTGACGTGTACGTACACAGGAAGCGAACACGCAGGCGCTTGGAATCACAACATTGCAGCAGAAGTCACTTTATTCGTGCTCATGTCGCTCAAATGTAACATTCTAATTTCTGTATTTTGTTGACGGTTGTATCTAAAGCGTGTTCGGATCAGAAGTTAAAGAAAAGGACCGTTTTACCCGCACAGCTGTTCAGATATGAGACTCGTTTCTGTGAAGACTGATCAGGCTAGCTAGCAGATGGCTAATCGGCTGTGATGTTTCCTCTAAAGTAAGTGAAATACTTTTACTTTCTGCTAATTTCACAACTTTGAGACAAATACCACCTGTTTACTTTTCATTCCAGCTGTTCAGACAGTTTAAAAGAACCAGGAGAAGTTACCTGTGGGCCTGTTTTGTGTGTTTTTAGATGACAGGATGGGTGTTGGGAAGCTGCTGGGAGTCTGTGAGGTTATGTTTGAGCCTGAGAGAGGTTCAGTGAAGCAGCTTCCAGTCAGCATGTGACTCTGCTGCTGATCAGAAACCTCGGACACATCGAGATGCCTCGTCTGGAGGAGCTGGCGAACATCGCCCTGAGGGTGCCCAGCATTCTGGTTTTGGACCTGCTGTATAAATGTGACATTGAAGGTTTCACAGAGAACCTGAAGGCTAAAAACGAGGACATGCTCTTCAAATACAAGTATGTCATCTGGAACATGTACTACCTTGGTAAGTATGCTTATAAATTAGAGATGCAACCACTCTGGTCCTCATTTGTTTTTGTTCTGCTGTGTTTCTGTGTGAAACAGAACTAGAAAATGCAGGATTTGTTTTTCCATTTAGGCGGGTCATACGATGAGAGCGTTTTCTGGTTCTAGGTTATCTTTTCATTTTCTAACAAGACTCTGTTTTGTCTCCCAGGTCACCTGATTAATGTGGTTGTATTAATCCTACCACTGAGACACATTGTGACGCTCTACCTCCACATCCTTGCAGCTCTTCTTCTATACATGGGCCATCAGATTTCTAAGTGTGTTTTAGTTCCTCTACTGCTGCTGATTTGTTTAGATTAGCTGTTCTAACTTCAGTATTAGTTGGACAGAGAACAAAATGCCTCCACGTAAGCAGCATTTATAATCATTGTACTCTGTGTAAGACCCTATTCAGTTTCAAATAGCCATGTTTTTCTGCGTGCTGTGTCACAGTCCAGCTCCATGAAAGTCTCCTGCAGATTCAACCTGCGATTAAGGGTTTTAGATAAAATGCTACGTAGTTTTGGCATGAGAAAGAAACTAAATGAAGAAAGTTGGAAGTTCTTTAGTGAGAAGGTCACAGGTTAAAGTCCCAGCTGTGGGAGTTGGAACGTTCTCCTCATGCATATGTGGGTTTTCTCTGGTTTCCTCCCACAGTTAAAAACATGGCTATCAGGCTGATTGAGACTCTAAACTGTCCCTAGGTGTGAGTCAGTGTTTGACTGGTTATTTGCCCCCCAGCTCTCACTTAATAACTGCTGGAGATAAACACCTCCCCCACGACCCTGTTGAGGATTTAGCGGTTTATTAATAATGAGTATGAGTTTTGTGTTTAGTTTATTATTCTGGATTTCTGTGAGGGCAAACCTCTGACTGCAGAAAACAAGTGTCCACAAACACCTTCGGTTAATCAGTTGAATCTCTTTTGTAAAATTTGTATTTACTTTTATAAAATGATTCTGTGACTGAACCATTCTCCTGTTGGATCTGAAGGGATTACGTCCGTGAGGAGCTGCAGTACGGATACGAAGGAGCTGTTTATCTTGATTCTTTGGCCTTCAACAGATTTGTTTCTGCCATGACAGGTGAGAACCAACCAGTTACATGTGACCACTCAGCATTTATCATTTTTAGTGCAGAGCTTCTGCTGTGTTTCTGAACCCAGATCTATGAACACATCCAAAATAACCACATTCCAGTTGCAGCAGCTGCTAATCGCCAGGCTAACTACTGTTAGCAGTAGCTCCGTGTTTAGGTTGGTGTGTGTAACTCTGGTAACGTGGCAGCTTTCCTCCTGGGTTGGCTTGAATCCTGGTGAAACAGAAATCACCAGAGTATGAATGAAACACGCAGGTGACTATCACTGAGTACGTGGGACACGTGTCCTCACAGCTGATTATTCAACCTTTATCTCTACTCTGATTATACCTGCTCTAGTCCAGGTTTTATCTTTTAGTTTCACTAAACATTTTCACTAAAATTGATCTGAATGTTAAAAAAAACAATGCTGCATAGTTTAGAGGTGTGTCATAACGTAAAAAGGAGTTTGACCAATCAGATACCTGATAGTTAAAGCAATAATTTGGAGTTTTCCCTTTCAGGATTACCTTCTTGTAAGTCCTGTTGAGCCCCATGCAATTTGACTTGAGCAAAATTCAGCATTAACCAGTAGCGTTAGACGTCTGCTTGCATACTGTTGTCAATCACAGAGCGCGTATGAGGATGTACCTAGAGTCTGATCTGAGCTGGTAACATTTCTCATGGAGAAGTAAGTCTTTAAAACATATCTATGTGCGTAAACAGCATAAAGTGAGAAACATAATAGTAAGCTGACGTGTTTTGACTGGCTAGAGGTGGACGAACAAGAGGCGTTGCTTTCAACCGTAAATACGGAAGTGGTGAGAACAGCTTAAGGTGCAACGCATTTGTCAGCCTCTAGATGGCACGTTGGATAAAAACAACTCCAGATTTTTGCTCTAAACTTGAGGCAGATCAAGGAAGCGCAGTTTCACAGAAGCAGAAATTGAGGTACCTGTGGGTGAGGTGGAGAAATGACAGGAAGTGCTTTTGCAAAACAAATAAGAGAAAATCTACGGAGTGGCACAGCGTTGCTGAGGCCGTCAATGTTGTGAATTCATCAGGGAGATCTGTGGCGGATATAAAAAAAATGGTCCAATCGGGATTCGATCCCCAGATTCCCGGGTGAAAGTCACGTGCACTAACCAGTCACCCAAACAGAGATCTCCCTTGTCCAAGTAGGCAGGGCGCACGATCAATCGGGTCCCAGTGACTGGACGCACTCACGGACACATGACATTCTGTCTCAATCTGTCCCCCTGCTGATATTCTGCATTCCGTATTCTGCGCTTCAGGCTGTGTGTGTGTGTGTGTGTGTGCGTGCGTGCGTGCGTGTGTGTGTGTGTGTGTGTGTGTGTGTGTGTGTGTGTGTGAGAGAGAGAGAGAGAGTATGTGGAAGGTTTTGTTCTGTGTGAAAACGAAGCAGTATGTGTGATAAAGCTGCAGGATTTCATAATTGTATCTTCTCAGCAGCAGCACTGCAGGTGCTCTCCATGTCCAAAATGTGCGTAAGCCAGGTCCTTAGTCAACTTAAAGTTGCGCACATTTTTCCACTAAGTTTTCTTTTATAAATCCCAAAGTTTGCGTGGAAAGTTGCTTATGCAGTTTTCCGACCCCGTTTTGTGCGTAAACACGCTTGATAAATGAGGCCCCTGGCCTGCATTGGAATGTTTACTGTGTGAAGTGCCTTGAGACGACTCTTGTTGTGATTTGGCGCTATATAAATAAACTGAATTTAAATTAATGTATTATTCACACGCACACACACACACACACACGTGTGTACAGAGAAGAATTGCAGCCAGCTTGTTGTACTTCCATACTCTGATCCAGTGGGCAGGTTCTGTTAGATGTTAGAGATGACCTCGTTTACTTGCCTGTCAGTGATGTCAGAGTTTTTCATCAGCTGTTATCTTTAAACTGAAGGTCAGATGATTCTCAGCACGCTGTGTGCCTTCCTGATGAAGACCAGGAGGGTGTGGTTGTTCTCCGCACACATGCTCCCCCTGCTGGCCCGACTCCTCACTGCTCCTCCTTCCACCCTGCTGACCGTTAACACCGTTTCCATGGGCCTGACTGTCGCCGGGATCGCTGTCTTCCTCCTCGCTAACCTGTTCGTGCCATATCGCCTTGCAAGGGCAGCTTATTTGGAACTGCTTCACCTGGAGGTAGTCTTGGAATGAATGAATGAATGAATGAATGAATGAATGAATGAATGAATGAATGGAGGGAGGGAGGGAGGGAGGGAGGGAGGGAGGGAGGGAGGGAAGGAAGGAAGGAAGGAAGGAAGGAAGGAAGGAAGGAAGGAAGGGAGGGAGGGAGGGAGGGAGGGAGGAAGAAAGGAAGGAAGGAAGGAAGGAAGGAAGGAAGAAAGGAAGGAAGGAAGGAAGGAAGAAAGGAAGGAAGGAAGGAAGGAAGGAAGGAAGGAAGGAAGGAAGGAAGGAAGAAAGGAAGGAAGGAAGGAAGAAAGGAAGGAAGGAAGGAAGGAAGGAAGGAAGGGAGGGAGGGAGGGAGGGAGGGAGGAAGAAAGGAAGGAAGGAAGGAGCGAACGAACGAACGAAACCCTTTATTGTCATTGCAACCTAATATTTACAGTGAAGTTAGGGAAACTTGTGGAGCTCCATGCAGACAGACGCAGCATATGAAAAACACAAAAGCATGTTTCATATCTTGACTCTCTTCACCATGTCAGGTGTCCTGTCCCTCAGGTCATCGAGCTCTACAGACTCCTGGCTGTGGGGATTTCTCTGTGGAACCAGTTTGCCGTCCCAGTCCTCTTCAGTGTCTTCTGGTTTGTTCTGTTTGCCGTTCAGCTGTTTTCTGACACCATGTCTGCCGGTGCCGCCACCTCCCATCAGGGCTTCCTGTTCCTGGTGCTCACAAGGTGTGTAGTGAGGTTGTGATTTGTACCTTCTGATGGGATGTATTCTGTTAGTAATATGGTGAATTGTTGGTTGAATTTCCTGCAGCGTGTCTGAATGTTGTGCCACGCCCTACTCCCTCCTGGGCCTGACCTTTGTGGTGTCCTATCTGGCTCTCGGGCTTCTCAACCTGTGCAAGTTCTACCTGGGAGGTTTTGCTGCTATTCAGAATGAGAACGTCATGCACAGGTGAGACGACACTCCCACCAGCCAGCTTTGTGTGCTTGATTTCAAATGAGCAGTAATGGTTTATATTTAAAACTCCAGAGAGACTCGACGTAAGGTCAGACATCCAGCATTTGTTTTGTATTTCACAAGTTTGTGGTGGTGTTGATCGTTTTAGCTGTGGTCATCAAACATAATGTTAGAACAAATGTCCACAAACATGAAGCTTAAAGGAACCCAATTATCACTTACAGGACAATATAAAAATTGCCAATAGGCTAATCCAACCACAGCTGCTTTTGAAGTGTTTCTATTTATAACTACAGTTTGTTACAGTTATGGTAAAATGCTATTTTAGGATTTAATTTGATTTCTGAGATCATTTAAAGCAACACTAAATAAGTGCCCAAGCTCCTCTGCCCTACTGGTTGAAAGTGGACTTACAACTGCCGTAAAAAACTCTGCTTCAGTCTGCTGCAGCTAGCGCTAACAACGAGCTAATACTAGCGCGAGCCAACTAACACTAAAATAAACTACAAAGTAAAAAGATCCAAAATGTTGGACAAAAAAGTCCAGCAGCAACAAAGCCAGGTCACCATCAATCTGTGATGTCGTAGCCTCCTTTAGCTCCCTCGAACTAGTGTAGGCCACGCCCATGTTTGCTCTGGTTTTAGCTCTTTGCTTCGCCTCTGAAGACATTACTCTCTTACTTTTACTTCCAGGCTCTGCCACGATGTCAACAGAAAAGAAAACATTTTTCTTGTGTTTTATACACAGCTTTTGAATATTGATAAATGTCGCAGTATTTTCTTACACCCCTACTTGTTGGGAGGTTCAGATTCATCTCTGAGGAGCTTTCCGAGTGCCAGAGCTAATTAAAAATGAATTTCACTTCAGACAGGGACCTTAGAAAAGGACTTTATGTGATAAATATTGTAACAGGTGCTTTGTGCGTAACGTTTCTAGCTGATGGCTCTTTTACAGACCCAGTCCCTGGTTCACCAGTACTTCTCTTGACTGGGTTTGCTGGTCAGATGGATCTGGACAAAGTGGGACGAACAACATTTTTTTATGTGTCTTCACACTTCACCCTAATTTCATTCTCAGTTTGGTCTCCAGCTCATCACAGAGTTGTCTCACGTTTCTCCCTCTTCTGACTCAGAAACGGACCTGTGAGGCTTTCAGACGTGTCTTGTCTTGAACGTGTTCAGAGTTCTTGCTGCACAAGAGGAAACTCCCTCGCTAATTCTGTCAGTATCTGGTCACCTCCAGTCTCAGCCCAGTCAGACACGGGCTTTAGGGCTTTTTAAGAAACAAACAGTAAAACTAAACCCCAGTTAAATTACACACAAATAAATTTAAATAAGCTCTCCACCCACAAAAACTTTATTGTTCTAGATGTTTTCATTTGATTCCTGTAGATCAGTAAGACCTCCATGCTAGTGTTTTGCGTCCCACAGCGGGGTCCTGAGTCACTACTTTGCTGCTGAAATAAGTCTGACTGCATCATTCTGAACCAACAGAGGGCAGTAGAGTACGCCCTGACTCAAGTAGAAACACCTGATGAGTCAGCCTAAAGTGGGTATAATCTATATTTCCTTACCTGTTTGGTGTTTTTGCAGAGGTGTGACTGAGGGAGTCACTCTGCTCCTTCTGGCTCTTCAGACCGGCCTGTTAGACATGCAGACCCTGCAGCGCACCTTCCTCCTCAGCATCATCCTCTTCATCGTGCTGACTTCAACCTTACAGTCGATGATTGAAATAACAGATCCGGTGATTCTGGCCCTGGGCGCGTCACGAAACAGGTGACGGCAGCAACATTCAGTGATACTAAGTGTGTTGCAGGTGAGCCTGAGCGGACCAGGTGTGAACGTGGAGCTGATGCTAGCCTCCGTCTCTGTCTGTCCCGTGCTTTTAGGAGTCTGTGGAGACATTTCCGAGGCCTAAGCATGTGTCTGCTCCTGCTGATTTTCCCCGTGTTCATGGCTTATAAAATCTCCCAGTTTTTCCACATGGACTTCTGGCTTCTTATACTGGTGTCCAGCTGCATGCTGACCTCCCTCCAGGTGAGGACGGTGCAGGTGTCTGTCCTGTAAATGTCTTTGAGTTTGGTAAATATCCATCAGCACCAAGTAGGGTTGTGTCATGTGACTAAAACATCAGATCTGATTCTGTGAAGTACACTTCTGGTTTATTGTCATGTGGAAGAGGAACTAGCTAATGTTAGCTCACTCCCTCTGTGTTCAGATCATCAGTCGTGTCAAATAAAATAATAAAATAGAATCGAACCCATAACCTGTTTAGATGTTGTTCTGCTTGGGTTTAACGGCTAAATCTTCTACCCTGGAGCTAGAACTGCTTTGAATTTTGTTGTTCGATATCTTTATAACAATTATCTAGTTTAATAATAGATTTTAACCGAACGTGCAGCCCCGCATCTCCTCCGTGTGATGTGTTTTCTTCCAGTCTCGTGTGGGTTAGTATGCATTTCTGGTTAGAGCGGCTAAAAGGGTTCTGCATTTCCGTTTCTCTTTAGGTCACAGGCACAATGCTGATCTACTCCCTCTTCATGGTGGAGCTGTTCCGCAGTGACCCCATCGAGAGCCTGGATGAAGTCATCTACTGGGTGAACTCCATCAGCAGGGTGCTGGAGTTTCTGGTGGCTCTCTGCGTCGTGGCCTACGGCACCTGGGAGTCTCTGTTTGGGGAGTGGAGCTGGATGGGCGCTTCCGTCATTATCATCCACTCATACTTCAACGTTTGGCTCCGAGCTCAGTCAGGCTGGAAGAGCTTCCTGCTCAGACAGGAAGCAGCTAAAAAGATCAGCTCTCTTCCCAGAGCCACTGCTCAGCAGCTGGACCGACACAATGATGTCTGCTCCATCTGTTTCCAGGTCAGTCTTTCAGTTTAGGGGAGGTCACTGTCATCACAACACTGGTTCATAGGTGGAGAAAAAATAACTTTTCCTGTTAATAAGCTCCGCCCCCCGCCGGGCCCTCATGTCACACCTTCGCCATCCCTCAGACAACATCTAGACTGTCGCTGTTTTCTAGGGAGCAGTTTTAGTTGTTTATTTGTTCCACCCCAGATTTAAAAGAGTAAATCACCTCCTGGTGGTGATTTCGTCATGTGTTGATGCAAAGATACATCTGAAACACAGCGCCAGGGCCCTCAAGGACCATGGGATGTCTGATGCAGGCAGGGTTCTGGTATTTATGGCTGCTCCCAGAACAGTGTGGGTAACTCTGGTTCAGGTCAGCCTGGCTCCACTTCATGGGATTTACTTATTTATTTACTGCTTTTTCTTCAGCCAGCGTTAAGTTTCCACTCAGTCCCATTTACGACTTTTCTAGTCGGATTTGTTGTAGTTTGTGCTGACTGAGAATTTTGTGCTTGTTATAATTAGATCAATGGTGTCTTTGGTTTCCAGTAAACAGAACAGAAATCCTCTCAGCAGCTCTAACAAAAGCAGGAGAGTTGGTTTAAAATGTTCAGGATTTCTGGTTTAATAATTAACTCTATAGTTAATCTTTGTTTTGTGATGTTTTCATATTCAGTGGAAGCCAAAAGGAGACTCAGATCATCACAAACCAGGGGGAAAACTGTCTGCCAAAAGTGAAGCCAATGCAGAAGTGACCTAATTGCAGTTCCCCTCTCATCCACTAGGGGCTGGCACCAGAAGGGAGCAAGTTCTCATTTGGGCCATTCCCATCTGTACCGGGTCGGCCCGGGCCGGGTAGCCCCAGTCGGCCCCAGCCTGGCCCGGTTGATGCCACACATCCTTGCCTTAAGCCCATGTGAGCTGATTCTACCCACCAATCAGAGGCTTGCTCTAATGGAAGGTGTGAATTTGCTGTCAGCAGTGGGTGTGTTGGCCCTGGTCGGCCTGAAGCAGACCCGCTCGAGAAGAGGGCTGAGAATGAGCCTTGGTTGGCCCGGAAAAATACCAGGCCACCCAGATATGTAAACAACCTACGCTACCCGGCCCGGGCCGACCCGGTACAGATGGGAATGGCCCAATTGACTCTCATGTTATAAATGCCCACTTCACTGAAGAAATGAACATGTTTACAGCCTGGTTCAGAAAAACATTTTAGGTTTGATAGATCTGGCTTACCGCCGTGATAACTCTGAGGGGGGTGCATTTTTTGTGAGTTATCCATTTGAATGTAATTAAAGCTTGAAATTCTGACTAGTTAGGGGTGTGTCCTTTTGATTGACGGGTAGCAAATGAGTCAGTCCTAGCACTAGCGGTTTGCCCCCCTGCTTGCTCCAGGGAGGGCCTCAGCCTCGGTCCCACGTTAAAGGTGTTACAACCTAGATGGCAGAGGGTAGCACAGCTGCTCACTCGCAGTTTTCTGGCTTAAAGCAACAGCTAGCATTGTAACTATATTGTCTTAGGCCCTGTCCACACGTAGCCGGGGATCTGCCAAAACGTAGATATTTTTCTACGTTTTGGCCTGTCATCCACACGAAAACTGAGTTTTTTCACACGAAAACAGATCTTTTTAAAAACTCCGGCCAAAGTGAAGATCTGCGTTTTCTCCGTTTTGGGTGTCTGCGTGTGGACGGACAAAACCGGAGTTTTAAGATCCGCAACGTCACTTTCCACGACAAAAAAATGCTGACATCACGTGTGCGACCTGTGTTTACACTAGCCGGCATCATGGAAGCCCTCAGAGCTGCGCTCGCTTTATCAATTGTCCAAGCGCTTTCTGCTTATTTGTTTTTGCAAGCGGAATTACTGCTCCTTGCGGAAGACCACAGACGAAGGACGAGGTTAAGAACGGGGGAAGTACTGCCACCTACAGGTCTGGCATATCCTTAACGTATTTATCCGGGTACGTGTGGACAGTTTTTTTTAAACGAGGTGGTGTGGATACAAGTTTTTGGAGGGGCGGATATTCGTTTAAAAAAACCCCGGCTACGTGTGGACTAGGCCTCAGTTTGTTGGGTGTCAATCATCTGGCCCCACCCCCACAGCCACGCCCTCAGCTCCATTCTTGTATTGAAATTCAGCTCTGTAGAAGCCCACAGGTGATGGCACGGAGGCTGCGTTCATTATGCATTGTCTATAAAACAAGCTTAACTTCATTTTCAAATGTAACTTTTAGAATGATATAAAGGGTCACAACCCACATTTTGGCTTCCATGTTTTTGTTCTTTAGGCATTTGTATTATTTTCTGTTTCATCCTCTGAACATGACTTCCATCTGTACGAGTGGAATAGTCAACATTGTTTACGTTTGTGGTGCTGATTCCTGCTTTTCCAGTTTGACTCCTGCCTCCAGTGCAAGAGGAAGTGGATGAGTTTTAGTAAAGTGTGCTGAAGTCGTGTGATGTTAGATAGTAGCAGTCTGGAAGTGGGCAAAGCTTTTTATATAACAAATGAATCAGTAATGCATCAGGATGAGAAATGATTATTAGTAATGGTTTGGTATTATGGTAATGTTATTATTTAGGATGTTTATGCTGTAAAACATATGAATTACATGGCGTTGTTTGTCTCCTCATAGGAAATGAGCTCTGCTGTGATCACACTGTGTGGACACTTCTTCCACGGTAACTGTCTCCGGAAGTGGTTGTATGTGCAGGAAACGTGTCCCATGTGTCACCAAACAGTCCGACCAGCACCAGCGGGTCAGAGCCAGGCTTCAGGCGGTGACCCGGCAGCTCAGAGGGAGGCCCAGCCGGAATCGGCTGCACAAGAAGGACATCAGAAACCGAGCAGCAGCTCCACGGAGGCGCAGGGTGATGATGACACTCAGCAGCAGGAGGAGGAGGAGAGAGACGGCTTAGGGAACAGAGACAGTAAAGAGGAACCAGCTGAAGCTGCTCAGGGTCATGGTTTGAACTCCAGTGGAGACTTCATCCCACCCGTGTCCTTAGAGGGACGTTCCAGTTCTGATGCATTACTGTATACAACTTCTCTGAACAGCCCAGTGGGGGTCAGTGGGTCCTGCTCCCCTCTCCCATCGGTTAATGAGAATACTGAGGAAGGCCAGCGTGACCTGGAGCTACCAGAGTTTCATCCTAATAAGTTCCAAAGGACACCTAAATCATGTCGTGACTTTGATTCACTAAAAGTAAACAAAACTGAAATTCATCTACAAGCGGCCTCAGGTGCTGTGAGCCCTGCTGAAAACACAACATCAGCTCAGTCAGACCCTCGAGGCTCCACTGACTCTTTCAACAGGCATCACGATCATGTCACACAATCAGACCTGAACTGGGACTGCCCAGAATCCAGTGGTTGACCCAGCCCTTGCACCAGTGCCTTGAAGGGTCTACAATCATAACTGGAATGAACACATTAGCCTCCCTGGTGTGGAGCAACTCATCAAAACAAAGATCACATCCTCCACATGTTCAGAAATACGTCTGAATATTAAACCTGATGGTGTTTACTCGATGCACAACTAGAAAAGGAAAACAAATTACTATGATTTATCAAGAAATGCCTTTGGATTATTAAATAGGATTAATTTTTGTTACTCTTCAAGGATCTCATCTTTCCCCAGAGTAAAACTCCTGCTGCGTCTATGTTTTACTGTAGTATTATAAACCCAGCAGGATGAGGCACAGGCTCTGAACATTAGCTTTGTAGCTTTAAGCTAAGACAATCCGAAACTTCAGTTGCTGTCAGACTGACACTGTTCTGTGGCAAACCTTTTTGACCCATTTCCCTCACTGTAAAAATGATTTTAAAACAATACAAATAAACTTCAATGTTTACAAATCAGTATTTTCCCTCTATCCCGAGTGCAGAGGCACCTCTTGGCTTGTTCATGGTTTTATTAAACAGAAACATCAGCTGGCTAAAAGCTAAAAGGAAATCTGTTTCATAAAATATAAAATCACATAGACTGAATCTGAAATAGCAGCTCAGAATAAAGTGTAGAATAGAGAACAATTTGTTCCTAAAGGTCAATAAATACACTTTTTAAAAAATAAATTAAAAAAATATTCTAATATTTATATGAAAATGAAATTTGTGACTAAGTTAATTATTTAATAATGTCTGTTTAGAGTAGCTGCCCTGTGTCTATGCCCTCAACCCTAACCGATATGAGTCAGAAGTCTTTTTTTGTTTAATTGTGTGTTTGATTTTATTAATTGAGTGTTGAAAGTTTAAAAGCCCATCTGTGTCCGTTTCTGAATAATAGTACACCGTGTGATCCTGCGTCTGGAGGATGGCATGTTTCAGGCTGTCCTGACATACTTCCACAGGCTTGTTAACAATCTGCCATCACATCCGCCGCGTCACGCAGCAGCTAACGCCGCCTCACGTCATAAAATCTCACACACGTATGAGGACAGGCACCAGTTACCTAACGGCATCGACCGAAACCAAGAGAGGAGCAGCGCTGCCTGCCAGCTTGATATACGCACGTACACAGCCTCGAGAGTAGTCTCTAATAATCTAATTCGGGGCGTCGAAACGGCGTGAAGATCGCTAAATAACTAGTGAGCGTCGTGTGGTTCTTTAACAATTCTGCGTATACGTAGTTTTAGCACGCTAGCAAGCTAACTACGCTAGCGAGAAAAAGGCCGTCGAGTTGACCCAGTCTCGGTGACGCTTAATAAAACGATTCACTTCGGCACAAGTTAGCCCTTTATTATTGCGAGAGAAAAACATTTATTCGTCAGACAACATCGAGAGAGGATGGCTTTGAAAAGGATCCACAAGGTAAGATAACATCGTCAAATGTTGGCTTAAAGTTAGCGTGTCGGGCTAGCCTCCCACAATGCGACCATTTCCTGTGAAAGCAGGCGGCGAAGCGTGTTCGAGGAAGCGTCAACTTTACAGAGTTTAGTGTCTAATCAGGTTGTGTGTTTGGAGTCTGGCGTAGTGTCGATCATTTGAAATTATTTTTTTCCCTTTTTTTTAATGAATGACCATTCCTGTTAAATACGAGTTGGCCAAACCTCACATAGCTTGTTGGCTATTGTTAGCAGTTAAGAGTTACATGCTGGGTTTGCTCATGGAGACGCTGAAGACGGGACAGATGCCGCATGGTTTTTCTAACTAGTACCACATTGGCCCGAGGACAGACCGGTGGTAATCTCTTAGGACAGTAGTTTCTTAACTCTGTTACCAGACCCAATGACTCATATCTGATCTGACTTCAGTATATGCTACGGCTGTGATACATTTCTCTGGATTTTAACTGGATTTTATTGTGGGGTTTTTTTTTTTTTGTATTTTTTCCCCTCATGCGGTACATTTGGATGAACTGGTGTAATGTGAAGGATTCAACTGTCCCGTGCTGAAGGTTCCTTCGAGGAAGTGAAGTTGTTTGTGACATGGTTTCTGAAGGCCAGGGTGGAGCAATGCCTCCACCTCGTTCAAAAATAGCTGTACACCCCAAAATAACCGGCCCTAGTGTACAGCGTATGCATAGCTGTAATCTAGCAGTTTGCTGTGGTGACGTTAACAACTTGACCTCTGACCCCGGGCTGGTATAGAGGGGCAGTAGGGGTGTCATGGAGAGGATGTTGTGAAAGAGGAGACCAGAACTACCACCAGTGTCCACATCTTCCTACCATCCTCAGATCTGATCAAGTCAAGAAGTCCCACAGAACTAACAACTAACCTGTTTACTTTTCATTAAAGGAACTGAATGACCTGGCCCGTGACCCCCCAGCACAGTGCTCAGCTGGCCCCGTGGGTGATGACAGTAAGTGTAGTTGTTTTAAATGCTGGTTCTAATGTTTTGAAATGCTTGACTTACGAAGTTTTAATGAATGAATAAGTTTAAATCCCACTTTTGAATCTGAAATTGTTTTTGTGGCATTTTGAGACTAATTTTTCTTAAGATTTAGGTTATAATTGCATCTAAAGGTTTTATATTTGTCATTTCTGAACCAACGAGCTCTGTTTCAGTAAATTTATTTTCCCAAACTCAGATGATCCATGTTGCTGCTAGGAATATGTGAGGATGGTGTAGCAGCTTAGTTCCTGTTGGATCACATACCTGTGACCTTTCACCATCTTTTACTAACATTCATTTTCTGTTCTCTGCAGTGTTTCACTGGCAAGCCACAATCATGGGGCCTGTAAGTATTTTATGACATGATTGGTGCCCTTTTTATTCAGCAGGACGATGTTGTTCTGTCTACATATATTCATGAGATAACGGTCAAAATTTGATAAGAAAATGGGAAGCTGTGTGTTTACTTTTTTGTATTTGTTTGCTTGTTTGTGCTTTCAGAGTGACAGTCCATATCAGGGAGGAGTTTTCTTCTTGACAATTCATTTTCCAACAGACTACCCTTTCAAACCACCCAAGGTATGCTGGAGTAGTGGATCTGTCCTGTTTTTATTTATTTTTTCTTCATCTTCACGATTTGAAAAGGACTCTTCAGTCACATTTTTGTAAAAATGAAATATTGTGATGTTACGTTTCAGGCCCTTTTTTTTTTCTTCTTCTTCTTTACTGAAAGGCATCTCTGCCCAGTCATGTTCTTGGGATCTAAAACTGGACAGAAATTTAAATTGTGTGACTGCTGATTTTGAAACTGTATTTTCCTTCTTTCAGGTTGCTTTTACAACAAGAATTTACCACCCAAATATTAACAGTAATGGCAGTATCTGTCTGGATATTCTCAGATCACAGTGGTCTCCTGCACTTACTATTTCTAAAGGTATGAGTGTTAACGGCCAGCGACTGTGATTACTGTTCTGTGTTTCATCTTCTCATTATTGATTAAAACAAACTCTCTTTCAGTTCTTCTCTCCATTTGCTCACTGCTATGTGACCCAAACCCTGATGACCCACTAGTGCCAGAGATCGCACGAATCTACAAAACAGATAGTCAGAAGTAAGTGGTGTTTGGGATTAAACTGTCGCCTGTTACTTCTGAAGAAATGTCACCCAGAGCAAATTTTATAGAGGCTTATCAATGATTGATCGGGATGGGGGGGGTCACACCTTTCCTTCTGGGAATTCTTGTGTAATGTGGTTTCACTTTGTTAGGTACAATAAACTAGCTCAGGAGTGGACAACCAAGTATGCCATGCTTTAGGGTAAGGCTACGGGCCAGCGCTGCATCTTGGTGTTGTGAGCGCAGATATATTTTTGTCTCTGTGGTTAAATGGAGACTTGCAGCTGATTTCCCATTTTTGTGTGTAAAGAAAAAAATTCTAGTTCCAGTGTAAACGCAGTAACTCATCTGTTCTGCTTCAGTCTCTTAACATGCATCTTGGTTTTATGCAAGTGGTTTTTTTTTTTTTTTTGGTTACCAAAATATTCCTGCACAGCCTTTTAAGTTTTCAAACGTGCATTGGCAAAGGCACCTGGAGTCCTCTGGGCCTTGTGTGCAACAGTTAATGAATTTTCAGCTCTTGCTTTGTCCTAAATCGACACACGATCAGGTTTCTGTTGGAATCGATGCAATAACGGGACCAAAGTAGTCCTTAAGACCAGACTGGATTATCTTGGTGGAACATGCATGAGACAAGGCCACTAACCACAGCATGGTTATTTTGTATAGGGTACTGAAATATTTCCTCCTGAATTCTTCACCTGTGAGAAGAAAGTTGCATTATTTCTATGTTCTGTAGATGTTGGCTATTGATCTAATTCATGCTGGAATCTAAAACCTGATGGTGCCCGTGTGCACGCGTGCTTTGTTAGGATGCAGAAGTAGTGGGGTTGCTGCAGAAACATTGAGTGTTTCTCTTCTTCCTTGCAGATACATCAAAATGGCAAAAGAATGGACACAAAAGTACGCAATGTGAGGGTGTCGCCTGGAAGCGGGTGGAAATGTTGCTGGTTCAAACGTCAAATTATGGGATTCTGTTTTTCCTTTTCACTTAGTTTTGTTTTTTGGTTAATCAATGCATTTTATCCTGTTTTTGTTTTAATTTTTCCCACCTGCGTGCTCATAAGAAGATAGTGTTTCCTCTCTAGGTCATAAACCAGTTTCTGTCAAGTACAAACTCCTTTTTATAACGAAAAATACAATGGTGGCTCAGCCACAGATTGGTCATCCTGATTTCCTCTGCGCACACTTAGACCCTGATGCAGTTCACCTTCCCACGCTGATGATGAGGAGGATCCAGCTGGTCACCAGGCTGGTTCCCCTCCTCTCCAGTCTAGACCTTAAGGAGCATTTTGCCCTCCTAAGAATTAGAAGTGGTTGGTGTATGTCTGCTGTATTTGATTGGGAAAATTACAAATGGTGTAACACAGGTTCTGCTCACTAGGATAAGAGTTCTGAGTTGTATCTTATTCCAAGTGTGTACAGAGAAGCACAGCAGTATATATCCATGTTAAAACTAAATATAAGACTTCATGTTGTATTTAATGCATGTTAATAAAGGTAGGCTGTTATTTCTGATGTTTCTGCTAATAAACTGGATTGTAAGGTTGAATCATTGGACAAAGCTGGTTCCCTTTCTTTTGTTCCCCCTTTAGTTTCCTAGGAGCCGTAGATGAGCAGATAGTTTTACGCCCACTCGAACACTGTCTTCTTGTAGCCATGGGGTCTCGATGCAAAGCTGATGGTTGATAATCAACTGGTGGCTCTGTTTCTTTTAGTTTTACCTTCAATAAAGTTACTTCAACCATAACTTTCACTGGTGTCTGTCTGATTCACTTACTGGGGTCAGAGAGAACTTCAAACAGTCTTAATTTCTTAAGTAATATAAAATAAAGATGTATTAAAACATTAAAAAAAAAAGATCATTGGTTCAGCCCACTAGACCAATTACTGACTCATGATTAGGCTTCGGGTCAAACAGTTCTCTATGAGTTTAAATGTGGGGTTTTCTTAAACTAAGCCGTAATCCGTTAAAAGAAGGGCTTAAATATCTGGCGTTGCATCTAACAAGTTATTTCTTTAATGGTAAATTACTGACAAGTTTCTGCACCATGCTGTATAATTTTTGATTTACATTTTTATCAGGTAAAGGCCTGGGGTGGCAGATTCCACCCTTGAAATCTGATTGGCCACCCCGTTGAGTTCCATTCAAACTGACTTACATTGTCCACAAAAGGTTTGGAATTACAAAACCCAACATAGTAGGTTGTAGCCTACACCTTTAACGTTGGTTTCCAGCAGCACGCCTACAGAACATTTGTTTTCATATAGACAAATAGTATTTAGAGTCCTAGTCCTACTCCACCCTATTTGGTGGAGGTAATGTACCAAGACTTGGCTTGCTAACCACCACAGTACAGCTGTTGATGGCAAAATGTGGAGCTCACAAATTCACAAAAATTAAAATGATTTTGTAAGCATAAATAAGTTCCCCACCTGGGCCATGGGCCACCCCATTCCAAAAGGCCTGGACATGCCACTGTATTTCATAAGATGCATGAATTATAACACACAACTAACACACTAATATACATTTATAGGTGCACATACAGGAAGTGCACCAGGATGCTAATAGAGGCTGAGAACATGCTGCAAGGAGATTCCTTGGGTCATGAGAAAGACGATAGCTTTAGCTAAGATGGGCCGACACCACCCAGGATTAAAACCAGTCTGTTAAACATTTATAGAGCTGATTATGACCCCATTGGTTATGAAAGGTGAGATGCATGTTTTGTTTGAAAAGAGTTCAAATTTATTTGATTACTTTGTATTAGTATTAACAAATGCAAAACTCTGGTCTAATTAAAACAAATTGTCTGAAGGCAATATGAAAGATTAAAACAATCTAATCTACTTCATAAAAAAAAAACTACACTCTTCAGAGCTTTGTACAACCTTTAAAAGTCCTCTCTTTTCCAGGCTGCTGATATCTGGCATTCAGATGTTTTGTGGGATAGTGCTGGGTTATTTCAGGAGAAAGGTCAGAGTTGTTCCAGTTTGTGTTGCCCTGCAGATCCAAAGCAAATTCCTGGACACAGGCCAGTGTGTACCTTTACAGCTACACTTGCCAAAAACGAGACCTGTATGCAGCCCCAGCTCCTGTCAGTGGAGGACGGTCGAAGGCCTATGACAGCTGAGCTGGATCTCTTGGATCCTTTTTAAGTACGGCTGGGGATGAGGGACAATCTCCTCAAAGACATCAGATATCAGGTTGTGAACGTAGCCTAGAAGAAATCGTTCAATGCAAATATTCAGTGATGTACGTTCTACATCAGGGGTGCCCAATCCTGGTCCTGGAGGGCCGGTATCCAGCAGGTTTTGTGGTTTTTCTGCTCCAACACACTTGATTAACTGGTTGAATCACCTGTGCCGCATCTCATCGGGCTCTGCAGAAGCCTGTTAATCACCTGCTGATTGAAATCAGGTGTGTTGAAGCAGAATTAAAACTAAAACAAGCTGGATACCGGCCCTCGAGGACCAGGATTGGGCACCCCTGTTCCACATGGAACACATTCATTTGATTCTCATAAACAAAAACTACTTACGTTGTGTTGGTGGTGTCTTCACTGGCTCTAGCGTGTGTCCTCCCTTCTTTGGGAAATGTGTTGCATTCCTCCAATTTCCTGCAGTTGTTCCTACTTGAATGCGACTCGAGTTTTCATTGAAATGCATTGCTGCCAAATAAAGTCTGTCAAAAAAAAAAAAAAAAGATGAAAATTCTGTTTCCTACCGATTCTGGTCTCATCACACATGACAACACATTATTGTGCAGAACACCACACTCTTCTCTCCTATGAAAATGCATTCTTTAAGGTGTCACTGCTTCACACACGATAGAGAATGTAGATGTGACTAAACACACCTGCAGAGCCTCTCACCGGGAGGAAAGACCACGTTTCTGGGCGTGAAGCGCAGCGCTACGTTGTGGAAAGCATCCAGAAAGGACGTCTGGTACTGCGAGCTTAGCTGTGCAACATCCGTGAGAACCTTCTTATTAGTCAAGATTTTCTCCACTTTGAAGAGAGCTTTTGAACCTACAGACACAGAGCATGAAGTTAATAAAACTTCCTAACTTCCAAAGTTATTTTGTTACCAAACATTACTAAAATAGTAGGGTACGCTCTAAACCTGGCTGAAACCACTTGTTACGATCGCTGCTCAGGCGGACTGGATGTTGGCATTGGGGAAAGAGGGGATTGTCGTGGACGTGGATGTCTTGCATGTGGTTCACCACGGACGTCCATTTGGCGACTCTCTCTGGCCCCGAGGATGACGATGTTGCACACCAAAACGCATGGTTGCTGATTCCACGCTGCCACTTCTTCACCACCTCACAGTCCTTATCTTTAGCCACTTTGGCCAGCCTCTTGGAAATACCTGGAGGTCACATAAGTGGTTAACTATAAAAACAAGATGTGTGTGCCTCTAAACAGCCGAGGCCAGGACTGGAATGGGAGATCTACTTTTATTATGCAATAAAAACTTGCGTTCAAATGTTGAAATTGCACAATGAATTAAAGTAATAAGCGTACTGTTTTGTAAACGCCAGACATCGCAGTAGTGCGTTATCTTTTTCTTTTGGAGGAACTTTTGGATCTGGGGGTGGCGGTCCGTAATAATTAAATCGACTGTCACACCCTTGGACCATAGAAGCCGTAGGCTCCTTCTGAGTCCTTCTATCTCCATCTTTGGGCTTCCACCAACCTCACTGCTCTGTAAATAAATAATAAACACAAACAAATGCACAAAGCGAATAGCAATTGTGTCATGGTCAGTCAGGTGACAGGTGTGTGTGTGTGTGTGAAGTTTTGGAGGAATGTATTACATACTGTGAGACTGTCTTACCTGTATGAACACACTCACCTGGACAAGCTGAATGTCGATGACGCTGTTGTTCTCCAGATTCATCAAACTATAACGTCCAAACTTTGCAGAGTGACCTTCAAATAATTTTATTATTACAAGTATGACATGTTAAAGTGACAGTGTGTATTTTTCCTGGCGATAGGGGCAGTAGATACCTAAATCATAGCAAACAAGCAGTATTTTTATGTTGGAGTAAGACTACCAATGGATGCCCATTAGGGTCAAAAACTCCGGGGAGTGCAAACTAGCAAAATAACAAGCACATCAGACTCCCTTTCATCACTGGAAACAAGTGAAGAGGTAAATGTGTAGAACAACAACATTTAAGAATGACGAAAGTTTTGTAACCTTTTGTTTCAAATCAGTAAATGCATTTTGTCCTCATGGGCTCCAGTAGAAGGAAACATGTCATCTAATATGGCGTTGCCCAGAGACTTGGGGTGTTTCTCAATGCCAAGGAACCTTGCCTTGATGTCTTGGTCCCGCCCCGTTTGCCTAAGAGATATGTCATCAGGAACTGCAAAGACGTGTTACAATGTTCTCCGTTTGTTAGCCGTTTAGCTAGCTGAGCAAGGATACACGGGAGGTGTCTTGTAGCCTAGCCCTGGTCAAAAATGTCCCAGAATACCCTGCTGTATTTTCAAAAGGACGGCGGATCAGAAGCCAGCAGCTACTTCGGGGGCACATTTTAAGTTTAAATGTAAGTCAACTAATTTAAAATGTAATTTTTTAGATCAAAAGAAGTTATCTATGGTTGGTTAGTGGCTCAGTAATTGCAGCTTCGGTGGCTAGTGGGTAGTAACTCCCTTACATATTTAATTTAACCAACATATACACAAATTTAAAAAGTAAAAGTCTTGTTGTATATTTATATTGAAACTTATATGTATAAAATATAATGTTATCTCCCATGTCACGTGACGTTATGTGACCACTGCGGTCAAGTGATGCAAGTCTGTTCCATTTAACCATTTTCTTTGACTAAGGAAGAACAGTGTCCTGGTAAGCATTGAGAAATACCCTTAGACCTGCTCCAGTGTATTTTAGACCTGATTTGTATGGGTATATGTTAAGAAGCCGCCAATATTTTTCAACAACTGGGCATCATTTCATTCATTTTTAACAACATGATGGATATTTCCAGAAATTAATGGTAAAAACTACACATTGTCTCTTTAATGTCTGTTATATTAGTAAGCGATTACCTGAGTTACAGCATAACCTGACACAATTATCAAGAATACCTGGTGAATCTGCTCGCATGTCCCCTCCAACCTTGACTCTTTTTTGACTCAGGATCCGTAATTCTTCTTCTTGGTACTGCTGCCATGTGTGGATCACAGCTGGTTGCAGATAACTGTTGGCATGGTTACGGAACGTTGTGTAGCTAATATTTTGCAGATGCATGGCTTCAAATACCTTAAAAAAATACATCTTCATCATGGCTTCATTTACATTTGGTGGCATGGAAAACATGGTGCTAGATTCTGCAGTGTAGTTTACCTTCTGCACTTTAAAGTAAGAAGAACCGGTGAAATATATGGCAGCAGAGAGCTGGATGTTTCCCACAGGGGTGCTCCCCACCACTGGCTGACTTTTCCATTGCTTTGAATAACTGCAGTGATGGCATTTTTGGTGGATAGACAGAAAGGTTCCTCGTCTGTAGGTCTTCACCTCCGACACACGGCTGCAAACTGGACACGTTTCAAAAAGTTCCACGAGGTTTTTCTCAAATACTATGTACTTGGAGTCTTTGTATCCAGTAGAAGACATATCACTGTTTGGGAATGCGACAAAACAAGATACGTTTAATTCAACTAAATCTATGTCAAATAAACATGGACATTTAGATCAAATTAGAGACAAAAACATACATCAGCTGTGAAGACTCAGCAACAGCGCTCACTAACTGGGCTGGATCATAGGTGGATTCAGGGGGTTCAGGTCTTAATATGGAGACTTCCCCTTCATCCTCTTCATCTAACCGAGGTCTTTTACTTGGCCTCAGATGAACAGACCCGATGGGCACTGAGGTACCAGGCCCCCATGGTGCATCTGCAGTGCTGGTGGCCACACTCTTCCTCATCAGGGATGATTCTGTTTGGATACCTAGATTAAAAAAGTCTTTCAGTCAGGGTTCAGGACAGGTCACAGCACTGAATCTGCTCTTTTAATGGTTTTTAATGACACGTTTTTAGCCTGTGACATGGATAACGATGCTGTCCTGCTATTGCTAGTGCAGCTTTTGATACAGTCGACCACAAAGTCCTTTTGGACCGACTAAAGCATTGGGTGGGGATAACTGGGCAGGCCCTCCAATGGCTTCGCTCCTACCTTCATGACAGGACATTTAGTGTTCAGATGGGTGAGGTGACGTCACCCTGCCTGAGACTTCGTTGGGGTGTGCCACAGGGCTCTGTCCTTGGTCCTCTCCTATTTGCAGTGTATTTGCTTCCTCTTGGAGTCCTCCTTCCTCAGCATAATGTGAAATTTCATTTTTTTGCTGATGACTGCCAGATCTATCTCCCTCTTCGATGTGGGGAGGATAGATCCGTTTCTCCTTTATTGGACTGTTTGAAGGACATAAAATGTTGGATGGCTTCTAATTTTTTTCACCTAAATGAGAGCAAAACGGAAGTCATAATACTTTGTCCTGGCAGAAGAAATGGCTCAGGTGCTGATATTGACCTTGGCCCATTGACCCCCTATGAAAACAAAATAGTCAGTAATTTGGGGATTAAAATCGACTCCTCACTTAATCTTGACACTCACATAAATACAGTGGTGAGGTCCTGTTTTTTTTTTTAACCTGAAACGACTATCCAGGATCAGGCCTCTGCTGTCCAGAGCTCATCTGGAGTCTGTGTTGCATGCTTTCGTCCTGTCCCGTCTGGACTACTGTAACGCTCTGTATGCTAGTCTGGCCCAGTGCACGGTTGCATGGCTCCAATTTGTACAGAACTCAGTGGCTAGGTTCCTGACAGGTACTAGATGTCGAGAGCACATTACCCCAGTGCTGGCTGCTCTGCACTGGCTCCTGGTGCAATACCGAGCTAAATTTAAAATCTTAACTCTCGTTTATAAGGCCCTCCAGGGCAGTGCCCCTCTTACATTACTGCACTTTTGCACAGGTATGCTCCATCTCGGTCTCTTCGCTCAGCCGAGCAGGGACGTCTGGTGGTCCCCCGGTCGAAATATCGATCGAGGGGTTATCGTGCATTTTCTGTTTTGGCTCCAACTCTGTGGAATGAATTGCCATTGAGCATTAGGCAGGCACCGTCCCTTCAAGTCTTTAAGTCTCGTCTAAATACTCATTTTTATTTGATTGCTTTTCAGCACTAGGGTTCTTTGAACTGCCCTGACATTATGGTTTTTAATACTTCTTCTTTTGATCAGGACGCTTGATTTTATTTTGTCCACATTTGTTTTTAATTGATTAGTCTTATTCCGTTATCTCTCTGTATTTGTAATATTGCTTGCTTGTTATTTTATGATTTTATATTTTTATCTTGCTTTTATGCCCAGGTACTGGGAATGTTTTTATGATGATGCTGTTCAGCACCTTGGGCTTCTGATAACGTTGTGGAAGGTGCCCTACAAATAAAATTGATTGATTGACTGATTACTGTGACGTTACAAGGTAATACTAAGAGCTTAAAGAGACAATGTGTAGTTTTTACTATTCATCTCTAGAAATATGCATCAAAACGTTGTTGAAAATGAATTAAATGATGCCCAGTTGAAAAATATTGGTGACTTTGTAACATATAAACATAAAAATCAGGTCAAAAATACATTAGAGTGGGTCTAAGTCTCTGGGCGATGCCATATTAGATGCCATGTTTCCTTCTACAGGAGCCCATGAGGACAAAATGCATTTACTTATTTTCACTAGTCATAAACGTTGTTGTTTTACACAATTACCTCTTCGCTCGTTGCCAGTGATGAAAGAGAGTCTGATGTGATTGTTAGTTTTGCTGGAGGTTGCGAACCGAGGGATTTTTGACCCTAATGGCCATACTCGAACACAAAAAACTGCTTTCTTGCAATAATTTAAGTATGTACAGCTCCCTATTGCCAGGGAAAATACACATCGTCACTTTAAAGCTCTAATGACTGAATGAAAAGCAACAAATATGTTCACAACTGTTGAGAAGTCAAAGTGGTACATGCATGAAAATAACACATTAAAGACCAACAGAACTCATATTTTAATGCATTATCAGTAGTCTCTGGTAGGAATGAATGCCAAGTCATTCCCGGGGGGGGGGGGGGGGGGTGTGACTCTGCTGCTCCCTTTTAGTCAGCTGGAGGAGAAAGTACTTTCAGACAGCAGGATTTGGAGTCGAATTTCCTGATAATTGGATTTCTCTTCTCTGATTGGCTAACAGACGCGTGACTCTGTTTGCTCTGCAATGTTGATATTTTATCTCCATAAATAACACAAGCCTGGAGAAGTTCTGCCATGTGGTGCTAATGGTTAGCTTCTACTAGCCGCTGATTTCTGGACACTAATCCCCAAATTCCACTACCTCCGCTCCGCCCCCGCCTTCCGCAGCCGCTCGCTTCCTAACTCAATTTTTACTGGTACCCGCTCTACAACGGCTCCGCTCCGGTGCGGAGACCTGAGGTGGGCAAACAAGCATGCGCGGGATCTTCGAGATCTTGCGATACAGTCCGAGCAATAAACGCGGAAGTTAGATCCAAACACCCGTTGTGTGGGAGAAACATGGACATGAACTGTTTAATCTGCCCATCATTTGTGTTGAGAGATCAGCAGTGTTTGGATCAACAAAGTGTGACTACTTTGATAGTAGAAACTGTATTTATGGCTTACTTTTGTGCATTTAAAGTTCAACCGCCATTGATAGTTGTTAAAAGTTGTTAAACCTGTGCATATGAAACAAAAAAACGCCTTTTGTTTATCAATTTATTGTGAAAAACGGAAGTTGTGCTTGCTCCTTTTCCTGTTGGGCGGATGTGATTTCTGTCCATTTACTGCGGAGGTGCTCCGGCGTCCGGCAAAAATAGGATCGATTCTATTTTTGCCGGATGCCGGAACAGAGGGCGGCGCACGGCGCCGCACTGCCGGAGCACGGCCGCAGTAGTGGAATTGCTCTGATTGACTACAACGGGACCGATTTTGCTCCGGCGTTCGTGTCGGAGCGGAGCGGAGGTAGTGGAATTTGGGGGTAAATCAACAACAGCCAAGATAGGTAAGTCCATGAATGGTGAGTGACATTGTGATGTAAATCTGTCAGGATTTTCTGAACGGAGCATTTTTCAGTATTTTCTATCAGAAGCTAAGGTAATAGCTGTAGAAGACCATCTCCTCGTTCAGTCTGCATGTTAAAAATCTGAGTTACTGATCATTTTCAATTATAAATAATGGTTAAATAATAATAAAAAATGGTTACTTTGCAAGCACATGTGCACCTGTCTTCGTAGGAAAAACATGACAAAAGGATCACAATCAAAATTCCAATAAGAGTTAAAAATCAAACCTTTGCTTCCAACACAGTGACCCAATATACCCAAGGAAACCTGCGTTGCTCGTGTTGAACAGCCTGGTGAGTCTGTTTGTGTGCTGATGTGAAGGCGAGATGTCATCGATGTATCTGATGTGCTCTAAAAGACACAAACATTTAAGGAACCAGGAATATAAAAAACATGTAACAATGTGACTGACAACATGACTACTAACAGCAATAAGATCCTGGCATAGTTAGACTGAAGTGAAAATATTTTATCTATGGTAAATGGCCTGTATTTGATATAGCACCTTCTACAGTCCTGGAACCCCCCAAGGCACTTTACAACACAATCAGCCATTCATTCATTCACACACATTCACACTCTGGTGGTGATGAGCTACATTGTAGACGCAGCTGCCCTGGGGCACACTGACAGAGGCGAGGCTGCCGTACACAGGCACCACCGATCCCCCCGACCACCACCAGCAGGCAAGGCGGGTTAAGCGTCTTGCCCCAGGACACAGCGACAGACTGAACGGGACTCAACCTTCCAATTACGGGCGAGCACTTAACTCCTGTGCCACCGTTGCCCCGATATCTCTCTCTCTCTCTCTCTCTCTCTCTCTCTCTAAATATATATATATATATATACATATAGTTATATGTATATATATATATGTATATATATATATATATATATATATATATATATATATATATATATATATATATATATATATATATATATATATATATACATATAACTATATGTATATGTATATATATATATATATATATATATATATATATATATATATATATATATATATATATATATATATATATATGTACACTACACTGCATATATTTACTGCTTGGCCAAATAAAGAAGCCCCCCCCCCCAAAAAAAAGTCACACACTTAAGATTTGGTTGGACCGCCTTTAGCTTTGATTACAGCACACACTTGCTGTGGCCTTGTTTCTATAAGCTTCTACAATGTCACCAGATTTATTTCCATCCAGTGTTTCATTCATATTTCACATTTTGAGCCCAATGAATGCTGACATTGACATCTGGCCGTGTCATCAGGGAAGATGGAATAACCTGGTCATCCAGTACTTTCAAGTAGTCAGCTAACCTCATTCTCGGAGCACATCCTGTTGCTGAACCTAGACCTGACCAACTGCAGCAAGCCCAGATCATAGCACTGCCCCCACAGGCATATGCAGCCGGCACTAGGCATGGTGGGTGCATCACTTCATCTGCCTCTCTTCTTACCATGATGAACCCATCACTCTGGAGCAGGGTCCATCTGGACTCATCAGACCAGTTTTTAATAATGCGTTGGACAGTTCTTAACCCAGTTTTAGTCGTTTCTGCATCTCCTTAGATGTTTTCTCTGCTTGATGCAATGATCTGACCCTTCTCACAGACTCTTTTCCACGACCACCAGATGTGTCTTTTGGCATGAGAACCAACTCATTGCACCAGTAGTTGCTAGGTGAAAGATAATCTCCCATGCAGTAATTATCCAATAAAAGGCTCATACTTGTTTGCTTAGTTAAATCCATGTGGTGACTTTTATTTTGGCCAGGAAGTGTATGTATATACTATTTATAATATATAAAGGTGTTTAGGATTAACATTTAATCTAACATTTAAATGAAGTTATTGAGAAGCAAATAACTTCTAACAGAGCTAAGTAAATTAATCTAATAATCGATGCACCGAGATGCAGACATAAAGGATTATGGATCAAATTGATTGATTGTTGAATCTTCTTAAATGGTTAAAAATGTTTTATCCTAAGGACTGTTGTTGTAAAGAGGTTTATAGGGATGGTGTATTGTGTTTGGCACGTTTTTGATTTAAATAAAAACAAATTTTAGAAGAAAATAAACCCATATGAAATAATCGTGTTACATCTCGATATGAAATCGAAATTGAATCGTTGACATGACATTTGTAATTGAATCAGACAGCGGGACTAGTGAAGATTCACATCTCTAGTTTTACATCACTGTAGTATTTAATGTGACTTAAATCTACACATTAGATCAAGAATACTACTAAAGTAATGACTGAATGCTCTTTTAATATCTGGAAAAAGTTTATTTCTGCAGTAGTTTGTATGTCTACTGTTGGGAAGGCTCTGGTAAAGCACATTTTATTTAAAAATGCTTAATGTGATTTTTTTAATGCAAAATACTTCCTACCATGCCTAACAAACTTACCACAGTAAAACTCCCTTTAACACTAAGTAGTCCTGGACTTTTCAGTGCGTTTGGAGTTTTCAAAGGAGTCCGTTCTCCGTTCCTCTTGTCAGAGTTTATGGCGCTTCCTGCTGCAGAGGACTCTTCGTCCTTCTCGTTTTCCATCCAGCTCCAAAACACTGGAAGGGATTTTTCCAGTTTGGATAAAATCGCGACACAACCTCTACAAACACGTTTAGACCTCCCAGGTCTTTTTGTTATCACCAATCCTAAGTGCTTAAGTCGGTCTGATATACTCAGTGGCTTCTTATTTTTATCAAACAAAGTAGTACAATGTCCCAGTACACCAGATACTTTCATGTTTTTCAGACAAAAACGACAGAAATCGTTGATGCTGCTGTTAGACGCCATGACAGCTCCTTTTTCTCCAAAACTTTATTGAACAAGCGTAGGCTGACAAGCTGTTAGCAGATTCACGCTTCTTCTGTTTTTGAGACAGCGCCCTCTAAAGGACGAGTGCTTAATTGCAACTACAGTCTCAACCATTGACTGTAGAAACAGACGCCTCTAGTTTGTGGCGTACACTAACTGTAACCGTGTGTGATAGACATTTTAAAGTTTCTTTTTAAAATAGGTTCGCAAAAAAAAAACTGTCAGCGCTTTCTGTTTTACAGCAAGATGAAAGATTATCAGCTGACTGTCACGAGAGTGTCACGTGACAGACAAAGGGAAATCCACTCTTGAGTTTGTAAACTCAGGAGCCGCCGTCATGTTCTGTTGTGTTTTGTTCTGTGTTGTTTTGGGTGTTTTTTCGGAACCATCAGTGGAGCTGGGTCTGAACGGTAAATGGAGGCTGTCCAACTCAAATGGGTCGGTGTCGGTACCTGCACCGGTACCGGGTTGCGTTCATACAGCTCTGATGCAGCAACAGTACATCCAGGTAGGGACAAAGATCACCTTAACAACTCATCATCGGGTTACTGCATTAAAATACCAAGTCTAGTTTTTGGTGAATAATATTTTTTCCAATATTAACTTAAAATAAACTTGTTTTTCTTTTAGGATCCTTACTTCAGGTTTAACGATTTATCATATCGATGGATTGCGCATGATAATTGGACTTACATGACATCATTTAATGTATCTGCCCAGTTAAGGTGAGTATATGAGATGTTTTAATGACCTTTAAAACTCTTCTCCACATGACCCACCTGTTTGTGACCCCACACAAGTGTACGTGTCCCACTCACCTGTACATGACCCACCCACCTGTGCGTGTCCCCCTCACCTGAATGTGACCCACTCATCTGTATGCGTTCCACCCACCTAAATGTGACCGACCCACCTGCACGTGACCCACCCACCTAACATGACCCATCCACCTGTGCGTGACTCACGCACCTGTACATGCCCCACCCACCTGTGCGTGAGCCGCTCACCTAACATGACCCATCCACCTGTGCGTGACTCACTCACCTGTACATGCCCCACCCACCTGTGCGTGAGCCTCTCACCTGTATGTGACCCACCCACCTGTGCGTGACCCACTCACCTGTATGTGACCCACTCACCTGTACGTGACCCACTCACCTGTATGTTCCTTACAGGGTGAAACAGAAGGTTCTCCTTGTCTTTGATGGTGTGGACACTGTCGCCACCATCTTGTTCAATGGGTTCATGGTCGGGAGGACAGACAACATGTTTCGTAGATATGTATGTAAGGTAGATAAAGGGTCTCGTTTTCCTTCATGTGTGAGGGTACTTTAAGTGCTTTTTTGTTTTCTGTGTACAGGACTTCTCTGTCAGCCACCTTCTAAGAGATGGAGAGAATGTGCTCAAGGTTGTTTTGGTTTCACCAGTTCTTTATGCCTTCAAGCAAAGTAAAGCTCATTCATCCTACAGCATCCCTCCAGAGTGTCCTCCAGATGTCCAGAAGGGGGAATGCCATGTGAATTTCATTAGAAAAGTAAGAACTACATAACATCTTGTCAAAATGTTTATGTTTTGTTATATCTCTGGCAATCTGTCCCCACCACTGCAAATATTCAATCACATTGCATCAATGTCATACCTCCATGGTGCCATTAGAAGTGCAGGAAACCATTTGATGTTAGCTCTGATGTTAACCCTGATGCTCTGATATTCACATGTTTATTTGTTCATTGTATATGACTATTGATTAAATAAAGTAAAAAAAACAAACATTTTAGTTCTGATGGTAGCCCTGATGCTAGCTCTGTTGCTAGCTCTAATGCAGTGGTTCCCACACTTATTTAGCCACGCACCCCCTTCTATGTCCCGACCATGTCGACGCCCCCCCCCCCCCCCCCCCCACATCGGGGCATGCCTCTCTCTCTCTCTCTCTCTCTCTCTCTCTCTCTCTCTCTCTCTCTTTCTTTCTATATATATATATATATATATATATATATATATATATAATGCGCTAATATCTTAATTTGACCTTGAATGAAAAATAACCTCTTAAAAGTTTTTATCGTGGTGGAGGCAGCGTTCATTTCTGCCTTCAGTCTGACTGCGCGCCGGATCGCAGCGTGCGCGCTTATTGAATCAGTGTGTGTGTGTGTGCGCGCGCACAGCCGCTCAAGTCACTGCGTCTCGTTATTGGCGCTATTTAAACTTCTGCCCAGCCCAGATGTGCTCACACGTGCACCCGTGAGCCGTGGTTCCGCTGGAACGCGTCTGACCTCTGACAGACGCACTATGAACTTCAGATCTTCAGCGCGCTGTTAATAGCCTGAATGGGAATCATTTCTTCTTATTTTGTTACATCCACAATGTTCTGTGTGTGAGGTTTACAACGTCAGAACACCTGCATGAGACAGGGTGTTAATTACAATCTGCCAGAATGACTCACCACCTTCAGATTCCTCCAACACCGTTAAAAATGATCAAATACGGAACATATCGGCGTGCGCAGGCCAGAGTGCTGAAGCTCGACGCATTGTTATTATGAAGCTAGGGCACATGCGGAGGAGACGCGCGCGTGCAAAAATATACTTGTTTTCAATTACACTTATTGTGCCCACTTACTTTTTCTTTGGCCCACCCACAAATGAGTTTCTACATTAATGGTGACATATGACAGACTTCTCTGAGCTCCGCAGCCATTACACTTTTTACCTCGCGCACCCCCTAGCGGCAGCTCGTGCGCGCACCACACTTTGGGAATCCCTGCTCTAATGTTAGCCCTGATGCTAACTCTGATATTAGCTCTGATGTTAGCTCTGATGTTATCCCTGATGCTAGCCCTAATGCTAACTCTGTTGTTAACCCTGATGCTAGCCCTAACGCTAACTCTGATGTTAACCCTTATGCTAGCCCTGATGTTGTGTTGTGTTGCAGGAGCAGAGCTCTTTCAGTTGGGACTGGGGACCTTCATTCCCGACTCTGGGCCTGTGGAAGGGAATCCGACTGGAGGCGTTTGATATCCTGCAGCTTATCCAGTTTTCTTCCTTCCCTCTCTACAGTGTGTTTCCTCTAGAAACCTAACTCATTTGAATTTGTTGCATTATTTTTTGGTTTTTGTGATATTACCTCAGATTTCTGGTGTCTGCTCAGATCACAGCTCTGGCCAGTGGAGGCTGCAGGTTGAGCTCATTATAGATGCAGATCAAACCACCAGTGGCCAAGTGGAGCTCTCCTTACCAGAGCTGGGCTCACAGGAAACCTTCCAGACACGATTTACTAAAGGAAGGACTAAGTACAACTTCACCCTGCTCATCAACAAGGTGCCTGAATGAAACTGCTCCCATTTGAATTAAGAGAACAAAACCAGCTTTATTGTTCATGTTTTTGTTCTTCCAGAGCAGGGAGGTGAAGCTCTGGTGGCCCAACGGACATGGCAGCCAACCGTTTTACCGTTTGACCATCAGAGGCTTTCAGGATCAGATGTTGTTATTGCACACAGGGTCAAAGGTCAGACATTAGAACCTCCTTTTTCTTCTCAGATGTGTTACTCAGTCCTATGCTTTGTTTGGTAACACAACAGCCTTAGGTAAGATTGATGGAAATCATTCAGATCCATCAGACATTTCGACCAAACGGAGTTTAAAAGTAAACCAGAGAAGCTCTACTTAAATTATTTAAACTTTGAACAAGTTGTTTTCAATGTAACAAACTAAAAGAACTGATATGAGTGGAGCTGTTATTTACCTATAACTTTACTCTCTGGAGCCCGTTGTCTCCTACAGCTGCAGCTGAGTGAAGGAAAACTTAAAAATCTCTCCTTCAGGTGTTTTTCCGTACCGTGGAATTGATCCAGGAGCAGATTGGTTCATCTCTGGGGCTCAGCTTTTATTTCCGCATAAACGGGAAACCAGTTTTCCTCAAAGGCTCCAACTGGATCCCAGCAGATGCCTTCCAGGACCGAGTAGATCCTTCTGTGTGAGTCACTCCAAGTCTGTGTGGACTGGACTTCAACACTATTATACCGCACCTGTGTTGTTTTCTGACTAACGGGCTTCTTGTCTCTGTCTCTGTGGCAGCTTAAGGAACCTGCTGCAGTCAGCTGTAGACGCTAACATGAACGCCCTGAGAGTGTGGGGGGGAGGAGTGTACGAGCAGGATCTGTTCTACGATATTTGTGATGAGATGGGCCTTATGGTAACTGTTGCCACTCGACATTTTACATTTAGTAGACATCATATAAAAGTGGAGCATGGCTCTTGGAGGATGGTTGTTCTGTGTCCAGTTTTGGGATTTTAGAGGTGATGTTTTTCCTGAGAGCCGGGCTTGACTGTGTGTGTTTGTGTGTGTGTGTGTGTGTGTGTGTGTGTGTGTGTGTGTGTGTGTGTGTGTGTGTGTGAGAGGGAGATTAGGTTTGGCAGGACTTCATGTTTGCGTGTGCCATGTATCCCACCGAGGACGACTTTATTCTGACCGTCCGCGAAGAGGTCAGCCAACAGGTGAGAGGTGACACTAAATCTGTTGTGTTGCTTTTAAAGGCATAGCACGCTAGAGTATATGAACTCAGGGCAGGTGAGGACATGCAGCTCAGATGCAATCATTTGCGGGTTTTCCTTTTTCTTCATGCAGGTCCGCCGCCTGAAGTCCCACCCGTCCATCATTGTCTGGAGCGGGAACAACGAGAACGAAGCAGCTCTAGCCACCAACTGGTTCGACATCCCCGCCTCCAAGAGGCTCTCATACGTTAAGGACTATGTGAAACTTTATGTGAACAACGTCAGGGAGATTGTGCTGGAGGTTAGACTTTAATCTGGGTGTAGCTTCATGTCGAGTCTAGTAGAAATAGAAAAGTTAGATCTAACAGGAGCTTGTGTCCTCCAGGAGGACCCCAGTCGCCCGTTCCTCGTCTCCAGTCCCACAAACGGGGCTGAGTCGGAGCAGGAGGGGTGGGTGGCGGCGAACCCTTATGACCCCCTCTATGGAGACGTCCACTTCTACAGCTACACCTCCGACTGCTGGGACTGGAAGACTTTCCCTCGCACCCGCTTTGCCTCTGAATATGGCTTCCAGTCCTGGCCCTCCTTCTCCACTTTGGAGCCGGTAAATTAACCCTTGACCAGTAATCACTCCACAGACTCTAATCATTCAATTCAATTCAATTCAAAAATACTTTATTAATCCCAGAGGGAAATTGATTGCTGTAGTAGCTCAGAATAATAATAATAAGTTGTCAAAGAGTTGTTGTATATTACAATGGCTGTTGGCAGGAAGGATCTCCAGCAGCGGTCAGTGTTGCAGCGAAACTGAAGAAGCCTCTGACTGAAGACACTCTTCCGTTGTCGGACAGTCTTGTGAAGAGAATGCTCAGGGTTGTCCATAATTTTCTTGATTCTCTGGAGAATCCTTCTTTGCATTATCTCCTCCAGTGGTTCCACAGTCGTCCCCAGAACAGAACCAGCCTTTTTTATTAGGCTGTTGAGCCTTTTCAGGTCCCTGCTTCTGATGCTGCTGCCCCAACAGACGATGGCTGAAGAGATTACACTCTCAACAACAGACTTGTAGAAGATGTGCAGCATCTTGTTACAGACATTGAAGGACCTAAGCGTCCTCAAGAAGTGCAGTCTGCTGTGTCCCTTCTTGTAAACGGCTTCGCTGTTCTTTCTCCAGTCCAGTCTGTAGTCCAGGTGAACTCCAAGGTATTTGTATTCCTCAACCACCTCCATTTCTTCTCCCATGATGGAAACAGTGTTTGACTCCACCCTGTTTCTTCTGAAGCCAAAATCATCTCCTTTGTTTTGTTCATGTTCAAGGTCAGACGATTGTTTCCACACTATGCCACAAAGCGCTCCACCAGCTCTCTGTACTCAGCTTCCTGTCCATCTCTGATACAACCGACAACTGCAGAGTCATCTGAGTATTTCTGTATATGACAGGTCTCTGATTTGTACAGGAAGTCTGAGGTGTACAGGGTGAAAAGGAATGGTGAGAGTACAGTCCCCTGTGGTGCTCCAATGTTACTGATCACCTGGTTTGATGTGCAGTTCTTCAGTCTCACAAACTGTGGTCTGTTTGTCAGGTAGTCTTTAATCCAGGCGATAGTTGAGGCCCCCACCTGTGTCTTCTGGAGTTTCTGGCAAAGTACATCAGGCTGAATTGTGTTAAATGCACTGGAGAAATCAAAGAACATGACCCTGACAGTGCTGCCTGCTTTGTCCAGATGACAGATGACTCCTAAACACAAACTGAACAATGTGGTGTATGCTGTACAGTGCAGCGAGGAATGCCCAGATCTCTACATCGGAGAAACCAAACAGCCACTCCACAAGCGCATGGCACAACATAGAAGAGCCACCTCAATGGGACAGTACTCAGCAGTCCATTTGCATCTAAAGGACAAAGGTCACTCTTTCGAGGATGCCAACGTTCACATTTTGGACAGAGAGGACAGATGGTTTGAAAGAGGAGTAAAGGAAGCCATTTATGTCCACTGTGAGCAACCATCTTTGAACAGAGGCGGTGGTTTACGACACCAACTGTCTGCCATCTATAATCCAGTTTTGAGATCCCTTCTCAGATGCCTCAACACCCACCCATATCCTGGGCCATCTGATCTCAGGAATTCACATGATAGGGTGGGGCCAGGTTTCACAATGAGCTCACCCGAAACTCTGGCTGAATAGGACCCACACCCACCCTCACACCTTGGCTCATAGAAGATCATCAGGGAGTCTTTTGTTCCCTCTTCGAGGGTAAACTCCCACGGGGTTTAAATCTGGGACTCTCCACCATTTGACCTCAGAACTGAAGAAGCCTCTCGGATGAGAGGTGAAACATCTTCAAGCAACTCAAAGAAGTCCAGACGCTTTTCTTTCAAGCTCATTAGACTACAGTAAAAATCCTCTAAGCTTCACAGCACCAGAAACAGAAAAATAAAATGTCCAAAAAATACAGTTTTTCTTGAGAAACTAGAAGAAAAAATGTCCAAAAAAAAAAAAGGCAAAACTTACATATAGTCAACAGAGCTACTCCAACATGCAGCCACCCAGAGCAGCGCAGTTCCGGAAATCATCACACTATTTATAAAGATTTATCCTTCCTGCAAGACGCTGTTTCTGTTTCTACAAAATAAAACAGGTTAAATGATGGAGAACGACTCTAAAGTTAGATCTGGGACGCATGGGTCAGACATCAGTCCTAAAAACGCTTTAATGTGTCGTTATGATGGTGTCCTGAAGGTTTCTGTGGAAGAAGACTGGAGCTACGACAGTAAGTTCAGCTCCCACCGCCAGCATCACGAGAGCGGGAACCAGCAGATGCTGCAGCAGGCTGCTCTCCACTTCCAGCTGCCCAACTCCTCTCATCCTCTGAAGAGATTCACAGATACGCTCTACATCACTCAGGTGAACCTCTCCCCTCAGGTATCACAGCCGCCGGACCAAAGGTGGCTGTTTAACCATGCCGGGGTAAGACCTGGCTTCAGGCTTTGTAAATGGTGATTTCTTTATAAAAATTAATTTTAAGAACTAAATCTGATGATGGTTTATCAGAATCTGACTCAGATAATTTAGGATCAGGGATCAAAGGTCACAGCGTGCTGATTAATCCCTCCAGGTCATGCAGGCTCAGTGTGTGAAGACTCAAACCGAGTTTTATCGCAGGAGTCAAAGTGAAATCATCGAGGGCAAAGGTCACACTATGGGCGCCCTCTACTGGCAACTCAATGACATCTGGCAGGCGCCCTCCTGGTCATCGATCGGTGAGTGGACTTTGACCCAAACTGACTTAGTCAGATTAATTTATTAATTAAAATCCTGTGAGATTATAAACCATGCAGGAAGTGAGTGGGTTTCCTCTCTGAACAGAGTTTGGTGGGAAGTGGAAAATGCTGCATTATTTTGCCCAGAACTTCTTCTCCTCTGTCCTTCCTGTTGGGTTTGAAGACGAGGACTCGTTGTTTGTCTATGCTATATCCGACCTGAGCCAGGACCTGCAGATCAGAGCTGTGGTGGGTTTTAAATCACTCTAAACTTCAGGATTCATGGCAGCAGGTATCCTCTTCATTTCCACCTGGCTGACGCTTGTCTGATGAACGCGCTGTGACCTTCTCAGGTGAAGCTGTACTCCTGGTCTGGTCTGGGTTCACTTTGCACGCTGACCTCTGACCTGACTCTGATCCCCGGAGGCGTGGCGGCCCCCATTTTCAAACGGCCGATGTCAGAGCTGCTGGCGGGATGCGGTGTCTGCACCCGCCTCACTTGCCTGGTCTCCTTCCACCTGGAGGACGACCACGGCGTCCAGCAGGGTCCCACCAATGAACACTTCCTGTGCTCGCCCAAAGATGCCCAAGGGCTGCGGAGACCCAACATCACAGTTAGTATTCACATTCAGCCTGTCGTCAGGTTCTGTGGAGCTCAAGAGGAAACGGATCTGAGGGAGAACGTTGAACCCGTGACTAGGGCTGCAACAACGAATCGATAAATTCGATGAAAATCGATTACTAAAAGCGTTGGCAACGAATTGCGTCATCGATTCGTTGTGTCGCACAACTCTTCCAAAAGCGCCCCCCCCCCCTTCCCGCCCGCCATTGCGCGCAGACCAGAGCAAGTCAGATCAGCGCGAGGGAGAGCCGCAGATCAGCGCGAGGGAGAGCCGCAGATCAGCGCGAGGGAGAGCCGCAGATCAGTGTGAGGGAGAACCGGTAGCGGCAGATCAGCGCAAGGGAGAGCCGGCAGACTTGCGCTGCTGCGAACCGGTTCCGAATTGTTGCACAGCGATCCAGGCTGCTGCTTCCAGCGCACGGTCCATTCTCAAAGTGGCGCAACCAAAAAACTATAATTAGCACACGATCGTTCATGTCCGCACATGTTCTCTATTTTCTGTCTTATTTGTGCCTGAAGCTCGCTACTGCGGAGCTCATCACCTGTGCTGTGGTGATTTCACCTCACGCAGCATTGAAAACGCGCTCTGCGCTTTTCGGTCAGGAGATCCCTTTGATCTGCTCAAAAGTAACTGATGAGGTGAAAAGGTAAGAATCCAGGCAACAGATTTTCTGGAGAATTAAGAGGAGATGCAGGAAGATGAGAGACAGACAGGACAGGAAAATATAGTTGAATAAAAACAAGAAAACAAAACAAAGTGTTGAAAAGTAAAATGTAGGTAGATTTATCACCACTACACGTTTTTACCTGTAAAAAACAATAAGTTCTACACATGTCATATTTATACATCTGATACAATTCAGATCACCTTCAAAACTCAGTCACACACCCAGGGCCGTTTCAAGACATTTTGGGGGCCAAGGCAAAATGCCCCCCCCCCCCCCCCCCAATAACTGGGCTCCCCAGAAGCCTCTGTGTAATTCATGCCCTCTCCAGTAGTGTTAGTTATATGGTGTTTATAAAAGCCCCTCAGACATTACTGACATGTTCTAATATTATCAGATGAAAAACTAAATTATCAGACACGCTGTCTCATCTGCTTCTTTTATAAACTTGCAAAAAGTAACAAAACCATCTGAAAGCCACTATTTGTGGATTCTCTGAAAGTTTCCATGGAGTGTGTGACAACTTATTTTTTCATTGATCCTATCGTCTAATCTCACAGCTGAAACAAGCATCCTTAATAATCTGTGCACAGGAAGCTTACCGATGCTGTAGTAAAACAAAAGGTATAATAATTTATTATTAATAAAACCTTGTTGCAGCACTAAAGCAGAAAAATTAGATTTTGCATTAAATATGCAAAATATTTACATATGAATTGTTTTAGAGCCCTTTAATTGGCAGAATCTGATATTAATTTAGTTCTTACAAAATATGGGTCCCAACATGGTTTGTGTGGCGTTGCCATAGTGTGACGTCATAGGCACAGATCCCCTGTCCTCTTGTTTGGAAATGGAAATATGGTCACCCTACATTAAACAAACTGTCCACCCGGGCTTTTGCACTGCACAGAGACGCTTCGCTGCCTACGACTGAACGTCAGTTGAGAGTCAGTCTCATGCAGACTGACCAATGAAGAGAGGGCCTCAAGTTAAGACCCTCTCCTCATTGGTCAGTCCACACGAGGTGGGTCAAAGGTTACTCTGGGCGGGTTACGTGTTGTCAGGCATTCAAGTATTGAGTATATTTACTGCATATTACAGTAAAATATTCTGTATGTGACCACATTATGGTGATCCTTGGGTTGTGATGATGGAGCCCTTGAATATTGTTGCCCAGGGTACAACAAAGTGTTAATCTGGCCCTGGTTCCGCCATCACATTCCCGCAGAAACTGGTTGATCACACCGGGGCCAGACTACTAGCATGTGATTTTACAACCACAATGTCCTCAGAAGCAAAAACGCTTTTAAAAGGGAGGGAGGAGTCCTAACTGTTGCTGCAGGCGTGTTGTGTGAGAGTGCAGTTATATACTGGTTAATATATTTTTGGGTTCAGTTGCTTTCATGTGGCCTAATGTGAGTCTATTTGGGATCATTGGAATGATCAGCAGCATTTCTTGATGTGACTTTATGGCAGTTGCCCAGGGCATCATCGCAAGGAGGATGGCATTCATTTACTTTTGTTTTATTTGGTATTTTTTCAGTCATTTTTGGAAATAGTGATCAATTTTGATTAATTCACAGCCTATGTTTAATTACATTTAAAATAAATGTCAACAGATGAGATCAAACAAAACAGATGAGAATTGCCCTTAAGCTGTTTAACTTGGACCAAGCATTTTAGGTCACAGATAGATGTAGCTTAGGGTCTCTGTCTATACACCTTATAAGACAATTTAGGTGATGGCATGTTGTTTTTCTGCTATTGAACTGTTTTCTAATAATGTTGTGTTAAGTAAAGTGAAGGAAGGAGAGAAATAACGTTTCCCTAGCAGTTTTTAAAAATTTCCCCATGTAATCCGATTAATCGATTAATCGTGTCGAGACCCCATCCGATTAATCGATTATCCAAATAATCGTTTGTTGCAGCCCTACCCGTGACTAACAGGTGTTCTTGTCTCCTGCAGGCGAAGGTGCAGGAGGACGAGTCGGGCTTTGCCGTGACCCTCCTCTCTGACGCCGTTGCTCCGTTTGTCTGGCTCGATGTGGGACGTGTCCTGGGTCGTTTTAGCTCAAACGGCTTCCTGATGGTTTCAGGAAACAGGACGGTCCGTTTTGACGCCTGGCGTCCCTCCAGTGTTACAGAACTGTCCCGATCCCTGACGATCACCACCCTAACAGATGTTTACTGATGTGGGACATCCAGCTCCTCAGACCAGAGCTGGTGTGTGTTTAAACCACTCCTCTCTGGTACCTGGGTCTCTTTCTTTCTGCCCGTTTTGCACATTTATAAAAATGCTGAAAGTCCGTTTGACACGGGCATGTTTTCCATCAGAATGTGATGATACCTCAGGAACAGAAACACGTCTAAATCGTTGTGTTTTATAATCGTGCTGCTGTGAAAATGGAACTTTTCGTCAAGAGAAATTAAATGATCACATAGCTGCTTTTCTTAGTTATTTTTTTAACAATTAGATTTTTAGACTACTTTTGACGGCTTTCTATTATGGATCATAATCATAAAGGATGAACTTGCTCTTCTAATCAGGACCAGAAGTGACTCATACTGTGCTTAATTATTTAACTATAAATGAATGCTGGTTGAAATGGAGGTGATTATGCAGGACTGAAGCTTAGATGAGTTGCATTTGTATCCACTTTGATGTTTTTGATGAAGAAGGCTGTTTAATCATCTCCTGGTCCAGATCCTGACACGGATGATGGAGCTCCATTATCGGTGTTGGGTTTGTGTTTTTCCTCCTGTGCCTGGAGGATGGGCCAGAGTGGTTCTCAGTGGGATTAAGTTCTGGGGAGTTTCCTGGACCCGACATGTTGATGTTTTGGGCCTGATCCACTTGGTTCTGACTTAATCCTTCGGGCCAAAACTCCATCATGCTTTGTTTATCGCCAAACTGGAGGAAATGCTCAGGGACACAGATGTAACTTTCTAAGAATGGGAACGACATGAGCCCCACCCCCACCCCCCACACATACGTTGCTTCACAGGAACAATAAAACTTTTTATACTTTCTATAACTGTTTTTTATTTATATGTGTATATATATATATAACTTGGCTGGGACTTGATTAAAAATTTTAATCTAATTAATTACAGGCTTTGTAATTAATTAATCTCAATTAATCGCATTTTAATCGTTCAGGAAAATGTGCTCTCAAAGTAAAACTTTTAATTAAAATTATGAGACAGAGAATCAAACATTAGACATGGTTATTACTGTAAACTAAAGCTTTTAATAAAAAATGCATTTTAATTATTCAGATGTCACTGTGATATGAAACAAAACCCAAATCAACTAAAATTTATAATTACAAATAGAAAACACCTGCAAAGGGTTCCTGGGCCTTTAAATAGCCTCTCTGTCTAGTTGAATGATTGAAATAAATTTGACTTTGCACCAGATTCTAATTTTTCCAGTTTCACTTGTTTGTATAATTGGGAGTTTTTATTAGCATTTCTACTCATAATGTAGTAAAAACACATAATCCTTCAAAATGACAGTAGAACAGGCACAAATATGAGCTAGGACTTAAATGTACTAACTTTTAACACCAGAGCAGGCGTGGCATATTCTGAGAATGATCAGGAACACTAACTGGTTCCAGTTGGATGACTGGAGGTTGATGGGATGATAAAAGATCATGGCAAGGAAATAATAATCTGACGAACAGGTGAGCGGACCTTCCTTACATGGGAAGTCCTGATGTCACGTTAAGAAGGGGATGCTGCAGACCCGCAGATTCACACACCTGCTGCAGCGAATCTGGTGTGATCTCCAGGCCAGCCTGATCACAACTTACTCTTTCCTCGCTGCCCCTGATGCACTTAAGCATCCGCCCCTTAGCTGATGACAGCTTCAACACACCTCGCTGCTTAATGATAGTAATGCATGTGATTTTTAGACAGTGACTCGTCTCAGAAACATGTAATTCCCCGACAGAATTGTTTAGAAAATCATCAGAAAAGTTTCAGAGTGTTTCTGTTTTAACTTAAACTTCTGTTTTCAACTTTAAGACACGTCTGTGATTGTTTACAGAGTAGTGAGAACATGGAGCATTCTCCCAGCGGCAGCCAGGTGCCTCTCCTTTGTCTGACTACTTTCATAAACTACTGTTAGGGCACAGAATTATTTTGTCTGGTGCTTTCAGTGCTGCACAGATGTAAATGTTAAAAATACAGCTTACCGCAACTTTTGTAAAGTTTCCGGTGCCACCGGGCAGACGCAGCAGAGACGATCTCTGAAAAATGTCCGCGACACGGACTCCGTTGTTGTCTGGAAGTTTTTTTTTCCAAGTTAAGAAAAGAGGAGGACGTGTTTCCTAAATCCTGCATCAGTCCAAGCAAGGCAACTTCTTTCTGTTTTTATTCCGTTTTAGTAGCCATTAGCACTGTGCATTGTTGTGTGCGTCAGTGATATTCAGTCTACGAGGAAATCGTGCAATGACAAAGGTTCCGCCGTGCTTGAAATGCAAGCTGCGATTAAATGCATTAATTTTTATTAACGTATTATTTTTTTCTAATTAATTAATCGTAATTAACGCGTTAAAGTCCCGGCCCTAATATATATATATATATATATATATATATATATATATATATATATATATATATACCGTAAATCCTCTAATACTGGGCTGTATTCAATTAACGGACGGTTCTCATATTTTGGCCGGTGTCGGAGTCGGCGGAGGTGAATAATGGCCGGTCTCTTATTGTGGCCGGTTGGAATGTGGTAACAAGCAAGTACGGTGGGCGGTTGTGTCATCGTCTCACTTTTGATTTGCCAGTGATAGACCGCGAGGGTAACTTTAACCGTGCGGAGATGAAGACGAGGCGAAAATTTGATATCAAGTTCAAAGAGAACGTGCGCTGCAGAACACTGGGGAGCAATAGGGGATGTATGAACTAGTCGACTTCGCTATAGTGACTTTTTATGCCTGTCATCGACTAGTCGCTGTCACGTGATAATGACCGGCAAGATGCAGCCCTCGGAAAAGACAGCAGCCTGCTGTAAGCAGGTGACAAGCACCTGCGCTCAGGGGGGCAACGCGCTGTGCCAGAGCGTCGGTACTGACACGCGATCGTTCATGTCGGTTCATTTTCTTTAATGTTTTCTGTCTTTTATTTGCGCCTGATGTGTTTCGCTGCTGTGGAGCGGGGCACATCACCTTGTCCTCCGACGAACCAATCACTGATGCGGCCGCCAAGCAGGGAGCACTCCACTGTTTTTGCAGTCGGTAGATCTGCCTCCTGAGCACGGCCACAGTAACTATCAAATCAGGTGTCGCCACCTCAAAAACTAATTTAACACGCAATTGTTCATGTCGGTTCATTTCCTTTAATGTTTTCTGTCTTTTATTTGTGCCTGATGCGTTTTGCTGTGGAGCGGGGCACATCACCTTGTCATCCGGTGACGCACCGATCACTGATGCGGCCACCAAGCAGCAAGCACTCCGCTGTTTTTGCGGTCGGTAGATCTTTTAGAACTGCAGTTCAAAGGTAACATAAGGTGAATATATATGAAGCCAGGTAGCAGTTTCTCTTTAGGACTGAGAGGAGATGCAGGAAGATAATAAACAGGCAGGACGGAAAAATAGTCAAAAAAACAGACACCATTGAAGGTGAGGAACAGAAAATGAAATAATTATTTTAATGTTTAGAGCAGCAGGAACTCCGAGAAGCTGCAGGCGCATCAGTGAGTTTGCGGCCGCTGTGCAGGGGAGGGGGGAGATGGCCGAAGCAGAAACTACCGTTGTTAAAAGAAATGTGTTTAACTTTGAAAATGTGGGCACAATTTTAATTGTCAAAAACTCCAGTGAACCATTAGTTCATTTTGCTCAAATAGAAATAGAGGCCTGCTTCTATCTAATTCTGGCCCTCCTTCCAATAAAGGCCTGGAGCTTGATGAGCTTGAGTCAAATACAGGCCCGGGCCTGTGCTAGAGAATTTACGGTGTATATATATATATATATATAAAAGCATGATGGAGCTTCGGCCCAAAAGATAAAGTCAGAGCCAAGTGGATCAGGGCCAAAACATCAACATGTCGGGTCCAGGAAACTCCCCAGAATTTATATGAGAAACTAAAAAGTAAGATGAGAAAAAAAGGGAGACCCAAAAAGTATATGAAGTTTGTTAATCATACACATATAACTGTAAAATTTGAATCATTGACCTTTGAAACAAAGATGATGTTTAGGGACATTCTGTATTAATGTCAGTGTTCTCAGACTGAAATAAAGGGCACATTTTTCTTTTTCCCTTTGAGGGTGAATTTAATTTTTATGGAAGTTTGAGATTATTCGTAATTAATCTGACATCTCCTCACAGACCCGGAGGAGCCGGATGAGGCGTGATCTTCTGTTGCCACTAGAGGGCGACAAAACCGAGATCTGCTTTTCCCTGCAGTCACAAAAGGACCCGCGTGCACGGGTTTTGGCACCCATCTGACGCCATATATATATATATATATATATATATATATATATATATATATATATATATATATATATATATATATATATATATGTGTGTGTGTGTGTGTGTGTGTGTGTGTGTGTGTGTGTGTGTGTGTGTGTGTGTGTGTGTTTCGCATGCAGAGTGAGAGAGAGAGAGCGAGTCCGTCATGACAGCATGGAGCCAGTGAGTTGGTGTATATTTATGTCGATGGTTGGTGCACGTGCTCGTTCGGTTGGTCTCCTCCGCGTTTAGTTGCGTCTGGCGTGATCTTTGAACCCGAGCCACCTCAGGTGGGTCGCAGAGCCGCTCAGCATCAGAAGCGCGTGGGGCAGTCGGTATATCACACATGGCTCTGTCGATATCTCCGGTGTCTCTGGGTGATTAAACATCCCTGCAGCAGATCTCTCTCAGACGGAACCAGGAGGAGGAAAGTCGAGATGTTAGTGAAATGCACCGTGTGGTTCTGGTTCTGGTTGACTCTGTACCAGTGTGTCAGAGGGGCTGCACAGACTGGAAACGAGTTCCTGGAGAACATTTTACATTTTTATAGAGAGAATAACTCAATTTCTACAGAGGATTTTGGAAAATTCCTGCTGCTAATTTCAGCCAGAAGATCAGAGTTAATAAGTGAAGAAAATCCAATGGAGGGCAGAGAGGTATGTAAATAATCCAGTTGCTTCCTGGATTACTGCTGGATTAATAATGCCTGTTATACTGGCTAGAGTCCTTTACTGGGCGTGGGAGCTGAACGGAAAGTTATATATGTTTAATTATATTTAACTTTAAATAATAAGTTAAAAGATTATAATAAATATTATATAACACATGTTTATTATATAAATATTTATAGCTAATTTTAAGCTATGTTTAAATGCTGATATTTAAACATGGCTGTTATAAAACTTAAATACACATTTTAACACACCTGGTTACCAAAATAAAAGTGGGATTAAGAGACCCCTATCAAGGTCTCTGTGACCCTATAAAGTACTTGGATAATATATTAAACATTTAGATTTAACTCAGTTTTTATTGTGGGCCTCGCTGGACCTTGATGTACTATCAGCGCACGTATCGAGCAGGTTGCCTTGTAATTACCTGACACTGACAAAGAAGCCAGTATTTTTTGGTCCTTACTCACACTGGAACTTGCAGTTTTCACCGTTGGTATTACTATAAATGAAAACCCCTCACAGTGCTCTGGTGTGCTTCAGCACAGAAACATAGTGAAACCAGTGACCTCTTGCTTCCCCCCAGTGTCCCTCAGCTGAGCAGATCCTGACCCACTTGGGGTTGAGTAATGTCACCCAGCTGACGGTGGAACATCTGGGGAGGATCTGCCCCGCCGCGCTGACCCAGGTGCTGCTGCCCTCCTGCTCTTTCACCACCCCCACCGCTGTGCCAACTCTAGATTACTCTGGTGAGTCACGTCATCCCAGCGCTGGTTTGTTTGTCAGGATGACCCGTTTCTCGCTGATAATCTGCAGGTTGTAGACCATTTACAGCCTGGCTCTCCAGACATGTGTTTCCTATACTGCTGTTATTCTGCAGGATGAATTAATGCTAAACTAAAGCTCGTTTTCCTGCTCTTTCAGAAAAGAGTGAGTTCTTCATTTAATTTTCCACATCAGGTTACTGGAAACTGGTTTAATTTGTGGTCTCACACTGATGAGTGTGTTTAGTCCGCGTTGGTGAGTCCTCACCTCCACGCTCAAACGAACCCTTCTGATTTCTCTTCAGGGGTTTTTTGTTTCTCTCCAGATGAATGAAAACCCTAAAACATTCATGTGGAAATCTCTGTGGGTTTTGAGTCTTTCAGGAGGCTGATTACTGATTTTTGGTGATGATGTCATTTTCTTTCTTAAGGCGTTTTTAGAGATATAATCTGTTAGATCAGGGGTGGGCAATCCCAGTCCTCGAGGGCCGCTGTCCAGCAGGTTTTACTTGATTCTCTGCTTAAACACACCTGGTTTGAATCTACTAGTGATTAACAGGCTGCTGCAGAGCCTGCTGAGCTGCTGAACAGGTGATTCATCCAGGAATCAGGTGTGTTGGGGCAGGTAAACAACTAAAACCTGCTGGATAGCGGCCCTCGAGGACCAGGACTGCCCACCCCTGTGTTAGATGGTGCTTTTGTTTATGAACTGACTTTTATTTGAAAGTTTTATCATTTAAAAATGAGAAGAATAAAATGAAATGGCAATCTCCCAAAAATATATAGAAGAATTAAAAAAAGCTGAATTTCTGCCTCCAATCTAAACGGAATAAGGATGAAATAAAGACTTGGTGATGATGAGTTAATCAGAGATTGTCTCTGATTTGTTTGTGTTTAAATCTGATCGCTATCAGTATAAAGACAAACACTGATTTACATAATAAAACAGCTGGCGTTGAGGATTAGAACTCGATGTTGACCGTCTGGAGTCAACCCTGACCTCTGACCTCTCGGACACACCGTGTCTGTGCAGCTGGGTTCGTGCGCTCTGTGACTCCTGCTGTTTCCTTTGCTGGTTTCAGAACAGTTCCTCCTCCAAACAAACAAGCAGCAAGCAGAATCACTCCTCTCAAGTAGGTCAGAAACTTGTGAGGTGAAGTCAGCAGGATGTTTCCACCCTGAGTACGGTCTCATAGGCAGGAGTGATGGCGCTTGTCTCCAGCTTACACATTAGCTGTGCTACGGTGGGTTTAATGTCTGAGAATGTTAATGCAGGCTCAGCTCAGGGAGGTCAAACCTCATGAAACTCATGGATGTCCTCAGTAACCTCAGAAGTTCTGGCATCACTCTTATCTACAACAAAAAGGTCCTGTTCACTGAAAATACGTTTTTTAATGATTATTTCTGATTATAATCGGTCACTATGAGATTTTCATGTAGGCTGAACATGAAAATAGTCTCCTAAACCTATCTCCTGCATTAGCTTCTGATAGAAAACAGACGGTGAAACTCTAGGATTAGAAAAGCCTGACAGATCTACGTCACACTGTCGCTTAACATTCATAGACCCACCCATCTTGACTCACGATGAGGAAGACTGTTGTTGTTTTAGCGTCCAGGAAACAGCAGAGAACATCTCAGCTAGTAGATGCTAATCATTAGCATTAGCAACTCCACCACACAGCAGAACTCCTCCAGGCTTGGGTTATTTGTGGAGATAAAACATCAAAGTTGAAGAGAAAACAGTCAGTGGTAGGGTTGCATTGCTGTTAGCCAATCCAAAGTGAGATGTTAAAAAACCAGGAAAAAAGAACTCCTGCCTTTTTCAGCCACTTTCTCCTCTGGCTGACTTCTATGTCTTCAAACAGGTGCACCGGAACTTTTTTTCCCCCAGACTATGACTTACAAGGCATTCCTTCCACTAGAGACCACTGCAAATGTATTTATTAAACAAGTGAATCAACATGGAATAAAATTCAGTAGAAGAATAGTTTGAACGTGAACGTGAGGATGGCAGGAACAGAAACCTAAACCCCATCAGCTGTTACCTTTAACAGAAACAGGTAAGGATTTAGTTTCTCTCCCTGGAATAGTCCTGGTCTAAAGGAATGGGCCTCTTGGATTAGATCTGATTAACCTCTCCTGATTCTCCTTATTGTACCAAACAGTTTCAGCAGAACACACTTGAAGGAATCCACACATGTGTAAACCATGCTGAATGAAGTATTTTCCTTAATGCTCATATAATGAGAAATCTCCAGGTAAACAGCAACACCTTGATGGATGCATGAGTCAATCTGAGTTAACCCTTTCCTAACAACAACCATGACTCTGCAGTTTGTCACAAAGTGCTGTTTGACAGCTCAAAGTCCAGTCAGTGGTGGACATGTTGACAGAAAGACCATGACCTCTGTGTGCTGACATTGTCAGAGCCTTTTCAGAATCATTCTGAATTATTATTGCTGAAATGAAATTAAGTTTGTTGGACTTTGGTTTAACCCTTAAAAGCCTGAAATGGAAAATAGCTAGCTAGATAGATAGCTATATAGATAGATGGATGGATGGATAGATGGATGGATGGATGGATGGATGTTACATAGGTGGATAATTGGATGGATGGATGTTACATAAGTGGATAATTGGATAGATGGATGGATGATAGATGGATGGATGGATGTTACATAGGTGGATAATTGGATGGATGGATGATAGATGGATGGATGGATGTTACATAGGTGGATAATTGGATAGATGGATGATAGATGGATGGATGGATGTTACATAGGTGGATAATTGGATAGATGGATGGATGATAGATGGATGGATGGATGTTACATAGGTTGATAATTGGATAGATGGATGGATGATAGATGGATGGATGGATGTTACATAGGTGGATAATTGGCTAGATGGATGGATGGATGATAGATGGATGGATGGATGGGTGTATGGATATTAGATAGATGATAATTGGATGAATGGATGTTAGATAGATGGATGGATGGATTGATGGATGGATATTGGATAGATGGATAATTGGATGAATGGATGTTAGATAGATGGATGGATAGATATTGGATAGCATGTCCTGAGCTCACAAAAACCTTGGTGGGAGTTCTTTGTAGATTTCGAAAGGGCCCAGTCGCTATTATGTGTGATGTGGAACGAATGTTCCATCAATTCCATGTAAAGCCTGAAGACCAAGACTACTTGAGGTTCTTATGGTGGGAGAATGATAATCTCAAGGCTCCACCATCAGTTTTTCGGATGAAAGTCCATTTGTTTGGAGCAGCTTCTTCGCCTGGCTGTGCCAATTTTGGACATTAACATCTATCCACAGAAGGTCAGGATCGATTTAACGAAAGCACTGTCAGGTTCATCCGAAGACATTTTTATGTTGATGATGGACTGGTGAGTGTAAGGTCTGATGCGGAGGCAATTGAACTGATCAAGGAAGCTAGAGAGCTTTGCAGTGCAGGCAAGCTTAGACTGCACAAGTTCATTTCCAACAGCAAGAAGGTATTGGAATCAATACCAAGGGAAGAATGTGCTGACAGTGTCAAAGAGCTGGACATAGATTTAGGGGAGCCACTCCTAGAAAGAGCACTGGGCGTGCAATGGTGCGTATTCTCTAATGACTTTCAGTTCAGAGTAACTGTCAAGAAACACCCAATGACGAGAAGGGGAGTGCTATCCACAGTAGCTTCCATCTACGATCCTCTGGGTTTCGTAGCACCGTTTGTTTTGCATGGTAAGTTGATCTTGCAACAGTTGAGTCGAGAGAAAGTTAGTTGGGATGAACCACTTTCAGAGGAGTGCAGATCACAGTGGCAGTCATGGTTACAAGATCTCCATAACTTGTGTCAAGTAAAAATTAAGAGGTGCTACATACCAGCAAGCTTCATAGATGTCAAGCAGTACGAGTTACATCACTTCTCAGATGCTAGCTTCACAGGTTATGGGGAGTGCACTTATCTAAGAGCAGTGAACTCTAATGGTAGCATACACTGCTCACTTGTCATGGGGAAAGCGCATGTTGCCCCCACTAAGGTCACAACGATTCCAAGGCTTGAGCTGTCTGCGGCAGTGGTTGCTGCGAAGATAGGTGCTATGTTAAACCATGAGCTTGAAATAGACAACCTTAAGGAATATTATTGGATTGATTCTAAGGTTGTTCTCGGGTATATTAAGAATGATGCCAGATGCTTCCATGTTTTCATGGCAAATAGGATCCAGAGAATCAAAGCCACCACAGATGTCAACCAATGGTATCATGTGCAGTCTGAAGACAATCCGGCGGACCATGCTTCGAGAGGGTTATCGGCAGATCGGCTCGATGCTTCAAATTGGTTCACTGGCCCAGACTTTCTGTGGGAAAGGGAACTACCCACAAAGGATGCCAAGGTGGGAGAGGTTAGTGATACTGATCCAGAACTTCAAAGGGCTCAAGTACTCATCACCAGTGCAAGGACAAATAGAGCATTGGTGGATCGCCTGACCAAGTTTTCTGACTGGAAAAGAGTTGTTAAGGCTATTGCTTGTCTTAAACGTCATGCTAAGCAAGTTAAGGGTCTTAGCCCCAAACTCAATGGAAGTACAAGTGTTGAGGAAAGACAACAAGCTGAACTTTTCTTAATTAGATTGGTCCAAAGAGAAGCATTCAGCAGTGAAATCAAGAATTTGCAACAATGCAAGGACGTAAAATCCAAAGACAAAGCAAACAAGCTATGTAAATTAAGTCCATTTTTGGATGAGCAGGGTGTGCTTAGAGTAGGTGGCCGCTTGACAAGAAGTGATCTTCATCCGCACGTTAAACATCCTGCTATTCTACCAAAAACAAGCCATGTGTCTTCTTTATTGATTAAGAATTATCATGAGAAGGTGCAGCATCAAGGAAGAGGTATGACTGTAAATGAATTGCGATCTAATGGGATATGGGTCGTTGGATGCAGTGGTGCAGTTCTTCACATATCTTTAAGTGCGTC